CAGATCTGTTTTATGTGTTTTCTTTGTGTGCATGTATTTATTAGTATAGTGCATGTAGTGTGAGTGGGGAGGGTGAAATATAACGTCACCATCGCTCCAGCAGTGTGTTTATCCATCGACCCTAATTTAGATAAGATTTTTAATATTGTTAGCAGGTCGATGGAGGAATATCGAATACTTCACTGAATAATCAGTATGATTGCAATGTAAGTGAATGTATTTATTTGCGCGACTGTATTATAGAAGTTAGTTTTAGGGTAGATTATTTTTTGTATATTTGGGGGCTGAAATTACCTAGTTGTCGAAAGCCCCTGGAGCCCAACCCGTTGGTTGGAAAGCGATGAAAAAGGTGGTTGGAGCACATAACGTATATGTTTCACCCTGCATATTTAAATTGTTAAAAAAATAGGATTTTTTTAAATTTAATACACATTTTTTCAAGACATTTTATGTCCAAGAAACAAAGATTATATGTAGTTGTATCACTAGAAAAAACGTAAATAAAAAAATGATTATCCGGAGATCGTGAGATGCGGTCTGGTGTGACGTAGGTTTTAGAAAAGCATTTTCTTTATCGTGCCAACGTTTCGATCTTTATTGAGATCATCTTCAGCGCCTCTCGATACGACAGACGAGAATGACGCATCTACACGGAAAACAAACACTTTAAGCCGTTTTCTTTTCTGTAGTGTTTTAATTCCTTCCTTTGATAAATAGATTTGTTAATACGTTTTTTTCCCTATGTATTTGAATGTGGTCCATTTAGTTATTTTGTTGCTAGATTTAGTAGGACTAGAAAATTTATACTTACTTCTACTATTTTACTACTATGTTTTTACTATTTTCTAATTCTGCCACGACGATATAAAAGAGACTTCACAGAATCACTCAGACTTAACAATAAAGATGGTGAAATGCCGTACGCGTCTGTCAGACGAACACAGCGAGGGTAGACGGACCAGAATGGCCGATAACGACCTAATTAATTAATTAAATCATAAGAAGTATTTCCCAACGGTATGAAAAATAGGAACTAGAATTATTAGTCACAGACCGACAGCCAACGACTTTTGTGTAAAATTAAAATCGATACGAGGATACATGTAATGAAGAGTCACCAGTGCAGAAACAGAGAGAGCGGGACTTCGAAAGTGAACTTTGGGAAAATTCCATTACAAATTTCCACATTACAAATGTAATCAGAAGTTCAAGGGATTTCGTAATCAAAGCTTGGAATATTCACGTGTGACGACTTCCTTCCAGTTGTAAAACTTTTAAAAGATCATTTTAGGAAACGTTAACTGGGAGAACATTTTCGGTAATCGCTACTTCGATAACCTGATGTTTTATTGACTAATTTACGAAAGAGTTGAACATGGACTGTGAAAAATACTGTAAACCCTTGAAACATCTATTGTAAGTACGATACAAATTTCACAACTACTTGGGTCAATATAGGCTGAACTCTTCATCTATCATCTCTCCACAGTGTACTCCTCACGCGGACATGCAAGAAACACTACACACAGAATCAATAATTATCGACCTGGATCTTCCTTTCACACTCCCTCTTAAACCTTTCACCCCAAATAACTTGAAACAATCCATCTTCCAAAGACAAAACACCTGCATATGACTTGATAACCAACGCCTTTCAACTTCCTTCCTTTGGAAATTTTCTATCGACCTTATGATTCACAAACCAATGATCAACTGATCACCCGACCTCCTACCTTCTCATCCTTGGAAAATACTTGAGAAGCTTCTCGTTATCAACATGCAGATCTAACACTTTTAAACCATATTCCTGACCAGTTCACTACCACTATAACTTACATCAAAGCACATCGTAGACAGACCATCCTTGAGCTGGAAGAATGTTGTCTTCCTAGACATCTCTCAAGCAATGAATGGGCTCTGCTATGTAAAATTAAGATATTACATCCCAGTAAACCTGTATATAGGTTATGTGAATGGAACAGATTGGGTCGGTTTAATCAGGTACTGTAGAGAAGCTCACAAAGATTGTATCAAAAAATAATAGCTTACAACTATGTATCTACCTAATAATAACAACAATAATCATAATTATTTGGAGATCGTGAGGTGGGGTCTGGTGTGACGTAGGTTTTAGAAAAACATTTTCTTTATCGTGCCACGTTTCGATCTTTATTGAGATCATCTTCAGAGTCTCTCAACACGACAGACGAGAATGACACATCTACATGGAAAACAAACACTTTAAGCCCTGAAGATGATCTCAATAAAGATCAAAACGTTGGCACGATAAAGAAAATGTTTTTCTAAAACCGAGGTCACACCGGACCGCGCCTTATGATCTCCAAATAATCATTGGCTAACGGTCACTAAACACTACACAAATAATCATAACACAATAATAAATAAATAGATAATTCGATAAACAAATTAAAAAATTTAAAAAAATGAATAAATAAATGGTCAACTCTCCTGACTGCCATGGCCATGGAGATAAATGCTACTCATTGCATATTAACTGACAGACAAAAAATTCCACCCCTTATAATATAGCTTGATTTGTATATATTTTTATACGAGCTAGGTTGAAAAGGTTGGCTCTGGGAAAAATTAATTTTTTCGCCTTCTCCACACTCTTTCACGCAAATCTGGAGATCACGAGCAAATGTACACTCATCTGAAAAAAGTACAAGACCAATCGTCCAAAGACCAATGGCTGTTGTTCTCGAGCAAATGCGAGCCATGCAACTCTGTGTTCTGGTCAATTCTGGTCATTCTGCGAGCAGTTCGATCCTCTTAAGGGGCGAAAAGTCATCAGTCCATAGTGATTTTCTTCGAGCAGTTCTGAAATTTTGACACCTTGAACTTCCTGGAGGTGATGAATCGCTTGAACAACAGTAAGGTGCCGGTTTCGCCAAGTCAAAAAACGGTCATCCTATGGTTCTGTTACCCTAGAGGAAAATCCAAGAACATCATATGGTTCACAGTATCAACGTTTGCTGTGGACTTCTCGGAAATAAATTAATTTGGCCTTATTTTTACGAAAATAATTTAATTGGTGCTCAGGTCCTCAAGGTTTTGAGGGAGGTTTTACCAACACTATTATATGATGTTCCTCAGCAACAACGAGAAAGAATGATTCTCCAGGTTGATGGATGCCCCGCGCACAATTCTTTGCAGGTGAGACGTTATTTGAATCGTCACTTCCGGTATAGGTGGATAGGACCTCATGGCCTCCTCGGTCACCCGATTTAACTACACTTGACTATTTTCTGTGGGACCATGACCAAAAGAGTGTTTATGCCAATCATAGACCAGCAACCTCAGTTGAAGAACAGCGGCAAAGGATAGAAAATTCTTGCCAATCCATCTCCCCTGACTCTATCGTTCTGAGCACCCGGTGAAGAGTGGGTTCAAAAGAGTAAATCATTGCATCTTTACTTACGGCAGGCAGTTGAAACATGAAATTTGATAAATAAATAGCAAACTAAATGACTGGTTTTTTTCAAACTTTTTGCCATAACTTTGTCATTTTTTAGCCAATTTAAAATCCAATTGCACAGATATTTCCTATAAAATGATGTGACAGGATTTATAGGGTCGTATTTGGCAATATAATATTTGCAGTCGAACTGGGCCTGAAGTACCCTATATAATTTTTCTCCAAAAAAAAGGTAAAAATTTGAAACTTGACTAAAAAATATTAAGCTTGTATTATTATTATTCGGAGATTGTGACATACGGTCTGGTATGACCTATGTTTTAGAAAAAACATTTTCTTTATAGTTTTTTTTTTTCCAAACTTGTTGCGATAATTTGGTCATTTTTTGACCCATTTAAAATCCAATTGCACCTTTGTTTTCAGCGTAAAAATATCATTCAAAATGATAAAGTTGAACTGGGCATGAGGTACCCTGTATAATTTTACCTCCAAAAAGGTAAAAATTTGAAACTAGACTAAAAAATATTAAACACCAATTTTTTTATGAGAAATTCAGCCGGGTCTTCTAAAAAGGACCCCCTGTATATACATGTAAATATATTTGTTTATTATAAATTTATGTATTAATAATGTAAAGAAAGAATTTTTGATTTAAAATATATTTAACCCTGGCCATCTTCTACGAAAGAGACCGTTTGGATCCTTCTTCCGTAATTGAATCAATAAATATTTGTATAAGCAACTAACTTTTTTAGGAAGTACTATAATCATTTTACATGGTACAATACATAAATAAAATAATATATAGTATTATTTTATACACATTTTACCTTCTTGACCTCTGTTGGTTATTCGTTGAGGGGCACGAAGGCACGCAAGAATGGCACACTTTGAGCCCTGAAGATGATCTCATTAAAGATCGAAACGTTTGCACGGTAAAGAAAATGTTTTTCTAAAACCTACATCACACCAGACCGCATCTCACGATTTCCGAATAGTTATTCGCTGTTTTGTACATTTATTCATGATGTATATCATATTTATAAAGTTTATAAAAAAAAATAAAACATACACTTTTGAGAAAACCGGGGGTAACAGTAGTAAGTTTACATTCTGACCATTTACAGGATTTTTTTTTAATAGAAAAGATAGTTTATATAAGATTTTAAAAATTATTTCTAAAAATAATACACTGTTCAAATAGAACGTGAGAATTACCTTCGAGGAATAATACGTGAAACACGAGTATTTGGCGAAAGAGAAAGCTCGTCCAGCGGGTGGTAGAAGAGGCCACGGAGGAAATACGGCGACTCCATAATAAAGTTGCTTTTTTCAAGCCTTGTGGAAATAAACTTTTGAACACACCCTTAAAAAAAACTTTCAGTGAAAGTAGAGGATGTCAAACTTGCTGTTTTAAGGCGGGCCTTTTTTTCAGATACCAGGCAACACGCGATTTAAGGAAATGCTAATGTCCTGTAAAAGTCGAGCCCAAGCGAAACAATCGGCGTTTCGGAAGTCCTTTGTAAAAGCGTACAATATTGATTTGTCTTTTTCTTTTCAGGAACCAACGTTGCCCTGAGACGGCCGGCAAATCAGTCGACGTCCATACGAGGAGGGTGGGCGGACAACGCGAACGACGGTGACAAAACTACCGTCCACGATGGTAAAAAGTGCACGGAAACTATGAAAGAAGTGTCGCCCTGGTGGCAGGTCGACCTCCTCCGGCCCTACCCGATCAAAGTCGTCAGGATCACGACGAGAGGCTGTTGCGGTGAGTTGGGTCGATTAATTGCACAATTTTCCATTCCCACATGTTTGAAAAGGAAACGGTATTTTTCGTCATTCTCTTTTTTAATCGTAGTTTAATATAAGATTTATACCGACCAAGGGCGCGAGATTGCCGTTTGTAATTGATGAGATGGGAATATTCACATTAGTTTTCAAGGAGACGGATAAATAATACAAAAAAGCCTACATTCGCATTTAGAAAATTATGTTTTATTGATAATACAAAATCTCTCAGGCTGTCAGGCCACAATAGAATGTTTCAATAATATCTTCTGAAAAACATTTCTTCGGGGTTTTTCTGTGATTGAACAAAAGTCAAAATATTAATCCATTTATGTTTACTGGCCTAATTGACCAAATTACTCATTTTAATTAACTATTCTTTTTATGTAAGGTCTTGGTTGAGATGAAAAACTGAGCGTGACGAGCAGGATTCGAACCTGCGACCTTCGGCTCAATACGCCGCTGCGAATACAATACTCAATACCCTCGAGCTCTCGTGACTTCGATCCACTCTGACACCATCTGAAAAATGGCAAAAAGAGGGAAAATTCGAAATGAAATAAAGAAAAAAAGAAGGTTGTAGTTGTGATGAGTTGGTGTTCGAGTCACGAGAGCTTGAGGGTTAGAGCAGCGGCGTATTGAGCCGAAGGTCGTGGGTTCGAATCCCGCTCGTCAAGCTCAGTTTTTCATCTCAACCAAGACCTTACATAAAAAGAATAATTAATTGAAACTAGTGAAAATATCAACTTTGATAGGTAGATAGAGAGTGAGAGAGAAAGAGAGAGAGGGAGTGAGTGAGTGAGAAAGAGAGTGTGTGAGAGAGCGAGAGAGTCAGAAAGAGAGATAGAGAGAGAAAAGAGAGAGCGAGAGAGAGAGAAGAGATGGGGAGTGAGTGAATGAGAAAGATAGAGAGAAAAAAGAGAGAGGGAGTGAATGACTGAGTAAGGGAGTGAGAGATACAGACAGCAAACAGATCGAGATCGAGAGAGAGTGTGAGAGTGAGAGAAAAGAGAAAAGTGAGTGAGAGAAAAGTGAGCGAGAGAGAAAAGAGAGAGAGGGAGTGAGTGAGAGAGGTGTGAGAGAGAGCGACAGAGACAAAGAGAGAGAAAAAAAGAGGGAGCGAGAGAGAGAGAGAAGTGAGAAAGTTAGTGATTGAGTAAGTGAGACAGAATGATTGAGCGAGTGAGAGATAGATAGAGAAAAGAGAGAGGGAGTGAGAGATAGAGAGAGCAAACAGATCGAGAGAGGCTTAAATTTACAATGTTATAAACAAAAACACAAATAATAATTATATTAAGACGTGTCATGTCTTGACTCCATACAGAGAGCGTGTAGGCATTCCACCTGATTTAAGAATGGTTCTCGGGCACGGCAGTCGGTTTCTGAGTCCCCTGTTCCGTTTTTTGGAGAATGTGGGGGTGTTTTACTGTTTATAGTATTTATATTTGTGTTCTGTTTGAATGCTTGTATTTATCAGTGTGAATGCTGAAGGGTGACGGTGAAATATAGCGTCACCATCGCCCCTGCAGCACTGGGTCGGGTCGATGGCGGAATATTTTTAAAAGTACCTCATCGACCCTAATTTAGGTTAAATTATTAATACAGTGTATAGGTCAATGGCGGAATATTTATAAAATTACCTCACCGACCCTAAGTTAGGTTACATTATTAATAATGTGTATAGGTCGATGGAGGAATATCCAGTACTCTACCGACTAATCGGAATGAGCGCAATATATGAATGTATTTATTTGTGTGACTGATCTCTCCAATTTAAGTAGTAAGTATTAAGCTAGATTATAGACTACATGAGTATGGGGCTTAAATGACCTAGCTGACGATAACCCCCGTCGGAACCTACCTAACCCCCGTTGCGGGTGGGTGAACTCCCTTATGTCCCTAAGGTCATCATATCGGGGAGTTTTAACTGTTTTTCAAATCTTGTATGTAGAACTTAGTCGTTGGCAGAAATGTTTTAAAAAATGCGATAAATACTAGGAATCCAATATTTTGTTATTCGATTTTTAAACATTAATTTTCTAAAAATACTGAAATTTTATGAGAGGCAAGCTAAACAATAGTTAATTCTCACCTAGGATAGTAGAAAAAATAGATTAAATGTTCGTTGTGGGAAGTTGTTTATAACAGTTAGAAATAATTGAATTGTAAGGGCATTTATAAGTAGTAATGCTAATAAACATTTTATCCTTGATACTTGCAATACTACCAAAAGGTATGTAGATTAAGAATATCCTCAGTATACGTTTGCCGAAGCTTGTTCATTGGGAAAGTTCCCTGTTTAAAAAAATCTGTTTGTAACTGATTTGCAAGCCGTCGTAATCGTCTGAAACACTGGGCGACTACGAATTAAAAACAATTATAATGTATATTACAGCTTATGAAACAAACAAGAAAACGATGTATTAATTAAATGTCTTTTGTACAAACGCAGAGGAGTGAAAAATTGTTTAATTTTATATAGGAACCAGTTAGTGTTTCAACATAAAATAATAATAGTAATTATAATTTCAAAGAGAATTGTCATTTCACCTCGAGGGAGACGCAATAATTTTAATTTCCCTTACTTAAAAAGGCCATTTGAAGACCCCATGAATCATTGAATGAATGAGCGGTTTTTCGATTTTGGTACTGCAAGCATTAAACATTAACTAAATTGATTATTTGAAATGAAATGGTCAATTTTTTAACTCAGGTTGAAAAAGATTTTTTCCTTCTAGGTCTGCGATAAGGCGGTTGATCAATGATGATGCTTGAACTGCTTCATCGACTGGCGGATCACCCATAACTATTTCGTTGTAATTAGCATTTAAAAAAATCACATTGCCCAACTTATTATACAAACGTCGTCATTATCGGCTAATTTTGAAATCAAAAGTAGTGAAAAGCTTCAATGGTCTCGTTAACAAGGGATCGTCTCATTTGGATTTTTCCTGAGTTTGTAAGAGAGTGATGCTGCATTTTCATGCCTTTCTTTTACAAGAAGTTTATACGCTCTAATTGTCGTGCAAATAGATCGTTTGAGCTAATTCCAGCTAATCGTTTTCGGGTTTTTTTTTCTTGTGTACCTCTGACAAAAGTATCCACTTGTCAACAGCCGTGACTGTCCGGATCACAAAGGGATCTCGGGATCTCACCCCCTGCTGAGTGGACCGATTCAAACCACCCTGATCCTTCCTACTTTAAAGGACCGTGAATCCGCTTATCCTTTTACTTTACCGATTGTATTGGTACTATTGATGAGGATGGGGCGGCACCGCAGTGGGCTCCTTTTGTTGGAAGCGTCTCGACCAAGATTAGATTTTTAACTCTTTAAAACATTAATCGAATCAAAACGAATAGAATATATTCAATATTGCCATTCCACTCCAAGGATAAAACCACAAAACTAATTAGCATATTTTAACTGTTATTTTAGTTTGTTCTTACGTAAAGAGTAAGACAAACGCTTTATCTTTTTAAATGTATAATAAAAAATGTATACTCTCACGCTTTAAAAAATTTTATATTATTTTTACTACTTTATTATGTTTAATAAGATTTATGTTTTCCTGTATTTTCTTATAATATTAATAAGAATACATAGTTATTTTGTAATTTAAATTAATTAAGCTGTTTTTATACAGTAGAGTTGTCTGTTGAACAAAACAAAAAATACATAATCATTGCAGGAGAGTAAATGTTATTAAAAACTCACTAGTTTTCGTGGTTGACCAATTTCTTTCTTTCTTCAAAGGTTTTTAGTTGAGATAAAAATTAAATCAAATACATAGATTACACGACATTTGAAAAATGGCAAAAAGGAGGGAAAATTCAAAAAAGGTGTGGTTGAGTTAGTGTCCGAGTGGATCGAAGTCAAGATAGCTCAAGTGGTAGAGTAGCGGCGTATCAAGCCGAAGGTCGTGGGTTCGAATCCCGCTCGTGCCAATGACTTTTTTATCTCAACTGAAAACCTTAATTAATTGTAAGTTATAATTTTTATTAACTTTAAGTATTGAAATCCTTCTCTGTATTGTCTTAGAAATAAAAAAAGGTACAGGATGTAGTCCAGAAAGTATAAAAAAAATTAATAATAGACCTGTTGAGCTTAAAATGACCTCGTGCTACTTGCTACATTTTATCTCAACCAAAAACCTTAATTAATTGAAAGTTATTAACAAAACTAGCATCATAAATAATAATTCTAATAGCAATTTGCCCCATTTATGACTAGAGAGAGGTCTGAAATTGTCCAAACCCCAATCAAATAATAACCCACAAATTAAAAAAAAAAAAAAATATATATATATATATATATTTCTTCGAATTTCACTGTTGTTAAAATGAATAATCTAAGTTTAAGGAGAGACGTAACGAAATGCTTTATGAAATGGGATGTAGCAAGTTATCTTTGGGAAAGGTCAAAGGTTGAATTATCTTGACCTGAGTTCCAGAGAAGTTCCCATCTTTGGGTCCCATCTCTCAAGAAATAAATCACCAACGGCAATAAACAAAGGGGTCGCCTTTTGTGAGATTAAAGCGAGGATGTAAAAATATGGATAAATACGTTAATGTGTTTACTTAACCAATTTGATCTTTGGGCTTTGATACTGAGAGATAAAACTTTCTTCGACCCCGTTTAAGCTTTGTTTTGAAGAAACGAGATAAAAATTGTAATTTGATGAAATGTAGGTTATAAACATTCAGAATTTTTTTTCTTGAAATCAAGGTTGAGGCTTATGAGAAAGAAATCTTTCAGTTACTTCGTCTACCTGTCGGGAAATATATTTTCATCAGGAGCTTGAAACTTAGTCGATAATTTTAAAGTTTAACAAATATGAACATGACGTTTCATGACATTTTATACACTCTGCCTACCTTAATCCCTCAGACTGCTGTCCGTGACTGACCCTCCGTGAACCATCTCGTCATGCTCTTGTTAAAGAATCACCATGAAGTGGAGCGTCACGGCAAAAGTCTCAAATTGCTCAAAAAGACCTCCGGACCTAACCACCGACTCACACTAAAAATGCGATAAAAAGCGAATGCAATACACAGATAAAAAAAATCCTCATAAGTTGAGACAGCCCAACGACCCTAAAAGTAGCACGTAAAAAGATCACATCCAAAATAGACAGTGAATCCATCCAAAATACATAAAAATCCATGCTCCTAGCTGACAGAGCACAAAGGAGTTCAGGGTAGATGTAGATGTAGACGTAATTTTTTCAGGGTATGGTATACTGCGCCCTTTAAGAGCTATTGTATCCCCCGTGCTCTGCTTAAAGCACATCGGTGAGTCCTATTTCATCAAGAAACTTGATTAATAGGCCCGGTTTCAGTGGTTGAAGCTCTTCTATGGTCATATACATCCCAAAACATTTCCTCCTGCGGGCTAATGTAGCTCCGCAGTTTGTTAGTAAATGTGTTGGTGTCTCTTCTGCCTCCTTGCAGAATCTACATGTGCCATCTTGGATTGTTCCAATTTTCTTTAAGTGTCCATTTAGTCTGAAGTGTCCTGTTAGGAATCCTGTCAGGATTCGCAGTCTATTCCTGCTTCCTTTGACACATTCTGTGATTTCTTTCTTGCCAAATTTGGTTAGAAGATTCTTGGATTTTCTAGGTCCAATGAGTGAATTCCATTGTTCCTTCATTTTCTTTTTGTCCTTCTGTCTGAGATATTCGTTAATAGTGTGGATTCCTATGCCACAGAAGGGTTCGAGTCCTATCAGCGGTGTGGCAGCCCCTTTCCTTGCAAGGGTGTCCGCTTTCTCGTTGCCTTCTACTCCCATGTGTCCTGGGACCCAGCAGAGGCTGACTTTATTCTGCGTACCTAATATGTTTAGTTTGGTTTTGCAGTTCAGCACCATCCTTGAACTAATGGTATTTGAGCTTAGTGGTTTGATGGCTGCTTGGCTATCTGACATGATAGCTATATTCTTGTTTTTGTATCCTCTATTTAGATTGGATACATCTTTCAATTGCGTAAATCTCAGCTTGGAAGACACTGGTGTGTTTTCCCATGGGTTCTGAGTATTCCGTGTCCAAATACTCTTGCCCCATACCTTCTTGTGTTCTAGATCCATCTGTGTACCAAAGGATGGTGCCATTTTTGAGCGAGTTATTTCCCTTTCTTTCCCATTCCTTTTTGGTGCCCAGATGTATTCGGAATTTTTGGTTAAATTCAAACCTCCTGTTCATGTCATCTCTTGGAGCCATGAGTGATGGATGGTTTTTCCACAGTTTGTTTCTGTCTCTCCATTTCAGTTTTATTCCTGTTGGAGGTTTCTCTCTTGTTAAGTTGTTTATGGTTTTCTGTGCTGTCCTTTCTACCATGTGATGTAGGGGGATTAGTCCCAATATCTTTTCAATGCTAATTGTAGGACATGTTCGAGTTCAGGGTAATAACAGCCAAAGAGAATCTGGAAAAATCTATAAAGTCAGAACATTAACTTGAGAATTCAAACACAGACTCCTCCAGAATGGGTCCAGAAAACACAAAAGAATAGACGAGCTCCAGAGGTGCCAGGCACAATAAATTCATGATTAAAAAATCCTCACCAAAACTGGCAAACACGTCGCTACAGTAACACAGGGATACCTGATATCGGCATTTAAAGAAGGAGTGTAATGACCCCATTTGTAGGTTATGCAATGAGAAGGAAGAACTTGCCACCTCTTAAAATGCGAAGCAACCGCTCAATAGAAACATAATTTAAAGTATGGAGAAGATCCGGGAAGAAGAATTTCATCAATGACCTACTACTTCTTAAGAGAAGGATCGTATCAATTGAGCTGAACTTAGGAACTAGAAAAAGTACAATAGGCCAGAAGACTGCAGTGCGTATGGAATACGAAACCCCTCTTCCTAGCATTTCCTTATCATCATCACCATCTGCTTGCCTTATCTGCACCCATAGCGCGATTATTACTGTCCGTGACTCTTGTAGGGGAGATACTCTGAACTGGAGCGTCCGACTAAACGGTGTTCTAAAAGTAGGTAACGTAAAAAGGTCACATCCAAAATAGACAGTGAATCCATCCAAAATACATAAAAATCATGATCCTAGCTGACAGAGCACAAAGGAGTTCATGGTAATAACAGCCAAAGAGAATCTGGAAGAATCTATAAAGTCAGAACATTAACTTGAGAATTCAAACACCAACTCCTACAGAATGGGTCCAGAAAACACAAAAGAATAGATGAGCTCCAGAGGTGCCAGGCACAATAAACTCATGATTAAAAAATCCTCACCAAAACTGGCAAACACGTCGCTACAGTAACACAGGGTGCTATATACCTGTTATCGGCATTTGAAGCAGGAGTGTGATGACCCCATTTGTAGATTGTGCAATGAGGTGGATGTAACTGCCACCTCTTCAAATGCGAAGCAACCACTCAATAGAAACAAAATCTAAAGGACGGAGAAGAACCGGGGAAAAAGTATTGCAGCAATGACAGTCAATGACCTACCACTTCTTAAGAGAAGGATCGTATCAATTGAGCTGAACTTAGGAAATAGAAAAAGTACAATAAGCCAGAAGACTGCAGTGCTTATGAAACACGAAACCTCTACTTCCCTAGCATTCCCTTATCATCATCATCATCTGCTTGCCTTATCTGCACCCATAGCGCGATTATTACTGTCCGTGACTCTTATAGGGGAGATACTATGAACTGGAGCGTCCAACTAAACGGTGTTGTCTGGTACTCGGATACACACATACGAAAAGGCTGACGTCCTGACTTCCGAACCAAACTACCTGACGCTAAAAATGAAATAAAAATAACAGAAGTGGTCGGTGGGCAGGATCGCCAGAGTAGCTATCACGTTTCAAGAGCTCGTTCGATAGGTGGACCATGCGAGGTTGACACACTGTTGGACCAAAACCCGTGTATCCGTTCAGCTTGTAGACGGATGCTTGATAATTTAACAGTGTCATTCCTTGGCTCCATATAGAGAGCGAGTAGGAATGCTATTTTGCTTGAGCACGGCATTGTTCGGGTCCTATGTGATTTTTGGAGGAAACGGGGGTTTCCTTTTGAGTATATTGCAAGTGAGTGTACTTATTAGAGTGATTGAGAAGTGAGAGAGCTAATGGTGCAATATTGAGTTGTAGTTCAACCCTAAATTAGATTAGTTATATAGTATTTGTCAAAGGAGGAATATCGAATACTCCACCCTACATTAGTGAGTTTCTAAGTTTAAAAAGTCCACAGGGGCTAAAATGTCCTAGCTGTTGAGAAGAAGGACAAGGCCAAGGTCTGACCCTAAACAGCCAAAACACGAAGTGGGTGATTCTTGCAGCTGTCATAGATCATCAATAATTATTAACAAATCAACCAACATTGATATTCGATCTGGTACTATATGACATTTATATTTAAATTCACTGAACCACGGGTTTCAAAATTGTAAATAGACGTTCATATTTGTTAACCTTTTAAACGGTTAATTAAATTTTTAAAGTCGTAAATAATTTCTTTGAAAGGTCGACCATGGAACAGAGTATTTTTCTAAGGTAAATAAAGCATTATTTTATTTCCTACTACTGTCATTGCAGAATGAAAGCTGTAATTTACAGAGAGTATGATTCGAAGCAGTTACTACTTAGAATTATAAAGGCTTTAATTAATTATTTGATTCATGTTATGAGCTAATTATGGTGTTTATATCGGGAAGGGAGTAATTAATCCGCCTAATTTACACATACGGGCTGACACGAATTACGTGCGGGACTTATCCAAGTCGAGAGAAGGCACAAACGCGATTGACGTTGGCTCAAAGTTTTATCAAACATTTCAAAGTTAAATTTGATATTTTCAGGCCAGCAGCCTTTGCAGGATCTGGAAATCCGGGTCGGCAACAGCAGTTCAGATCTTCAGAGGAATCCGCTGTGCGCCTGGTATCCCGGAACTTTGGGTGAGTTTTCACTTTTTGACATTTTCGATTGCGATCCGTCCGCTTTTATTGTACAATTAAGGAATTTTTTATTGTTATTGATTTTTAGTTTTCAGCTTGTTTTGTTTTGTTTTTTCAGAGGAAGGAGTGACGAAGGCGTTTACTTGCGCCAGGACTCTCGTAGGTCAGCACGTCTTCATACAATTAGTAGGCGTAGAAGGATCACTTTCCCTCTGCGAAGTCGAAATTTTCACAACTGCAGGTAACTATTTCGTAATTTTAACATTTCCTCATACCCGGCCTTCCGACTACTTCCAAACAATAACTTATTTGCTCAAAATCAGCGAAATTAAAAGAAAAAATATTGTAGTTTTGATGTCTTCCGCTTTAAGATAAAGCGGAAGACTACTAAACCGAAACGTATTACGATTATTTTATAATTCCATGGTAATTACTTTCACTTCCAAATTGCGTAAGTTCGCCATGAGAATCGTTACTTACACTTCCCTTTCTGAAATCCTTTTTTAATTACTCTTGAACTTAAAATGATACTGATTTTCAAAAAAAAAATTCAAAAACTTTTCATAGTGTTGATTCTACTACAAAAATTACAAAAATTAGGCACACTTGGTAACTTACATTGGTTTGCATTCTACTTAGAAGGTCGAATGGTTAAAGTAAAATTAAAACCGGTATTATCGCATAGTTTTCCAGCAACTTCTGGAGTTCCTCAAGGGTCGGCTTAGGGCCTTTTCTTTTTAAAATCTATATAAACGATACATCAGATTCTCTTCCATTCAGTATGACCCTACTTTTCGCATAACATTTAAAACTATTCTTAAAAATTATTTCTGTTTCTAACTGCTTAACATAACTTAGTAAAACTTAATAATTGTTGTTCAACTAATAATAGTCTTTTAAATTCTGACAAATTCAGTTATGACTTTCCATAAAATAAAATATCATATCAAATTTAAGTACACTATATCCAACTAGCTCATAATTAGACTTGAAATTGTTAAAGATCTCGGAATAATTATTGACAGCCAGTTAAATTTTCACATACGCATTAATAAAACTATTGCTAAAGAAAATAAAACTTTAGGATTTATTACACGTCATACTAAACATGTCCATGATCCAAATTCACTTAAAATTTTATACACTTCCACTTTAAGACTAATTAATTATTCTTTTTATCTAAGGTTTTTGGTTGAGATGAAAAATTATTGTCATGAGCGGGATTCAAACCCACGACCTTTGGCTCAATTTACCGCTGCTCTAACCACTTGAGCTAACGTGACACTAATTTTTCATCTCGACCAAAAACCTTAGATAAAAAGAATAATTAATATGGTCAATTATGTTCACTAAACAAATAAGGTTTAAGACCAATATTACTGTTCACCTCTTTGAGCTCCTTTCAATCCACCCATATCAGTCAAATAAAAGTGGTTTAAAAAAGATTATTACACCTGGAGTGGAGAACAGAGACACCATACTAATGTCAGATCTGAGATTCCTGTACAGAAGGAAATTCTTTGTTTGCATATTATTATATAAATTACAATTAATTAAGGTTTTTAGTTGAGATGAAAAAAAGTTAATGGCACGAGCGGGATTCGAACCCACGATCTTCGGCTAGATACGCCGCTGCTCTACCACTCGATCCACTCGGACACTAACTTCCCATCTCAACCCCACCTTATGAGTTTTCCCTCCTTTTTGCCATTTTTCAAATGCGTGTAATCGGATTGGATTCTCGACGACAAATGAAAGGCCACGGTAGAGTAGCGGCGTATCAGCCGAAGATCGTGGGTTCGCATCCCGCTCGTGCCATTAAGTTTTTTTCATCTCAACTAAAAACCTTAATTAATTGTAATGTATTAATTGGTCAAGCGGACCACGAAATTAGTGAAATTATATAAATTATTACATTCCTTAACTGATTGCCCCCCCTTAACCAAATTAACTTTCAAGTTCCATCGTATCATTCTGGAATTCATACAACATTCTCCATTGAGTGCCATTGAACTAATTATGGCATAATTAATTCAGTTTTATTCCAAGAGCAACAAATATGTTAAACTCGTTCAAAAATATTGATATATTTATGTCAATTTAAGTAAATTTTATCTTTAGAAAATTAAATATTGTATCATTAACGTATTTAAGTAATATTGATTTTGGTTAGCATTAATAATTGATAATTAGATAGTTTTATTCAATTTCAATTTCAGTTTTTTTTTCTTTTCTTTACCGTAAAATAAATAAATGGATTTTCAGGTGTGAGGTGAAATTTTGACAAAGATTCTCTTTTTGCAAATCCATTAAAAATCTTTAATTATTAACATATCCGAGTAAAAGAAAAAACTCAGAATGAGCCTAAAGCTATTTATTATATTGAACAAATGTTAAGACATGAAAATTTTTAAAATAGAAAACCAGAGATTTTGGACAAAAATCAGTCCAGTCTCGGATGGAGAAAGCCAAAATACCTTTTGATACATGCACAATTTAATGCAGGTTTATCTCATATGAAAATCTTTATAATAAACTGTCTTTTCAGAGTTCTCTAATGATCGGTGTGCATCATCAGGAGTTGGTTCTGAAGTTGAATTTGTCGCCTTCGATCGAATGTGCTACGAGTTTAATGTTGGTAAAGGTGGATCTTTTCAAGAAGCACGATCGAACTGCCGACGCCAGTCCGGAGGAGACTTGGCCCATGGTTTCAGGGGTGTGCACAACACATTTCTCCTGTCTGAACTGGAAAGGAGGAAGTCGAATTTGAGGACACACCTCGTCTGGATCGGAGCGCAAAAAGAGCCAGGATACATTCACAGAACGTGGAAATGGGTCAATGGTATGGACCCTTGCACATTTCAAGAATTACTATTTAATTAATGAGTTTTTTTTCAGGTGAAGTGATTTCAAAACCGGCATGGGGTAAAGATCAGCCGAATAATTACAATGGAGAACAAAACTGTATAGTTTTGGATGGAGCTAACAACTGGCAGTGGAATGATGTTGGATGTAATTTAGATTATTTGCACTGGATTTGCCAACACAGTATGTAAAAAAATTTTAATTATCAATTTTATTATTATATAATCTTAAGTTTAATTACATTTTTTACATAAATTAGAAATGTAAATTATGACCAAGCCCTAAAATTTATGAATTTTATTATTTTAAAGAACCACCTGTTTGCGGAAGTCCCGACAAGAACCTCAATACAACTATTATCGGAAAAGACTACAATATTAATTCTACAATCAAATATGAATGCCCAGAGGGTCACATGTTGGTCGGTTCTTCTGAGCGTACGTGTACACAAGCCGGCTTCTGGTCCGGTGAACCGCCGAACTGTAAATGTAAGTAAATTTTGACATAAACACCTCATGAGCCAATATGAAACTAACGTTTTCATCTTTTATCAGACGTCGACTGTGGAGATATCGGAGGTGTAGAGCACGGCACTGTTGAATTAGTCGATAAAAGAACATCCTTCGGTGCGGAGGCGGTATACACTTGCGACAAAAATTACACACTCGTCGGTGAAAGTAAAAGACAGTGTGGGGATTCCGGTGTTTGGACTGGACAACAACCTCAGTGCTTATGTATGTTTTAAATTTAAAAAAAAAAATATGACATTATTAACAATATAATTTATATTACTCTTTAGTCGATTGGTGTCCGGATCCTCCTCAAGGTGAGGGAACAACAGTCGTCGTCTCAGGAACAAAAACAGGCTCCTCAGCGACTTACTCGTGTAAACCTGGTTTTATACTCTTTGGGCAAATGGTAATCTACACTATACAATATTATGGAAAAAATGGTTTGTAGTTAGTGGTGGAAGTGTAGAACTAGTGTAGTGTTCAGAATATACTTTTTAATAATTTTCATTATTGTGTAATGTAATTAGAACAAAGTAAAAGTTACCGAATAAAAGGTTGTAACCGTTAGTAAATATATTGATTCTTTGTAAAAATAAAAATACAATATTTTCAAACCTGTGATAAGCCAGTGTTTTGCTTAAATGCATGCTACCTAATCCAATTATCTAAAAAATTTAACATATTATTGCAAGACATTGATTTTTTAGTAGTGTATTGTTAAGTTTAATTATTATATTATTTTAATAATATCTATTTTTAAAAAAATTAAACTGGGATTAATTGGTATTTAATGATGCTCTTCAATCTCTTCAATAAGGCTTTTAGCACTTCACAATATACTTAGCAAACTGTCTTGCTTTTTATTGGGAAAAAACTGAATTTGTACTATACATTGCTTTGTCTAATTAAGGTGCTCACATGCGGACTTGGAGGAATTTGGTCAGGGAAAGCCCCGACTTGTAAATACGTGGACTGCCGAGATCCATTAAACATCGATAATGGTAGATTCACACTCTTGAACGGAACGACAACTCATGGAAGTATGGTGGAGTACACGTGCGATGCCGACCACTGGTTGGAGCCACCGGACAGAAGCATTTTGACCTGTATGAGAGACGCCAAGTGGTCGAGTGATCCACCGTCTTGCGAATGTGAGTTTCTACTTTTAACGATAGCACGATAGTTTATTAATTTTTATTTTTTTAGTAATTACATGCCCAGAACCGGAAATACCCGAAGATGGATATGTCGTTGGATATGACTTTAATGTACATTCGGCAATTGAATATCATTGCGAACCTGGGCATATTCTGAGGGGGAAATCGACTCTTCAATGCAATACACAAGGCGAATGGGATGGAGAACCTCCAAACTGTGAATGTACGTATTATACATTAAAGTTTTATCTTCTAAATTCTTTATAATTTTTATGGAATTAAATTGAATTTTAATTTTTTTGAAAGCTGAAAATTTTGAGTTAAATTGATATTTGCAAAGAAATCTACATTAAAACAAAGTAATGAGCTATTTTAACTATTTTTAATTAATATTTGGCCAAAAATAATTAAACCGCATATATGTCGGAACTACAAGGGTTCCAAAAACAACTAGGTTTCATACAATTTTTTTTTTAATGGTCTTCATCATTGTGTCAATTTGAATATAGATATCGATTGCGGAAAATTATCTCCAATTCCATATGGCACATTCAGCTATGTAAATTCTACGACTTATCTCGGAAGTGAAGTCTCGTACGGCTGTTCAAGAAATTATAAGTTAGTCGGACCCAGCCACAGAGTTTGTCAAGAAAACAAACAATGGAGTGAAAACACTCCTCGTTGTGAAGGTATTTAAAAAAAAAAATTAATTTTACATTTGTGTCCGACATTACAATCAATTTTTTTTTTTTTTTATAGAAATCCGTTGTCCAGAGCCTATCTTAGCTGAACATGCCATACTTTCCGTTACTGGAAATGATCGATTGTATGGAAGAACTCTGATAAAAACTGCAGAAACGGCCATGTCATTTGCTACGTATAAAATCGGCGCACTTGTTAAATATAGGTGCGAAAGGGGGTACAAAATTGAGGGCGATCCTCTCAGCACTTGCGAAGAAAATGGAAAATGGAGTGGGAAAATTCCAGAATGTACTTGTAAGTTTTTTTTTTCAAATTAGAATTTATCAGAACTTAATTAAACAATAATTTTAGTCGTTGACTGCAAAATGCCTACTGCACCAGCCCATGGAAAGTTCACACTTGCGTCAAACGTTACATATTACGGTGCTGTGGTTCTTTACGAGTGTGAAGATAATTTTCAACTGGACGGATATGCAAGAAGGCTCTGCCTCGACAACGGTACCTGGAGTGCTGAAACACCAACCTGCAAAGGTTTGAATTAATCCGTACCAACTTTCATTCTGTGCATCAATCATTAATTATTTAAAACATTCAGAGGTCGTATGCAAAGAGCCGGAAAAAGAAGGCGGAGTTACGGTTCACGTTTCAACGTTCAGCATCGGCGGTGTGGCCCATTACTCCTGCCCCAAAGGCCACGACTTGCAAGGCAACGCGACAAGAATCTGCCAAAAAAAGGGTACTTGGAGTGGATACATTCCCAACTGCATCCGTAAGTCCTTTTATGAACTTAATCCCTTCATAAATTACACATACTTTTCTTCCTTTAGCTGTGGATTGTGGCAGACCTCCGACAATTGAAAATGGAAGAGTCATCATTATGAACGACAGCACGACGTATAATAGCGGGGCTGAATACCATTGTATACCTCAATACCAAAGAATAGGTCCATTTCTCAGAAAATGTATGGACGATGGAAATTGGTCTGGCGATGAACCAAGATGTGAAAGTAATTACTTTCCCATTATATTAAGTTTCTATTACAAAAATCTTTTTTTATGAAACTTATTTAAAAAATAATTATTTTTTAGTGACTATTAGTCCGACTAATGAATCGCAAACGCTAGGTCTTACAATCGGAATAGGGGCTGGAGTACTTTTATTCCTACTACTCATATTGGGAATAATTTACCTGAGGATGTAAGTACAAATTAATGACAAAATAAAGGACAATTTAATGTATAAAACTTGTTTGTTTTAGACGAAAAGAAACACCAGTGAAAAATACAGAGAACATCGAAGGTGCCATAAGAAAAGAGGACCAGAATGCAGCAGTCATGTCTTACTCTAACTTGAACGATGGCCAAGGGAACAACATATACGAAAACATACACGAACCCGAGAGCATGTATGATTCGCCGTATGAAGAGACGAGTCATTACGAACCTTCGCCGGTCACTACTAGGAGTAATCTCGGTGGAGCGACAGTCACTATAAACGGAGTGGCTATCCGATGATTACAACAAGCTCAAATCTCAAATTGAACTTTGATGATTTTTTTTTTTTATGCAATAAGTTTGTTGCATTGAAATTGTGCAAACAATGCAAAATATTTACTGATGTGATTAATAATTAATTAAAACAATGCCTATGTTAGTTAAGGATTGAAAATCTGATTCGGGCCTATTTATTATTTCTCAAAATTTGTATATATTTTTTTCTCATTTCACTTTTAAAGCAAAAAAAAACGGACGAAAAATGAAAATTACGAGATTGAAAAAAAATCCATAAAATTTGTCTCATTTAATTTCCTTCTAAGTCCTTTATAATATTTTTTTTTAATTGGTATATTTTGTATACCTCTTCACTGTAGTATTTTGTAAGTAATAGAAGAATGTAAAATTATTTTGTAAATATTTATACCTCCTCTGTGAGGATTGTGACTGTTACAAATAGGTTGTTATTAAATGTTAAATAATTTGTACATTTTTATTTCAACAATCCCTCCTATTTTTATTATTATATTAGAATTATTATATATTTATCATATTAGAAAAATTTATGTTTTTGTATATAGTTGTGTAAATATTCTCAGAGCTGCTAAGATTCAAACCCATACAGTGATGAGTCGCTGTGTCAACGCTCTAACCATTGCAGCCACTGCCCCATTTTTTTAAATCATATACTTTAAACATTGAAAACTTTTTAGAATTATCTTGGCATTCTCTCCTTCATAGAAATATAATGGAAAGACAACAATTGCAAATTTATTATTAGAAAGACTGCAAAATTTGCAAGAAAAGTTTTATTGTGATATTTTTTAATTTGAAATTCAATGTGTTCATAATTTTAATAACTTTTTGAAAAAACATCCTATTTGTGGATTTACTTTAAGTACTTTTAAGTTACGTTGAGGACTGCTGAGATTCAAACAGAGTGGAATCAGCGTATCTACACTCTAATCATAATGACCACCATGCCCCATTTTTTATAAATCAATTACTTTACAAATTTAAAACTTTTTGGAGTAAGCTTATTTTTTTTCTTTCGTGAGATATAGAAAAGAACACAATTCTCAAATTTATAATCAGAAAAACCGCAGAATTTGTGGTAAAAATTTTATTGAGAATTTTTCATTCAAAATCCAATGTTTTTTGTTATTGCTTTTTTTACAGGGGTTCGCAATGGTTGTAAATCCTGTGGTTCTGGTATTTTTGAAAAAAAAAAAAAAAGACCATCTGTAAGTACTTTGAAGCTACTGAGATTCAAACCTTAGAGTTGAGTCAGTATATCAATGGTCTAAGTCCCATTTTTTATAAATCCATTACTTTAAACATTAAAAGCTTTTTGGACTAATCTTATATCATCTTTCTTTCCTTCTTTCATGAGACATCATCGAAAAGATGACAATTCTCAAATTTATTATTAGAAAAATGCAGAATTTGGCGTAAAAATTTTGTTGTGAGATTGTTTCATTCAAAATCCAATGTTTTTTTGTTTTTTTTAATTTTGTGCAAAATTTTTGGACTAATCTAAACTTTCTTTCTTCAGTAGAGAAGATGACAATTCTCACATTTATTATTAGAAAAATGCAGAATTTGGCATAAAAATGTTGTGAGATTGTTTCATTCAAAATCCAGTTTGTTTGTTTTTTTAATTTTGTGCAAAATTTTTGGACTAATCTAAACTTTCTTTCTTCAGTAGAGAAGATGACAATTCTCAAATTTATTATTAGAAAAATGCAGAATTTGGCGTAAAAATTTTGTTGTGAGATTGTTTCATTCAAAATCCAGTTTTTTTTTATTTTGTGCAAAATTTTTGGACTAATCTAAACTTTCTTTCTTCAGTAGAGAAGATGACAATTCTCAAATTTATTATTAGAAAAACTACATAATTGGGAGGGGGATTTTTATTATGAGATTTTTTAATTCTAAATCCAATGTTTTTTGTTATCGCTTTTTTTTTTTTTTTTTTTTTTTTTTTTTTTTTTTTTTTTTTTTTTTTTTGAGGAGTCAGCGTATCAAAACTGTAACTGTTATGACCACCGAAGCCCTATTTTTTATAAATCAATTACTTTAAACATTTAAAACATTTTAGAGGGATCTTGCCTTTCTTTCATCATTTCATAGTTTCATATGCACAACAAAATAATTTATAGTTTGGTTATTTCATCTGTCTTCCTGTCATAATTTTTCACTGCCTTAGTCTATTAGACGTGTTTCCATCATATCATAGAATTTCCAATATCCATGTCATCCAACTCTGTGCACAGTTGATAAATTAAGAAAATGAAAGGTTCATAAATCAACACACTCTTGGAGTCAGGCAGCTATAAAGGCACTAAATATGTGTGCATTTAGCTACAAACTAGTCTGGGAAAGCCTAAATTGCCTAATGATCCTAGGAAAATAGCAAAGTTACCTTGAAGTGGGTTTCATGAAGGTATAGAAGGAAAAGAACAGGCCGATCAAGCCAGGAAAAATGGCTTATGAAAGAAACTTTCAAGAATTAGTAATGAGCCAAACCAAGAGATTTATAAGTCTCTCAAAAAAGATGATGAAGTAACTCCATTCTCTCAACAGACAAGATTTAATTAAGAACGTACAGGCCACTGCTTAAAGATGAGAAAAGCAGAGAAGAAAATAAGCCGGCTGTCAAGAGAAACCAGAGAAATCAGCACAAGCGAGTAAATGGTATTCTTGGTATTCTTATCTAAGGCAATTCTCACACCAAAGAAAATTTGTCAAGCATCATAAATAGTGCTTAGTTTTGTGGGGGAAAAGAAACCTTTCGCATCATTTCAGGTTCCACAATAGACTACTTGAAATGCCACTCTGAAAAAGAAAAACAGGATAAGCAGACAAATCAAACTATAGGTCCATCATTCCAAAGACCTCATCGAGAAATCTAATTTAACATAATACATAATTCTTTCAATTAATTAATCTTTATGTAAGGTTTTGATTGAAATGAAAAAGTTAGTTCACGAGCGGTTTTCGAACCCACCCGAAGGAGGGAAAATTCAAAAGGTTGTAGGTTGACATGAAGAGTATTGAGCCGAAGGTCATGGGTTCGAATCCCGCTCGTGACACTGACTTTTTCATTTAAACCAAAACCTTACATAAAGATTAATTAATTGAAAGAAGTAATTTGGCCAATAGACCGTTAAATATAATGGATATAAAACTTAATTACAAATCGGACCATGGTGCCTGGGTGGTTAAGGTGTCCTCATATTGCCACCCTAGCATCCTGGGTTCAAATACTAAAAAAGCCCATGGCTTTTTAATTGAAAGTAATTTGAAAAAAGTATTGAAAAGTGGTTTAACCTCTCGTCCACGACACCCAATAAATAGTTGGACATTAAGCCCTCCTGTATCATTGAAATTAGGTACTTTACTTATTTTAATAATTATTTAAAAAAAATAGCTGCTTTATATTTTTATATATATATATCTTTGAGTCATAAAAATATACAAATGCTATAATAAAAAAATCGATGTGTTCCACCTAATTGAAGGGTACAATTTCTCGGCTCCATCCAGAGTGCACAGGAATGCCACCCAATTTGAGAATTGTATACATGGCAGCGGGTATTTGAATCCCCTATGCCAGTTCTTGGAGGAAATAGGGTTGTTCTATTGAACATATTGGGTTGTCCGGAAAATAATGCAGGATTTTGGTATTAAACAAAAAAAAAGAAACTAGTTACTTTAAAGCAATGTTCTTTAATCAAAATAATNTAATCCTGTAAACGTAAACAGAATATTTTATATAGATTTTTTTTAATGAAAACTTAAAATCCTGCATTATTTTCCGGACAACCCAATAGTAATTAATGATTAAGCCGAAGGCTTATTATAATAAAAATAATACAAATAAATAAATTAAATTCTTAAATAATTAACAAAAGGAATGCTTAACAAGGGAAAAAATTAGAAAATCACTTGCCGAGAGTAGCAATGTTTCACTCACCTTACAATTCGCTAATGCAGGATAACGCTCCAAGGTCTTAGAGTTTTGCTCCGGGAATGATGAGGAAACGCAGTTAACACCTTGGCTGTGAAACGAAAACAGCACTTTTCATAAGATAATTTTCTTGTGTTGCAATAAGGAGGAGAAATACTTTGTTGAAACGGGAAAGACATTAACTAATCTTATGATATTGAGAACGAGGTATCCAGCCAGAGAGAAAAATGTGTGTCGAACAATGGACGGTATCAAAAAGCCGTACGCAGTCCTCCAACTAAAAGCCTCTCATCATTCAGCAGGCCAGAGGACGGAGGCTTAAAATAAAGAGAACGGAATTGAATTTTAATAAGAAAAAAAAATTATGCTTTGGCGTAAACTTACCGTGTATACCTAGCTTGAGTTAAGAGTGAATGTATTTATTAGCATGAATGTATTTATGAGAGGATCGATGGCGTAATATCGAGTACCGCATCGACTCAATTAGGTTAGGTGTGTATGTGTAAAGGATGACGGAGGAATGTCGAGTCATCACCCTAACTGAATGAATCGTATGTAAATAGGAGTGAATGTATTTAAGAATGAACCTGAGTACGAATAGTTTGGAACTGAATGTGTTGGGTGATTAAACTAGTTGTTGACAACGCCCCCCAGAGAACTTGATGGCTGGACGGCTAAGTCCAAGGTCCAACCTCGGACAGCGAACACTCACAATGAGTGAATCTCAAGTATTGCTTGGTAATTTACTGTAAATAGTAAAAGCAGGAATTTCCAGTGGACACGATGTGAATAGGCACAACTCGGCACATACTTGTGCGGTTTTGAAGTATATAAATCCAAATAATCCACCAGGGGATGGCATAAAAAGAAAACCAAATACATTAAATTAAATTTAATTAAATATATTTAAAAATATACAGCAAATTAATTAAAAATTTATTATATCAAACATTAGTTAACGAATTTTCAAATAAATTAAAACATTATAAAAAATACAATTAATACAACTATTAAATAATTCCAAATTAAGTTAACAGACATGTTTTTGGCACTAACAAGCACATTTTACTGCATCCTATCAACAATTTTTTTTAAAGGCACATTATTTGAGGCTCTGCATTCTAAAATTGAAAATCATTCTTATATTTAAAATTTTAACGCTATAATTTTTATAATAAAATTATATAACCAACAATTGTTAACAGTATTATACTAGATTCATTGTTAACATAATAAACATCTTTTGGTTAAACATTTTTTATATATATGTAAGTATTCTATTAATTGTCATACAGGCACACGTCCAAATGCTTTATTGGAAGACTACTCATGTCTAATAAATTTATAAATTAATTTGAAAAATTACAACAATAAAAATTCCTAAAGGCTTCCTTTATTTATTAAGTTAATAAGATATTAATTTTTAAGTAACACTTTTAAGTATAGTGTTGTTTGAACAAAAGATTTTTAAGTTTGGGTGCTAAAATTCTGTATTCTTTCATAACACAGAAGAGAACAAGGGGAAGTCAGTTTTTGATTTTTATCACAGTTTCGGTACATTTTCCCATAATAAAATTAATTGAACGGTTTGAAAAATTCGATGTTTACTTTCGATTAGGCACTAAGTTCATTTTTAAGCCACTTAATAGTTTGTCTAAAACCATTATTAAAGTGCTAGTGTATAATAGCTGTTGACTATTTTTTTTAAGGCAGTATTTGTCATTTGTAACACGTTAGATTTGCATAATTGATAAATATATTACAACTTTTGACTTTTTGCTTTTTTTTTCCTAACTTACCGATTCATCTTATCGAGAATCGGGAGAACCATGTCAAAAGTGGGACGTTTTCCTGGGTCTTCATTCATACAAATGCGGATGAGCTTGGCAAGATGTGGAGATATACCAGGCGGAATAGTCACTCTTAAACCTTCCAAAGCCACCTATTAAAAATAACCCATAATCTATTAATAAGAGTCAAAAAATCAACAATCTTTTGGGGGGTACATGTAAGTTTTAACATTCACACCGCCATTGTGGTTTTTTACTTGTTTTTTAACCATAATTTTTTACAGTACAATTTTTTTTTCTTATAATTGTCAATATAAGTCACCTTACTCACTCAGGTAGGAAAAAGGTTTAGCCCTATTAATCGCACCCTAATCCCTCACTCTTTGTCAACTTGTCCTGGTTTCTTCCGTTTACTCTAAAGCTATCACTTTTCAGTTTGTATTCAGTTTCTGTGTAAAAGTGAGTAAAATGGATGTCAACTCTGTTTTAATACATGCAGATAATTTTTTGAAAGAGTTCCGGAAGAGGGACAAAGAATAAATTTTTTTTTTTTTTTTTTGGTGGTCGATGTCTTTGACGGCAAAAAATATTTCACCAGATGAAATAAATGCAACAACGTTTTAAATTGTGTATGAGATTCATAACGTAATAGTTAGGTAATAAAGTAAAATAAATTAACATTGAAAAAATTTCATACCTATACATGAAAATTTTTATAATACATAAAATTAGTAAATAAAATTTCAGGAACACATAAAAATTTATATTTATAAGCCATGTTACAAGAGGAAAATAAAGGGAAAAAATTATTTTTGCACTGGGGTGACCAGAGCGCGGGCTTGAACGGTTCAGTGGATACAAATCAGAGAAAAAGGTCTTTATTGTTTAGTTGTTGTTTTTTTTAATAATTATTATTTTGTACTTTATTTTCTTATAATCAGGACCACGTTGAGGTTCAAATTTATTTTATGCGATTTTGTTTTCTGACCTTTTCATTTTCCTTTTTATTATTGTAGAAGAGATCTTGTTTAAATTTCCTTTTTGTTCTCCATGTTATTCACAGTACAGAGAACATTGCTGTTTTATTTTCTTTGTTTTTTATTTCACCCCGAGGGTTCACTTTTTCCCAAAATGGAAAAAAAACAGTGTGGCGCTCGATTATTCCAGTCCGAAGAGGAACCAGTAACAGTCACGTATACACATACTAAATAAATCAATCTTTAAAAAAAAATCCTTATTCACCTTTTTTACCAATGGCAATGCGAGTAATAAAGCTATCTCTATTTGAAGTGATTTATAAAGTTTTAAAAAACCTCATAAAACCAAAAAATCCTTATTATCAAGTTTCTTCTTTCCTGTTTATTTTTTATTTATTTATCTTTTTCCCTAGGTGTTATTGCAGTTTTTCAGAAAAAATAAATATATGCTGGGTTTAAAAAGACCAGCCAAAGCTGTCCATATTCTTTTTTTTACCAATGCAAGTGTTAAAGCTATCACTTTTAGAATATTGATAGCTTTAAGGTCCTTATTATCATATTTCCTTTTTCCTTTTTATTTTCTGTGAGTGGTTTTCTTATTATCGTAGTTTTTCATTTAAAAAATATTGGGTTTAAAAAGACCAGCCAAGGCTGATCATGTTCTTTTTTTTACCAAGTATTAAAACTTTCACTTTTAGAATAGTAAAGATTTTAAAAAATCCTATAATACAAAAAAATCCTTATTATCATATTTCCTCTTTCCTTTTTATTTTCTGTGAGTGGTTATCTTATTATTGCAGTTTTTCAGGAAAAAAATATTGGGTTTAAAAATACCAGCTGTTTTTTTATTACAGCTTTAAAGCTTACTTGTACCCCGATATTTTTATGAACCAACATGCGATAACGATGTTTTATATTTTTTACAAAATTTCATGCAATACTTTATTTAATAAAAAGGCAGGATATTTACCCTCATTCCAACTTCCATAGGAGAAAGATCGGCAAAAGGCACTTCTCTTGTGGACAATTCCCAGAGTAAAACTGCAAAACTCCACATATCAGAGGCTTCCCAGTTTCTATCAGTGGGTCTCTTCTGCAAGGCTGAACACACAAAAAAAATCAAATAGTACACAAGAGAATAAAATACAAAATTATGTCACAAAATGACTAGAGTAAAATATTACCATCAGGAGACATCCAAGCAGGATAATAAATACGGCCTTTCTCTTGAAATGAAAATTTAGCATCTGCCATGTTTATTCTTGCACTCAAATCCTCGTCAATCTATTTCAAAACATCCATTAAATCAATTATAATTTTTTTTTTAAATTAATTTTTGTATATTTTACCATGATGTGTCTGGAGTTAAGATGATACTGAGGAGTGATCCTTTCAAGGCTGTGCAAAAATGCCATCCCTCTTGCGACATCGCCAGCAAAACGGAGAGCCTGAGCCGAATCTACGACTAAACCTCCACCCTGATGAAGAAGGGTGTAAAGCGAGCCCCATGGCATGTGTTGATTTATGACAATGAGACGCGGTGGAGCGTTGCAACAGCCAATAACTGGCAGAACGTTAGGATGAGAAAATATCCTAAAAATATTGTTTTTGTAAGAAAATTGTTATTTATAAAGCATTTTTTTTTTAAATTAAAAACCTTAATTTTGGAAATTCCTCATTGAAATCCCTACAAATCCTTGCAGTGACTTCACCAACGTTGAGGATTTTAGCTACAATTTCATTTTTCTGCCAGTGCCCTCTCCATGATTCTCCACTTTGTGATGTTGCAATTTTGGTGTGGAGCTTGATATCATTGATGTTAATACCTTTATGCCTTGACAAAGTAGCATCCCCTGAAAGCAATTTTTTTTTTTTAATTTTTAGTTTTTTTTTAAGAAGGATAAAATGAATAATCATTTTTTAAAAAATGTACATTCAAAACTTACTGCTTCTTGTTTTTAAGCCAAGCCAACTCTGATCTTTGAAAGTGATTTTCTTCAAGTCTTGACCCGTTTCAACAGCAAGTTCTAGGCACAAAACAAAATAAAATAAGATAAACATTTAAAAATAATATTTACGGTTATTACCATGCAGCCTTTTGGCAAGCGAGCCTCTGGCTTTATCCAGGGGAGTGGCTCCGTCTTTATTTGCAAGCGATATGAGAGCGCCATGAGATACGAGATCTTCCGCCAGTTGTTGATATCCCCAGAAACTCGCATAATGCAGCGGAGTATTTCCGTGCTCGTTGGAAAAATTGACATCTGCTTTGTTGAAGAGCAGGACACGAACGATATCCTTGTGGCCGTGTGCTGCCGCGAGGTGCAAAGGTGTATCGTCGCCCATATTCGTGGCGTTTATCCTAGCACCTCTTGAAATCAACAATTCGACGATATTCGTATGCCCTTCTTTACAGGCCCAATGAAGAGGACTAAATCCATGATCATCCCTGAAACAAGCACACAAGTTAACTAAATACAGCAAAGGACATTATGCCAAATATGGTTGATTCAGGAGGGTTTTCGTAAAAATTGACTAGTAAAAATTAACCACAGTAGGAAATTTACAATGTTTTTCCTTTATACTTTTTATGAGAATTGCTCGTAAAATATAATTTTAATTTTCTTTTTTATCAAGGAAGACCAATTCGATCCCATTTTGATCAACGACCAAAATAAATGAGATGTTCCTGTTTAACTTTTATTTAAAAAAAGAGCATATCAGTTAACCTAGTTTCTTTTTTTTTTTTTTTTTTTTTTCAAAAAGCTCCTTTTAGTTCCTGGACTTATTACATGAAATACTAATTAAAAAATATATTTGCACATACCAAACTATAATAAACTTCAATAAAGCAGACAAGTGCTATGAATTAGGACGAGCTCGTTGAAATATTAGAAATATTCCCAATGCCGGTTCTAATAAAGCGATTTTAATTAAAACTATCATTTACTACTTGAGATTCCATTTAAACTCCTTAAGTTAAAATAAGCACCTAGTTAAATTTAAATAAATAATTTGAACATATCTGCACAAATTGTGGGATGCAGTTGGCACTTTGTACATAAATAAAATTAAAATAAACCAATGAATTATGAAGAGCTTGCTAATTTATTAACAAAATTTTGGTGGGTATGCCACTGTCCTCACTTCCGTTGCAACCACCACGTCGACCTATCGTCAATTTAAAATAATATATTGAATCTATTATTGGAGTTTACATTTATTTAAGATTTCTGTCCATTTATGTATTGTTAAATAGTTTGCACGTGTTTTATTACACCCTCAATCATACAACTGCATCAAGTTATTAACATTTAGTATATGTTTGGTTGGTCCCATTAACTAACGTAATTATTTTTTTTTTTTTTTATTCAAAGTATGGTTGAGTTGAAAATAAGTGTTATGAACGGGACTCGAAATCTCCGGGAGTAGTACTATCAGAGTACTGATAATCGGAGGTTGTGAATGTCTTTGCATAAAAAATAATTAATTAATTAAAATAATTACTGTGGTTAATAAGACCGTAAAGTGATAAAGTTTATAATCATTAGGTCTACAAGTCTACAATAACAGTCAAGATGTATATTTATTTATTTTTAAACATTTTGATTCAGTTTCTGCATACATAGTTGATTATAATTATCACATTAGATAATAGCACACTAATGACATTCCAGTAAATCTTTGTTTTTAGATACAAGATTCTCTGTATTAAGAGACTGTCTAATTTGATAAACATACTCTTTTATTAATAATCAACCATATAAAGCAGAATGACTTATGTATAAAAAATAATAGAAATAAAATTAAAATAAAAAGATAATTCAGTTCAGAGTTCATAAAGAAAAAAGCGACTTGAACAATTCACTCTAAATTATAACTCTCAACACGGCACGCAAGAATGGCACAATTACACAGAAGACAAATACTTTGAGCCCTGAAGATGATCTCAATAAAAATTGAAACGTTGGCACGATAAAGAAAATGTTTTTCTGAAACCTACATCACACCAGACTGCATCTCACGATTTCTGAATAATTACAAAATTATAAAATGTTTTTGTTCTTATGGCTTCAAAACCCATAAATTGTGCATGCTTATTGTATGAATTTTAGCACAGTATTAAGGTGGCCGAAGAAGCTTTAAAATTTAAACTGCATTGAGTGATGAAAAATATAACTGAGTGACTGCCCAAAGAGGTTCAAAAAGTTTAAAAAAGTGCTCCACTAAATACAAAGCATCTCTTTTGTTGTTGAATATTCATTTTTCACATCAATGGATTTTTTTTTTTTTTTAATTTTTATTGGCCTTATGATCTTGCATATTAGCCATAGTACGAATTCTTGTGTGTTCCAATTGGGGGTTATCGGGAAAAAAGGGCCAGAGGCGACGGTGGGAATCGAACCCACGACCGCGGCGTGAGAGTCTCTCATGCTAACCACTCGGCTACCGCGGTCCCCACACATCAATGGATCATTCAGTCAATGTTACCACCACTGGTGTTTTTGTATAGGATCCATTTTTCATTGCATGTGACAATCCGGTCAAAAAACGTATTTACTTTGTACAGAGAAATGTTTAGACACTAAAACTTGTTACCGTTGATCAATTTATGAGGAACCCATTTGCTCAGCTGTCACGTCTTTCCAAGCCAAACACCCTGGCGAGTTCCTGACATGTCTGATTTGAATCAAGTCCAATAGCTTTCCTCGATTCGTTGTCATTAAAGATAAGTCTACCAGACTTCAATCCCTCCCAGAAGGAAACTTTTGAATTTTGAGCAGTGTGCTTACACATTGTTTCAAACCGAACGCAGTGTAAATTTTATGAACTGCTTCAGCCGCCCTAATACTGAGCTAAAATTCATACAATAGGCGCTTATGGTATTGAAGAGATAAACAAAATATTTTAAACTGTTCAAGAAACTTTTTCTTTTTGATATAACGCATTATCCTCTTTGTACTGGAAAACAATTAATTATCCTAGGTAAACAGAAATGTTGATTTAACGGTATTAAAGCAATAACAAATGAAAACCACACAAATTTTTTCGTAATAAGGGTTTTGAATAGTTTAGCAATTTTGAGACTGAGCCTATATTCAAAAAAATTGTAAACAATTTATAAAAACTTAATTGTGTCAATTTATAGGCATATTTAAGATTGTTTTGCCCTGATGATGATGTTAAAATAGGTTGAATGCAGACTGTACCGAGACAGAGAGTATTCGTGTAGGTCGAATGCAGAATGGCCTATACTGGGGTGCGTCATCACAAACTTTGCAAGTGAATTTCGCACCTCTAGAGCGACAAAAAAGTTCGTACGAACCATGGTCCGATTTTCAACCCTTCCGAAGATAATCAACATATTATGTTTTTTTCATTTACCTACAGTTTTTGTCATAAATCGACTCAAAGGTACTGATCTATTTATTGGAATAAAATTTTTTTCCAGGCGATCTCTAATTTCCTTTGTGACCGATTCAGTCCTAACATACCCAAGCAGTGTGATGACCTGTATGACTATGACTGTACAGTCCTTGACAATGTTAAGAGTGAGACAGTCTTCAAGGAAATTTGAGATCGTCTGTAAAAGAAAGTTAAATATATCAATCTCTAGACATAATTAAGATTTGCCCTGATGATGACCTTAAATAGGTTGAAAGCTCGGCAATAAAAACTTCAATTTGCTTTTTTTTCTTCATTCTTTGACCCACTGTGTTCGTGAGTAAAAAAGTAGTCTATACTTCTAATACTGGAAATGTAGATTATTTTGTCCAATTTTTCTGCTGCAGTTGTTGGCTATTTTTATTGTCTCTTTTTTATGTGTTTGGTTTCATTTTTCTTTTTTTCGGTGCTTTTTTATTAAGTAAAGTTGGGAAATAATGGCAAGGACAAAAAGTTGAATTAATAGATTAACCCCATTCTCCTTTTTCACACCATCACCACTTTTTTTCCCATTTGGGTTTGACATAATTATAGAAAAGCTTATTAGCTTATAAAGCTTATTAAATGAACAAGTTGTTATGAAATTTTCCAAGCTCTACTGTGAATTTTTGTAACAAGGTCACAAATTTAGTTTTTTTTACAAATTTTAAATTAGCAGTTTTTGCAAGATTTAGTTTTTGTATTGTTTTTTACCAAAAATTAAATTGAAAGTTCTAGAAGGGCGTCTTGATCTCTTGTCAATGCTTTTGTTGGATTCCTCAAAAATGACTAGTTCAGTAACTACGAATAGATTTATGACGAAAACTGTAGATAGTTGAAAAACATAAAATGTTGAATATCTTCGAAAAGGTTGAGAATTCGACATGGTTTCTATGATTTGTCACTCTGGAGGTGTGAAATTCGCTTGAAAAGTTCATGACACGAGTTGCCTGACACACCCCGCATAGTCCTGTACATTCCAAAATTAAACCATTGATAATTTTTAATATTGAAATACATAAATGTTATTACTTTAAGTTAAAAATAATAATAATAAAATTCATGTGTAAACTGTGATTTTGGTAGGAAGTCAGCTCCGCCTACTTGCCCTGAATGCAATAAATAGAAACTATGTGGCCAAATGGTACTGATAAAGCAGAAAGAAACGTTTTATCAATTTTTATTTTTATTTGTTTATTTTTTATTAACAGACAATTAATATTGAATGAGGCCTCGTTTAACAAGGGCACAAATTAGTTGTCAATGAAACAGTTGAGATTCAGATCAGTTGACCATCTGCCAAAATTTTCAAACATGAGTGTAAATTCAAGGTCGTCTCTTTTGACCATTGAACAAAGCTATAAAATAATAAATTAACAAAGAAAATTAATTAAAACAAATGCCAAATCGGGCCGTCCGGATTTTCCAAATATGGTCAGAAGTGTTCTGTTTTCTTTCTGTCTCATCCCCACTACTGTGAAATTTGGTCAAGGCCCGCGATGACCCGCCTAGTTAACACTTTTATTTAAATCTCCGGTCATTAATTTGTTAATTGTTAATTTAGTGTGGAAATAGGAAATTTTTTTATGGGATTTAACGACGTTTACCCTTGATTCATGTCGTGTTCGGTATCGTCGAGCCAAACACGGACTTGCATTGCGTTGCCCTCACGGCACCAATGGAAAATATCCTCCATCCTGGTCGAAATCGTTTTTCAAAAGAGAAGACTGTTGAAAAAAAAGGGTCGAAATGTCGAGGTACACGTTAAAAATTTTTCGACTCGTTTAAAATCACACCCATCCTCCCTAAATTCGACAACCCACAACACAGTCGACGGATTGTTCACGATCTAAAAATGTAACACAAGGCTGAAGGCAGCTGTAGTGCCTAGTACGTGCAACAGCGAGCAGATCGTGCAACATTCTCTCGCCCGCTATTTTCAAAAGAAGGTCGTATAAATAATCAATAAATTGACTTGTTGCCTTTCAAGATTAAAATATCTTCAATAGTCTGTGTTTTACAAAAAAATCAGCTTTCAGGGACAGGATGACACTAGTCTGCCATTATGAAGTATTACTCTGATGGTTGGTCAATAACAATAAATTGACTTGTTGCCTTTCAAGATTAAAATAGCTTCATTGGCCTGTATTTTACAAACACAAACCTTTCAGGGACAGGATGATTCTGGTCTGCCGTTATGAAGTACATTACATTGATGCTTAGTCAATAACAATAAATTGGCCATTATGAAGTACATTTGACCGATGCTTGAACAATAACAATAAATTGACTTTTTACCTTACAAGAATAAAATAGCTTTAATGGCGTTTTTTTTATTCAAGGATCAGCTTTCAGGAACAGGATGACTTTGGTCTGCCATTATGAAGAACGTTACACTGATACTTGGTCAATAACAATAAATTGGCTTGTTGCCTTTAAAGATTAAAATAGCTTCAATCGCCTGTATTTTTCAAAAGGATCAGCTTTCATGGACGAGATGACTCTGGTCTTCCATTATGAAGTACATTACATTGATGCTTAGTCAATAACAATAAAGTGGCCATAATGAAGTACATTTGACCGATGCTTGATCAATAACAATAAAGTGACGTTTTAACTTTCAAGATTAAAATAGCTTCAATGGTCTACGTTTTATTCAAGGATCAGCTTTCATGGACAAGATGACTCCGGTCTGTCATTATGGCGTACGTTACACTGATGCTTAGTCAATAACAATAAATTGACTTGTTGCATTTCAAGATTAAACTAGCTTCAATGGCCTTTTCATTTTTTCCGTTTCGACCTTTATCCGTGTCATCTTCATCCCTCATGAAGTTGACCCGAATAAAATTCGAAACGAAGGCAAAAAAAGTGATAGGCGTTTTTCTAAACTATCTCATTCTTGATCGCTCCTCACGACTTCAACAAATTATAAAGTATCTTGGAATGATTGATGCCAGATTAACAACAATAATTTGACTTCTTGCCTTTCAAGATTAAAATAGCTTCATTGGCCTGTATTTTACAAACACAAACCTTTCAGGGACAGGATGATTCTGGTCTGTCATTATGAAATACATTACACTGATGCTTGGTCAATAATAATAAATTGACTTTTTACCTTTCAAGAATAAAATAGTTTCAATGGCTTCAATTACGAAATACGTGTTTCTTAGTGATCTGTTGTTTTATAATTTGTTTAAGTCGGGATGACCGGTGAAGAATGAGGTAGTCTAGAAAAATTTTCTTGGTGGATGAAGATGACCCGAATAAAGTTCAAAATGTAGGCAAAAAAATGAAAAAGATGGGTTCTAAACTACCTCATTCTTGACAGCTCCTCACGACTTATGATGAAGTACCTTAGGCTGATGATTGGTCAATAACACAAAATTGAAATTTTGTCTATCAAGATAAAAATATCTTCAATAGCCTGTGCTCTATAAAAGGATCAGCTTTCAGGGACAGGAAGTGCTCTGGTCTTACACTTCCAAGTATCTTAGACTGATGCTTGATCAATAACATTAAATTGACTCTTTGTCTTTCAAGATAAAAATATCTTCAATAGCCTGTTTTACCCAAGGAACAGCTTTCAGGGACAGGATGACCCTGGTCTGCTATTATCAAGTACCTTGTACTGATGCTTGATCAATAACAATAAATTGATTTTTTTAGATTAAAATATCTTGATAAAGATTAAAATATACTGACACTTGATCAATAACAATAAATTGGCTTTTTTTGTCTTTCATACCCAAATAATATTAACGTTTTTAAAAATCAATTTTTGCATGCAAGATAAAAATACTTAGATCATTTTAAGTCCCATTTTCATATCAATGTACGTCTCATTATCATTCTATCAACACACAGCTCTGTTTGTTTAATATTTACAATTCCTTATTAGTTCCTATATATTACTGTATAGTATTACTATGTTAGTTAACTTGGATATTACTGTTATCTTTATTTAATTAAATTTTGTTTGTATTCGTCAATTATGTTAATTGCATATATTTATAGATATGTTTTATTTAGTAATTCATACTTTCAATTATCTTTATTTGTTATTTTATTGTAATTCTAGTTCAGTTGTTTCTTTAATTAACTATTTATATTTTATAACGAATCTATATTTTATCTCTTCTAAGTATATTTTTAACTACTGTATTAATAGGCTTTGCCTATAAAATAAATGAATAAGTTAATAAATAAATTTTAGAGTTGAAGAAATAACAAATGGAAGAGAGGTGTTTTTAGTTTGGGAGTTTCTGTTCGTTATAAGTAATATAGTGATGACATCGCTATATAATATACTTTTAATTATTTGTTTATTATCATTTTAATTAAATTTTTTTGGAAGTTTTAAATTTGGAAAATTGACACCCAAAATGACGTTTTATGTGGCAACATAAACATCTATCCTACATGGACGCTAGCGCTGGTTCAATAGTCTTATCCACAGGGCACAGGGACTGGAGATTACAGGTTGAATTTCCTGCTTTTATTTTTATTATTGTCTTGCCCAATTTAATTCAGATAAGTTTATTTATTATCCAAAGAAAGGATGGCATCAGTCGCTGAGCCGTTGAGTCTTAACAGAGGTGATAAAACATATTTCATCAAAACCAAGCTTGCTTAATCAATGAAATTATTTTCTTTACAGACGTCCTGAGAGCTGTGGAACTGCTAGAAAAGCTGCAGAAAAGTAAAAATCAGAAACACGTTGCTTTTTTTTTTTGTATATTTTAAACCAGTTTCAATATTGTTTGTGATTCAGGTGGAGAAGTGCCAGTGACCAAAATCGCCGCGCTGCAGAAGGTGCTGCAGAGCGATTTTCTGAACGCGGTACGAGAGGTCTACGAGCATGTATATGAGACGGTCGACGTTCAGGGTTCGCAGGACATAAGGGCGTCAGCGACGGCGAAAGCCACCGTGGCTGCATTCGCAGCGAGCGAGGGGCACGCGCACCCAAGAGTCGTGGAACTGCCGAAAACAGAAGAAGGCCTTGGTTTCAACGTCATGGGCGGTAAAGAACAGAATTCGCCCATCTACATATCGAGGATCATCCCGGGGGGTGTCGCAGACAGGCACGGCGGCCTAAAAAGAGGCGATCAGCTTCTCTCCGTCAACGGAGTGGTGAGATTCTCTTATTAAATATTATAGGATTTTTTTTAGTTGAGTCAGATGCGTTTCAGTATTTTGTAAGCTTCTGTGGTGGGTTTGTGACTGAAGATGGCGAAGTATTGAACCATGAACAAGTTTATATTGGTGTGGATGATATCTATGTTTACATTGGGCTGGTGCAAAAATAATGCAGGTCAAAACTATGTGTAATTTCAATTAATTATTTGTCCGTATTGTATTGCCTCTGTGTTTTTCATATCAACCAAAATCTTACATAAAAAGAATAATTAATTGAAATTACACATAGTTTTGACCTGCATTATTTTTGCACCAGCCCAATGTAAACATAGATATCATCCACATCATGCCTGCTCGCAAGGCACTTTGTGAATATTCGCTGTTTCCGCACAAACTGGGTGGTTCAAACCCCGCATGTGTGTAAACATAGGTTTGCTGTTTGGCGCATGCCAAGACGAGCATCTCTGGACCGCATGTCTGGAGCCACCTTTATGCGTAGTTGAATCCATGGAGGGATCGGGATGATGAGATGCCTGAAAGGGATTTTTTTTTTTTTTTTGGGGGGGGGGTTAAATTTTTTTGGCTCAGAGCACAGTTTTATGACTATATTTTATTTTAATTTGAACACAAAACCAACCCTTCCTTTGGTCTCCAGGGGTTCAAAGATATGGAATCATAAGTTGTTTTCCTTTCTTCTCCTGTGCTGAGAATTTGTTTACTCTTTATGATCAGTTTTGGGTTGTAACAATATATTTATATCGGCATCATTTGTTTGTCCTGATCATTCTGATCTACTTGCTACCCTTGTTTTGTCATGCACAAAAATATTCTAAAACATGTTAGACAAACAAAACTAGCGAAAAAACGCAGATCTGGACTAACAAGATATATGTGGTGATTAGTGACCGTCAATCGATATTTATTCAGAAATCGTGAGATGCGGTCTGATGTGATGTAGGTTTCAGAAAAACATTTTCTTTATCGTGCCGATTCGATCTTTATTGAGATCATCTTCAGGGCCTGGGATTTACAACATGTTAACATATAACAATTACATTTTGGATGTGGAAAAGTGAATTTATACAATGCAAAATATATTTTTATATATTCAATCAAAGTATTTCTACTCACTCAGTGTTTGTCTTCTGTGTAATTGTGCCATTCTTGCGTGTCGTGTCAAGAGTGCCAGTGAGATATTGCTGTTTTATGTTTATATATGTTGGATTTTGAAGGGGTGGGGAAGGATGTCGGTATAGAAAAGACATTTTTGTATAAGGCGTCGACTTCTTTGAGGTGAAAAGAGCTGACGAAGGGAAAAAATGTGTTGGTAATGGTTCAGTCAGAATTTCACCGTTCCAGGAGTTCCTCACGAAAGATTTGGCCAAGCCGAAAATTTTTTGAAAGTTAACTTAACAAAAGTAACAACAAAAGCTGCGATGATTGTAGATTGTCCAGTGCTGGTTCAATAAGTGTTCACAGGTCAACACTCACCATCAAATTTATGCATGTCAAAATTTGAAAAAGTTTGATAGTAATTTAGTTTTAATAGTCTGTTGAAGGGGAAAATCACGAGAAAGCTGTGGACCTTTTGAAACAAGCGCAAGGTTCTGTGAAATTGGTTGTGCGCTACACACCGAAGGTCCTCGAGGAGATGGAGATGCGGTTTGATAAGCAAAGAGCGGCCAGGAAACGTCAGCAGTATTAGAAAGAAAATGTATTCTTTTATCATCCCCATCAATATTTATTCTCACTTGCCATTGTTTTATTATTTATTAAAATTGTTTTAACCTGTCATTTCCCTGAATTATATTTTTAACAATATAAATCTTTAAGGAAAGTTATGTACATATTATTTTCTACAATTTCTTATTTTCAACAAGTAAATTGTATTGATACCACAAAATAAAAAATGGTTTAAGCTCAATTTTGAATTATCCTCTGCAAAAAATAATGTTGAAAAATAAATTGGGACTGGAATTCTATAAATTTAACAAAATTAATGCTATGTAATTTATTTACATTTACTGTGGTTTACAAAACAAATGTAATTCAAAAACAGTTAAAAATACTTAGTTCACACAAAAAGAAAAAAAAGGCCTTGATTCAATTTAAAGCAGAGATGTTTAAATTAAGGCCTTGATTTCATCATAAAGGACGAGTACGAGTGCGCCTCCGGTTCCTCTGAGAATATTTGAAAAAGCACCTTTGAAAAATGCCTTTATCCCTTCCTCTTGTAATATCTTGGCCCAGCAATGTGCGGTATTTTTGTACTGCCTTTTTTCTTTGGGCAGGCCGGACTGCATCATCATCCTCCTCCTCACCGTATCAAACGGATACGAGACGATGCCGGCAAATGTTGTCACACACTGAAAATCGATTATTTGAATATAAGACTCACAAAGGTAAATTAAAAAAACATTACCTCAGCAATGGCGAATGAAATGAGAAGTGGAGTGTCTTTTGGATTCGGTAGAGTTGATTTAATCGTATCGTACATTCCAAAATAAGACGCTCTGTAAATTATGATCCCCTGGACGGATACAATAAACCCTCTGTACAATCCGATAACACCATCGGATTTTATCGTCTTTAAAATACAGTCTACTAATCCGTTGTACTGTCGCTGTTGACCTGATTTACCAACATCAGCAGCCAACCTAAAACGTAAAAGGTGTTTATTTTCAAATTTAGTAGCTGATGTGTGAAACTATTACCTAGTTCTCGCATAATCCAAAGGATAGACAACACAGAGTGAAGACGCCCCAGCGGCTCCACCCGATGCTAAATTACCGAGGAAAAACTTCACTTTTTGTTTTTTCTTATCGATTCCAGAAAGGAAAAGTTCCTTGTAAATGTCCTTAAATGCAAAATTAAGCGCTTGAGTCGGAAAATATCTGATGACATTGGCAAGGTTTCCTCTCCAAAAGCTGGCGAAACCCTGCTCTTTTGGGATCCTAACGAATGCATCTACAATACCTGGAAAAAATCGGAAAAACAAAAATTCTTATTCACATTGATATTACTCTTAAAACATTGACTTTGTCTTATGCTTGACCATTTTGGTTGCCCTCGGCAGAGCCCAATTTATCACGTAAAATAGCTCTCTGTGCTTAAAAACAACGTAGATGATTTTTATTTTTTTATTTATTTTTGCAAGTAATAAAAAAGGTATGATGCAAGAGTGCACCCCTGCAGTGCCAAACAAATGATATAGGCAACAAGCAGAACTTTGTCCAATTTAGGTTTGTAGTTGAATAAAAGTCATTTTTATTGGTTTGTCTGAAAAATAATGCAGGTTTTCAAGTTTTCTTTCAATTATCCTCTTAAATAATAGTGTTTACATTTGGTGGATTATTCTTTAGTACGAATGACAACACTTTTTAAACCTCTTTTTTTTTTCATCAGTAGCATTTTGTCACTTGGGATTAATTCAGTCTTTGCTAAGATGTCAACACATAATTTTTGCGTTATTTTGTTTTAAGAGTTTAAACTCTGTTGGAACGGTACCTAAACGGCCAGAAACATTAATGTAGTCCGGGGTGAGGACAGTATAAGAGAGAGCACCTTTCGAGAGGGAGATTTTAGCATTGAAGACAGTGGAAGGATTTTTTTCTTGATGGAAGGATGATGATGAACTGCGAGCTTTAGTCAAAGAAAATCACAGAATACCTGTTCAAGAACTTGCAGAATTCATCCATTGCTGACCACTTTAAGGCAATTGAAAAGGGAAAAAGCCTGAAAGTTCGGTTCCTCGTGCATTAAACGACAACCAAAAAAATCATCGTTATGAAGTTTGCACAACACTTCTTTGCCGAAACAGAAACAAACCTTTTCTAGATGGGATTGTTACTTGACATAAAATGCAGATTATCTATGATAACAGCAGACGTTCTGGACAGTGGCTCGACAAAGGCACCACCCTTTTCCAAAGCACCCAAAAAAAGGTGATAGTAGGCTGATTTACTACAGCTCCTTCAATCCTGGCGAAACAATCAATGCCAAAATGTACTGCTCTCGGATGCAATGCACCAGAAATTGGTGTTACTGAAAGCCTTTTAAGGGTATGTTTACTGATTCGATTACACGACTGCTCGGCCCCATGTCTCACATCTGACAAGTCAAAAACTGTTGGATTTTGCTTATGAGGTTCTGCCTCACCCTCCCTAATCTCCTGATCTCTGGCCTACCGACTACCTTTTTTTCAGACACCTGGATAACATTTTACAACATAAAAAATTTATTAATCAAAAGTCATTAGAAAATTTGTTTACTGAATTTGGTAATAACTATTCTATTCAGAGGGTATATGTATTGATAGTGATTGAGGGTATTTTAATTAATAAAAATGTTTAAATCATTTAATTGTTAATTGTATTTATTATTATTTATTAAAAAGGCATTCCTGACAACCCAATAGATTTGTTTAATTCATTGTCTATGTTTAAACTAAATTTGTACAAATTTCTTGTAATAGAACATTTAAATTGGCTACCTCTAGCCTTTTATAAAACCTTTATTCTTCCAGCAATTAAATTATTGTAAACTTCGTTCGCAATTGACAATTTTCAGGATTATTAAATTTTATTGTTTGGTCGTTGCCGATTGTCCTGGTCTGTGTATTTTAGCTGGGTTCTAGGTTGATCTGTCGCATTTCATCAGTTTGTGTGAATACTTGTCTGCTTATAAAACTTAATTTGCACCCTCATTAAAAAAAATTCACAGTAGAGAGCTTGGCAAATTTCATAACAACTTGTTCGTTTAGTAAGCATTCTAAGGTAATAAACTTTTCTATAATTCAAACTTTTCAAAGATATTCAACATTTTATGTTTTGGTGATTAATGACTGTTAATCGATAATTATTCAGAAATCGTGAGATGCGGTCTGGTGTGATGTAGGTTTCAGAAAAACATTTTCTTTATCATGCCAACGTTTCGATCTTTATTGGGATCATCATTCTCAATAAAGATCAAAACGTTGGCACGATAAAGAAAATGTTTTTCTAAAACCTACATCACACCAGACCGCATCTCACGATTTCTGAATAATTATTTTATGTTTTTTCAACTATCTACGGTTTTCGTCATAAATCTACTCACAGCTCCTGAACTAGTCATTTTTGGGGGAATCCAACAAAAGCTTTGGCAAGAGATCAATTTCCTTTAAGAAGACACCATTCTACAACTCCCAATTTAATTTTTGGTAAAAAAAAACAACTAAATCTTTCAAAAATGCTAATTTAAAATTTGAAAAAAAAAAAACTAAATTTGCACTTGTTAAAACAAAAAATCACAGTAGAGCTAGCTTGGCAAATTTCATAACAACTTGTTTAATAAGCTTTTCTATAATTAAAAATTCTCAACCTTTTCGAAGGTATTCAACATTCTGTTTTTTCAACTATCTACGGTTTTTGTCATAAATCTACTCACAGCAACAGAACTAGTCATTTTTTGGGGCAATCCAACAGGAGCATTGGCAAGAGATCAATTTCCTTTAAGAAGACACCCTTCTAGAACTTTAAATTTAATTTTTGTCAAAAAAAACTAAATCTTTCAAAAATAATAATTTAAAATTTGTAAAAAAAAAACTAAATTTGTAACCTCATTAAAAAAATTCACGGTAGATGGTTGGCAAAATTCAACTTGTTCATTTAATAAGCTTCTAAGCTAATAAGCTTTTCTATAATTATGTTGTACCCAAATGCAGAAATTTTATGCTAAATGGGAAAGAAGTGGTGAAAAAGGGGAATGGGGTTAATCTATTAATTCAATTTTTTGTTCTGGCCATTACTTCCCAAAGAAAAATGAAACCAAAAACATAAAAAGAGACAATAAATGTAGCGAACAGCCGAAGCAGAATGGGCAAAATAATCTACATTTCCAGTATTAGAAGTATCGATTACTTTTTCACACAACACTCTGGATCAAGGTATGGTCTTGAAGAAAAAAGTAATTTCAGTTGTTACTGCCAAGCTTTCGATCTATTTTAAGGCCATCATCGGGGGCAAAACATCTTAAATATGTCCAGATCGTCAATGTTAGGACTGTGTCCGTCTTCAAGGAAATTGAAGTCTGCAAAAAAATTTAAATATGTCAATCTGTAGAGAAATTTAAGATTGTTTTGCCCAGTTGATGACCTTAAAATAGGTCGAAAGCTTGACAGTAAAAACTGAATTTACTTTTTTTCTTCTTTAAGTCCATGATTCAGAGTTCTTGAGTGAAAAAGTGATCGATACGTCTAACATTGAAAACTGAATACTTTATGCGAGGAAATCATGTAGTTAAATAATTTATCAGAAATAGATTGATAATCAGGAATATAAGTGTAATTAAGATGTTCTTTGCTATGTCCTGGAAGTGGAATAGTACACGTGTTTCCTTCAATGTGCAGCCATGTCGGCCATGACGTTAAGATTTAACTTAACCAAAAAAGATACCTGATTTAAGTTTTGACTTGAAAACTATCTATCAATTTAAAAGCTATATTTTTTTAAATAGTGAATAATAGGCAACAGAGAATGAGGAAAATGATCAATTTCGGGAAAGGATCAGTTTTAGCCTAAGTGCGAAGCTCTAGCACGAAAGATGAATCGGCCGGTTAACTTTGTGAAAAGTTGAAACTTTGAACTTTCTTACCTTTGTACTGTTTATCTTTGCTTATTTGAGTCGATACGTGTTGGACTTGAAGTATGAGTTTCACCCTTTCTATGGGTGCGACCGCAGTCTTTGCGATCGCGGCCGAGATGCCCCCGGCGAGAAAATCTTTCCAGAAAGAGCTTTCGGGGCTTTTCGAACCGTTTGACATTGTCTAGAGGATTGTCGTGTCTTCCGGTTTATTTCTACGAAGTTTCGTATTTAATTTTCTTTCAGTTAAAGTCCGATCTGTGATGATGAACTGTCTGTGAAGCGTGGCGTCAACTCGAGCCCAGGCCGGCGGGAAAGAGGGAGACAACGAGGTTTAGCCGGAAAATAACCGTCGAAAACCACTGTTGAAAATAACCAAAAACCAGGGTTGGCATTTGTTTTTCCGTTTTTCTAAAAGAATTTTTTTTTTGTCAAATTTTAAAAATTATCGCCCCTATTTCGGTCTAAAATAAAATTTTATATTTTACCTTATTTCTCAATTTTTTCTAATAGAAACCAAGCTCAAAAAAAATCAACTTTTTTCGTTATATAATTTTTTGAATTTTACCCAACAGTAAATAAATTTACAATAAATTATTTTCAGTTGTAAATTTCACGCCCTGACATCTAAACAAAAACAAAATTCAATGCGAATTAAAAAAAAATACTTTTTTTAAATTGACAAAAATGAACGATTCCTTTTAGTGTTTTCTTTCCAATGTCATAATTTCTACAAACACACTTAATACTATAAGATAATAATATAAAACCAAAATTCAAAGTAGGAAACAGTTTTAATGTAAAAATTTTATAAATTTGTCCAATTTCTTCACTCTCCAGCTCCCTCTGTCCTACTCTTGCCTAACCAATTTTTGCGTTACTCCATTTTTGTTTAGTGCCATTATTCACTACTTATTGTTTATGTAAACGATGTTGTGCTAATGATAAGACCAGTTTGTCGAGCAACGTATTTTTAAAAAATTAGATCACGTTTAAAATATTAAATTCTTATTTGACCAACAGCTAAAGGTCAAAAATCACATTTTAACTTTAGCTGCTAAGACTTTTGGGTTTCACAATTCGTTTTTATAAAGATTTTCTGAATACTCAGGTCTTAAAATTGATATATCTTTTGTTAGACCCTATCTTTGATTTTCTTCTATAGTTTGGTCACCACATTTTCAGTATGTACAACATGCCCTTTTTTGCCATAAGTTTCTCAAATATGTCCATTTGGTTTTATTCCACAATTTTGTTGTAAATCATTCCATTAAATACAGACACGTTTTGTTTTTTAATAAATTGACATGTCAACAGGTCATTGACTGTTGACCTTATCTTTGAATTTTCTTCTATAATTTGGTCACCACATTTTCAGTATGTACAACATGCCCTTTTTCGCCATAAGTTTCTCAAATATGTCCATTTGGTTTTATTCCACAATTTTGCTGTAAATCATTCCAAAATAAAAATTACATTAAATATAGAATAAAGATTTTGTTTAATGTCATCTATCAGAACGATTTAAGTTCATATGCAGAAAGTTTATTAATAACAAAGTTGTTCCCTTCAATAACAAAGTTCAAATATTTAAATCAGTCTTTTGCTCAGTAGTCTGTTATGGTGCTCAAATCTGGGATTTTTAGCAATATGAGACGCTTGAAAAATTTCAGCGAACCGTTGAAAAACACAATTTTTTTTATACAGTTTTTCAATTTTGCCCATTAAATAAATTATTTTCAGTTGTAAATTTCACATCCTGACATATATTTCAATATGAATTTTACAAAAATGAAGGATTCCTTTTTTTGTATCCTTTCTAAGGTCTTATTTCCTTTAAACACACTTAACACTATAACAGTTTAATAATATGAAACCAAAATTCGGAGTATGAAACAATTTTAATATAAAATTTTTATAAATTTGTCAAATTTTTTTCTTATCCTCACTCTCCAGCTCCCTCACTTTTACTCTTGCCTAACCAATTTTTGGCATTATAAGATTTCTGTTCAGTGCCAAGTTTGTCGATCAAAGTATTAAGAAAATAAGATCACGTTTAAAATATTAAATTCTTATTTGACCAGCAGCTAATGTTCAAAAAGCACATTTTAAGTTTAACTGCTAAAGCAAGTGTAAACCTCTGACTTCTGGAATTCACATTCAGTTCTTAAAATTGATATATTCTTAATTATGCCCTATCTTTGTATTTTCTTCTGTAGTTTGGTCTATTTTGTTGTAAATCATTCCATTAAATACACACGTGTTTTGTTTTTTAATAAATTGACAAGTCAACAGGTCATTGACTATTGACCCTATCTTTGAATTTTCTTCTATATTTGGTCACCACATTTTCAGTATGTACAACATGCCCTTTTTTGCCGTAAGTTTCTCATTTGGTTTTATTCCACAATTTTGCTGTAAATCATTCCAAAATAAAAATTACATTTAATATAGAATAAATTTTTTTTTAATGTCATCTTTCAGATAAATTAAGTTCAAACGCAGAAAGTGTATTAACAACAAAGTTGTTCCCTTCAATATCAAAATTCAAATCAATGTTTTGCTCAATGGTCTATTATGGTGCACAAATCTGGGATTTTTAGCGATATGAGATACTTGAAAAATTTTGGCGAATTTCAAAAAACATTGTGCATTTGTTCAGAGTTGGCATTTGTTTTTCTGATAGAAACCAAACTAAAAAAACTTTTTTTGCCCAACAGTAAATAAATTTTCCAACAAAATATTTTTAGTTGTCAATTCCATGCACTGGCATTTAAACAAAAAACAAAATTCAATGTTCATTTTTTTTTATCATTGGGAGAATGTCCTATTGTGTACATTTCTGCCAATGAAAAATTACAATTTTATGTGGTTTTCAAAATTAATTCTCTTATACCTGAGATGAAAACAGAAGAAAAAGAAAACTGGGAAAAAATAATTTCTTATAATATCTATAAATTACACAGAAATAATACATTACATACATAACAACTATAAAAACAAAAGAAATACTGGTAATTATTTATAAAAACATTTAAATTTTTTTTTAGTTCAGCATTGTATGATTATCATATATATTTTTACGTTGCTCTCTGACTTGTTTCTTCCATTTATCTTGTTGGTGGCCCACTCGGTTCAGTACGTTACCTCTGACGCCCATCTGGTGCGAAGAAACAGCGCCTCCAGACGGGCCAACGCTCACATCGTCCTGGTGGAAAAAAAAGAAACAATCAACTCGTTATTTTTTATAAAATTTAATAAATCAAATCATACCTCTTCATTTGTATGTTCAACGTAATTACTGCTTGCTCTTTTACTGAGTAACGGATCGAGGCAAAGGAGGAAAAACATATAAATTACGAGGAGCGAGATTATCCAAATGACTATTACAACTACAACCTGGAAATAAATTAATATAAGTGCTATTAGTACAGTAAAAACCTTATTTTTATATTCTACTATATTCCTTAAGGATAATGGCATGAAATTGTTTCAGTGACATCTTAAGAGACTTAAATTCACAGAAATCACAGAGGCTCACGCAGTTGAATCGGGAGAAAATGCCTTTATGCAATACTAGCTTTTACCCGCGACTTCATCCGCGCAGAACTCTGTTTTAATGTATCTTTCCAATATGATGCAGAGTGATTTCTAATATAATGTCTCATATCTCACATTCTTCTCTCCTTCAGTTCACTTCTGTCTTTACATGATAAAAAATCGTCCATATTATCCTCTAAGGCAGGGGTCGGCAACCTGCGGCCCTTTGCAACTTTTTGCACGGCCCACCAAAGCTCAATATAATTTTAGGAAAAATCAACTAACTTAGAGCGTGAGCGTGCCGAAATGTGGCCAGTGACAAAAATGCGCGCTAACAGAAGCATAGTGGGAAACCTATTTTACTGCGCAAGTTTAATCCCCATTCCCCATAATAATATTTATACTCATATATGATATAAAAGCACTATTTAAGTTAATTTGAATGTGCGGCCCGCATAAAAAATTTTATTTTGAAAATGGCCCGCCGTCCGAAAAAGGTTGCCGACCCCTGCTCTAAGGAATGGAATTTCAAAAAATCCTTTCTTAGAGGCAAATTTTGAGCCCTTCAGATACGGGAGCTTTGTGGTCTGTGCAGTGTCTGTCAGTCAGATACGGAACTGTTTTTATATATATAGATGATATACACAACAAAAGTGTAAATATGCACCTACCTCAAGCCAATAAAGTTTTCTGAGAGTGTTAAGTAAAGTCTTTGAAAAAATAATCGACACATGCCTAAGAAGATTTTCGGAACAAAAGGATATCTTGTCACCAGAACTGTATCGTTTTCAGCATACTCTGTCACACAGGCTTACATAAGATGTGATGTTCATGGTGTGATTTATACTGTGCCATTTAACACATTCGTTACGGCACTGATTTGTAAGGACTCTCCCATGATAAGGCAAAAATTATGATTAAATTTTTTCCCCAAAAAAATCGTGAAAAAATTCAAAAAGATCGAATTAAAAAACAGTCTTCACTGTAATATTGACAAAGGCCTGTGACACCAAACTGATTCCAAAAATACCTCCAACACCCTATGACAAGCTCCAAAATGGGGTTTTTTATAGAAGAGGTGCGTCGTATTTTTAATCTAAGGAGTGTAAAAGGATTAGTAATATGTACTATAAAGGTAAACAACAATTTATTAACTTTTTTTTTAACATTAGCTTTTGCTGATAGTCAACTGCTCTCCATACCCTTCTAGACCCTAACCTAACCATACCAGGTCCGGCACTACAAGGTATGTGCTTACATTTTAAGTTAACTATTAATGGCTATTTACCTAAATACTACACATTAACTATTACTCTTTATACCAAGTTTTTTTTTTTTTTTTTAATGACAAATAAAAAGGTCATAGTTGGCTCTCATTGTTTTTTTCTCACTCTTGTGCATTATTCTCCTCTGCATTTTTTTTTTTTTTTTTAATCCTCTGCATTTTTTACCTTCTTAGATCTGGGGCATTTCCCTTGCACCCTTCACATGTTACCACATCCACATATCAGTCATAAAAAAACAATCATACTAACACAGCATGACAGGCCGCCGTGGTACTGCATATTTCAATGATAGCCCGTCATCATTCTCACAAAATATATAGCCTATAAACACCATGCACACCCATACATCCATTTCATTCTCATAGAGTTATTCATCAATCATTCACACTAATATACACTTACAACTAAACAATTTACAATTAAATACTTATGGGGGCATCAGGGTACTCAACATCCCGCGAATGGCTACTCCTTATACCTAGTTATTACAAAAAATAAATTTGTAAATGTAATGAATGCTTTTTTTTTTTTTTTTGTTTTCTGTGTATATGAAATAAACCAACTTAACATGTGCCTTTAGCGCTAAAGATTCTTTCATTAAGTAACAAGCCAGTGTGCTGATAAGATAATATGCGACTGGTAACGCATTTCCACTGTTTAAATAATTAGGAATTAACAGGATATACAAAAAAGAGAGAAAAAAGTTTTATCCTATCCAACGCACGATTTTAAAGATAATAATTACATTGAATGTTTACAAATAATTAATACTCACTTTTGAATAGCTACCTAAGCTGTTTTGAACAATTTTGCCTTCTCACTACAATCGACACTTAATAATTAGAAACCCAAGGGACCACAAAATAATTCAAATTATCAAGAGGGAAGTTAAAAAAAATATGCATTTTTCCAAGTTATTACTTAAATTCTACATACATAAAACATAGTAAAAATAATGAAAAAATGACAATAGATCAAATGTAAACTGAACATTATTAAAAAATGTATTACGTTTCGTGGTCCACTTGACCAAATAAATTCTTTTCAATTAATTAAGATTTTGGTTGAGATAAAAAAAAAGAGAAAAAAGCTTTATCCTATCCAATGCACGATACCAAAGATAATAACTACATTGAATGTTTACAAATAATTAATACTCACTTTTGAGTAGCTACCTAAGCTGTTGAAAAATGGCAAAAAGGAGGTAAAATTCAAAAGGTGGGGTTGAGATGGGAAGTTGGTGTCCGAGTGGATGGAAGTCACGATAGCTCAAGTGGTAGAGCAGCGGCGTATTTAGCAGAAGGTCGTGGGTTCGAATCCCGCTTGTAACATTGACTTTTATTATCTCAACCAAAACCTTAATTAATTGAAAAGTATTAAAAAAATTGTGAATTGGTTTTTGCTTGTGACTGGCGTCCTTTGTTTAAATTATTTTCCGACGTGACCAGTGCTGAGAACACTGACTGCAGAGCATAACAAACTAGAGAAAATTCTAAGAAACTTTAGGCTGTAAGGAAGTAAACAATAAATGGAGATTTAGAGGAATATTACAAAGAAAAAAGGTAAAAATGGGAAGTGACTTCGTTCGATTAATAGCATGGTTTTTCTCCCCCTGTTATGAAAAATCTTTCGTATTGAGTGTATCAAAATACACAGAATTTTTTCGATTTACTGAAGTGACCTGCTGAGGAGTTCGTATTATCAAGAAATTCGAATTATCAAGCTTCGAATAAACAAGAGTCGAGTGTATCTTCAAATATATACAGACTACCACTACATATGGCGAGATGTCAAAATGCGTATGGCTGATCAAAACAAAATGAGATTAGACAGATCAAAATGAAAAGATTGAAAACTAGGGCACATTCAGTATTCAAAGTACTTAAATTTTTAATAATAAAAAGCTTCATTAGTATACGTACTTTAATAATAGTAGTGTTTCTTGTTTCGTATTTACATTCACATCTCGGACAAAGTTCCTGGCTTTTGTTAGGGAAGTGGAAATCAATCGCATCGATGACGATGCCATCGCAGTCGCTGGAAAAGTAAACAGAAATGTTACGTTAGAGTCGCAGTACAAATTGAACAATGATTGAGAAAATTTAACCTACTTATTAGGTGGAACGTTTTTATTAATCTGGAGCTTTTTGTACTTTTGCGTACCGTTGACAATTGTACAGGTGCAGAGGCATCGGGCGTCTTCGTACTGGGCCTGGAGAAAATTGATAAAAAACGTACAAAAAAATAAATAAATAAAAGGCGAAAACCAAATTTGTACTTACGTCTGATGAACCGAATTGGAGAGACACCAGTATGAAAGTTGTGAAATAAAACAAGTACATTTTTTTTTCTATGTCGGCCGAGGATGAAAAATCCTTTCACACCATGGCCCTAGAATGATAAAAAAAACAAATACTGTCCGTGTAAAATTAAAATGACAAGGACTCCATGTCCGCCTTCATCAGTGATAAAACGTAGATACCTTCTTTCTTTTAAACGTCAACGCGAACGTAGAGACTCATGGTACTACGTCCTGCCGCCCTCTTTTGATTTTCATTATCGACCATCTAATTTTATGTGTATTATTTATTATATTTTCATTTATGTGATTACTTCACTACAATTGACGCTCAACGTTTCTTTGACATTCCTTTAATGACTCTGAAGTCTGAAAATCTGTTTAATATTACAACATAGCCTGCAGTAACCATGAGTGTCATGTGAAAAATGGTAAAAAAGATTTCATACTCATACATTTCATTGAATGGGTTGTATAGTGAATAGCTATGCGAAGCACAGGCTGTTTCCTCAAAACTCAATGGCTTTTTTTCTTTCTTTTTTGGCTTTGCCTTGTAGCAATCCGCCACTCCAGAAACCCATTGGCTATGGGTAGGGATAAAAGAGGCAGCCCCTCGACCTGAGTAGATCTATTGTGGCATATGGTTTTATAACTCACCAGCTTCAGGTTGTTAATAGGTGTAAGATCTTGCTTGCTGATTTTCTCTCCTGGTTTCACAAAAACATAAAATATGTTATGCAGTCTCCCCATCTTCCTGGAAGTATTTGCAAAGAGTTCCTTCTGTTTGTACTCTTAATTGGTGTATGTGCCTTCTTTGACAGTAATGCTCTGTCAGGAGTCCAACCAGAATCCTGGATCTGTTGCGATTGTCCTCCAGTTCTTCGCTTTGTAAGTCTCGCGGATGGCCCTTCTGTGAATTTCTTCACATGATTTAGGGTATTGTTCTACCATTTATTAAGGTTTCATTTTTGGATGTGTCCTTTTTATAGAAAGATGCAAGGCTAAAGTAGGGTTCGTGGCCTAGAGATTTATTTTGGCTCATCTTTTGGCCAACACGTCCACTTTCTCATTGCCTCTATGTCCCAAACACCCAGGGACCCACCCCATGCCAGTGACTTCTGCCAGGGCTTCATACATTTCCATGTTTCTTCTTGGAATGTATTTCTAGTTTTTTTTATTCCTCTGGTGCAGTGTTCAATTGATATAATTTCAGACTGAAAAATTGTATTTACCTAATTTTAAAGACAGATCAGTTTTCGGATTCATCTCAGGGAGTCCAGCTCACTTATCTGGTTTTGAGCCACAAAACAACAAGGACTGTCCTCTGAGTTATGATAAGCGAAGAGCTGGTTGAGACCTGAAAAAAGAAAAAGGACCTTTTTGCACAACTAGGTCGAAGTCATATGTTTTTTTGTTTTTTTAATTTGTTAATAGCAAGGACATTATAAACGTCCTTTTTTGTATTGACATTTTTGTTTGAAAACGTGAAAACTAATTTAAAATAATTTTTTCAGCCAACAAATAAAAGAATCAGTGGTAATACTCTTTTGTCCTGACCTTGCCCCTTCATACTACCACCTCTTCTAAGCAATGATCAGTTATTTAGAGAAAAATGTTTTATTCGTTTGAAAACGTGAAAACTGAAGTAAAAGACTTCACATAAGATGGTGTCAATTATGTCTTTTTTTTCCTTCATGCTAGATGACTAGTTGTTGATTAACCCTTGTATATGATGATTGATGGAACATAAAATTAATCTTGAGAATATCTTGAAATAATCTAAAAAAAGGAGGCATTTTTTTGGTGAAGTGTCACACCATTACATCGATTTATGCATATGGTAACTGCCAGTCTGCTACATCCATAGTAGGTAGTCTTCTCCTGAAAATATTACAGATAAATACATAATGTTTCTGTCTAAAAGATAACTGTATAAACATTAATTATCTGCTGTAAAAATGTTAGCTGCCTTTAGGAATATTATTAGACAAAATATCGATTATAATGTAAAAAAAAGAAATCGAGATTTTGGTATATGAAGTTTCGCTCCTCAGCCCTTCTTCGTTCCAACACCTCGTGGATGAGGCATCGGTTGGGTTTGTTTACCACATCCAGGAGGAAAGCCGGAAAACTCTACAGATTGTTTTTCCATTTGTTCCACCTGAAGAAGATGAGCGGCGAAGCAGAGAATGGATCCGGTGACTGCAAACCCTACAATTTCTCCAACATACCGTATAAAATGGGACAACACTTGGAGTTTGTTGAAATTTCAGACGGTAATTTTCTTTTGTTCTAACTTGTAAGCAACAAGATTTTTTCGTTTAGTATACAATTTGAATATCAATGCAGGTAGAATTTTACAGATCTCTTCAGACTGCAAGTTTCTGGGTGCTTACAACTTATGGCTGAACTGCCAAGGATACTTTTAAGGTTTAATGCCACCCTATCGAATTTTTTATTTATATTGTCAAAAACTTTCATCTTATTGATTTTCTATAGTGGTATGAGTAATCAATGTTTATGTTTTTTCTGAAGCTGTTTTCTAGTTTTTTTTTTTTTTTTTTTTACTTTTAGCCAATATGGTGCAGGATTTGGAAAAAAAAATCAGTTTTGCTCTTTTTTAGTGGTAGGAAGTGAAATATAGGAATCGTGCACAAAAGTACTTTCGGATTAAAAAACGAATTAAAAATTCTTGCACACCAGATTTATAATTAAACCAAAACATTTCTGTTCGGTCGGTGAAAACAAAACCAGGCAAAGGTTCAACCAAACCAGTTCAGGTTGACCATTTCTGGTCAAAGGGAAAATGGGGAAGGCATCCCATGTTCAAGGCTTCGTGTTCCGAGACAATTTTGAACAGATTCAAAAAGAAAAAAAAATGACTAAACAAAATTTAAAAACCTGAAGCTATTATGATGTGATGGTGAATGAAAAGTCTCGTGTAATAAGAAACAGGGGAAAGAAAAATCATGTAAAGCACGAGGTGTTTCTTTTTAATCAAAGTTTTTTTTATATGTGTGGTGATTAGTGACCGTTAATCGATAATTATTCAGAAATCGTGAGATGCGGTTTCAGAAAAACATTTTCTTTATCGTGCCAACGTTTCGATCTTTATTGAGGTCATCTTCAGGGCCTGGGATTTACAAACATTGTTTACAATTAACAAATACATTTAGGATGTGGAAAAGTGAATTTATACAATGCAAAATATATTTTTTATATTCAATCAAAGTATTTCTACTCACTCAAAGTGTTTGTCTTCTATGTAATTGTGCCATTCTTGTGTGTCATGTTGAGAGTGCCGGTGAGATTTTGCTGTTTTATGTTTTTTTAAATATGAATAAGCTTCGTTTTTTGCCTATAACAATAAAAATAAAATATTTAAATCAATAATAAATCTCGCCCCTGGATGTCAACTGCTGAAGTTGGTTCATTTTGAGTATAACATTTCCAACGGGTATCAAGTGGGAACAAGGTTGCCTTTGCATAATCGCCAAGCTCATTTTATTTATCTTGTGAGAATGTAAAATTCAGAGGAGTTTTATTGCACCCTTCAATTGCTATTGGTTTCGGTTATTACATCTCATTCGGTTGTTAATTTTATTACTTATTATTACGAAGAGAAGTGCAGTTCACAGCTAGCTTCAGATGGTTAATCAACCTTTATAGCCTCGTCAGTGGTTCCTCATTGTAAAATCTTGCTTGCAACTTTTCCTCTCCTAGTTGTAAGAATCTGCACCTACAAAGACCTTCACAAAAACATAAAATGTGTCCTGTGGTCTCTTCTTCCTTGCAGTATCTACATAGTGTTTCTTCTGTACTCCTGTCCGGTGTGCCTTGTTAGGCAGAAGTTGCCAGCAGTCCAACCAGAATTCTGGTTCAGTTGTTGCCTTCCAGCAATTCCTTTGTAAGTTTTACGGATGGCCCTTCTATGAATCTCTTAACGTGCCTCGTGCCTGGGATAATTGTACAGTTTTATATGGGACAGAGATAGGGATAAAAGAGGTGGTCACAAGGCCTGTTGCACTTTGATCCGACTAGATCTATCGTGCTATTCTATTTTTTATAACTCACTGGCCAGCTTCAGATTCTTAATCAACCTTGCCAGCAGCAGCTTATTGTAGAAACTTGCATGCAGCTTTTCTTCTCCTAGTAAAAATCTGCACCTACAAAGACCTTCACAAAAACATAAAATGTGTTCTGTTGTCTCCTACTCTTCATGGTAGTGTTTCTTCTGTCTGCATTCCTACCTTCTGTGCCTCGTCAGGAGTCTAACCAGAATCCTGGTTCGGTTGTAGTAGCCTCCCAGCAATACCTTGTAAGTTTTACGGATAGCCATTGTATGAATCTCTTCATGTGCCTCATTGCCTGGGATATTTGTACAGTTCTACAGAGGATAGGGATAGGGAAAAAAGAGGTAGCCACAAGGCCTTCTGCACATTGACCTGAGTAGATCTATTGTGCTCCTTTTTCTAATAATTCACTGGCCAGGTTCAGCTTGTTAATCAGAGCAGGGCGTCACTTATTTATTCTACTTTAAAAAAAAAATCTGGTATCAATATTTTTGTTTTATTGATGTTAATATCAAAATTCAAAATGGAGTTTACTGTGTTCATGCAACTGAACAGCTCTGTAGCTTTGTCAATGGCTTGTATGATCTTGCCTGCAGTTTTTCCTCTACTGCAAGAATCTGAACCTACCTAGACCATCACAAAAACATATTTCCTTGCATGCCTAATGCCTGGGATATTTGTTCAGTTCTTTAGTTAACCCTTAATGCATATGGCATGTTTTATACCCAGTTTTGGCACAACTATTGGTTTCACTCTAGTCATACGCGTATATAAGTCTCAGGAAGTATTTCTAGACCATCACAACTTTAAAGCTTCTTCTTTCCATTTGTAAGTTTATTATTTTTCTAAAGATTAGTGAGTCTGGGACACACCTGCAGCACTCAACAATACAAAGTATGCGTCCACCACATTCCTAAGCTCAGTAGGTGCATGTTTTCAAATTTTGCCTGTTGCATCTTCTTGAATTAGTTTTAATTAATATCTTAATGTGGGGAAAGACGAATAAAACAAACACTTCCCTTAGAGCCATTAATATTAAGCCCAGTTCAGACTTAGCCAGTAGTTTAGTCAAGTTTACTGGCCTAGTCGAGTTTAGTAAATTGAACTCTACTCTATTTTTCTGAACGAGGAGCAGCACTCCATAGAACAACCGACTAGCACACCAACTAAACACTGGATGTGTCATCATTTTGACTTGATTAAGCAAACTCTACTAATTAACTTGACTTGTATGAACGGTATACTCACTCGACTAAATTACTTTATTAAATCACTGGCTACATCTCAACCGGGCTTTCGGAGGTTTAATCTATCCATTTAAATTTTAATTCACCAGAGATGTTTACATGTTTTGCCTGTGATTTTCCCGTTTTTCTTTTTCACCCTCAATTTAAAAATGTATTTTATAATTAAGGGAAGCAGGACATCACTTGTTTATTCTATAAAAATACACATTTTCTGTTATCAATATTTTTGGTTCTATTAATGATAATTCACTATTTTTCCTGGTCTGCTTGACCAATGATTAATGATAATATCCAAATTCAAAATGGAATGTAGTGTGTTCATGCAACTGAACAGTGTGGAAATCATAAAAAAATTTAAAACATTTTTAGCACGTTGACTGATAATAATCGCTGTCAAATATATGACAAAAGTGATAGTTCTGCATATTTTAAGTTTATTTTGAAATCGCTTCAAGCTCCTGATTCTCGCCTGGCAAAAATCACATCACTTGAAGTTATTAAGGGTAACATATCCTGGTTCAAATCCTGGAATTCTCTTGCGGAGAGGTATAATGTGGCTCAGTTCTCTTTGGATAATTCTGCAGCGTGGTCTGAAATGTTTTCCAATCTTCTTCAGATTATGGGGGCTCATCATCGGGAGAGTTGTATTTCTCGTGTCATGGATTCAAATAGATTCCAACTCTACAAAGAGTTGAATCATTCCCTAACTCCTTGCAATGTTTTTTCTGCTCCGGTAAATGATGCTCCGTTCTCTTTTTTTCGCTGGTGGTTTAAAATTCGAGGGGAGTTGTTGTTCCTGAATTTAAGGCCTTGGGTTGGAGGTACTGCAGTGTGCTCTCTATGCATCTCATCTGGTCGTGAGGATGCATTTCATTTTCTCGCTAGATGCTCGATCCTTAACGAATTGAGGTATCTGTATGTGGGTAAGGATTTTCTGACGAGGGAAGAGCTCATAACCCTTCTGAACAGCTCGGATTGCCAGGGTCTTGTTAATTTTGCTTGAAAAGCCTGGTTTTACAGATATGAATATATTGGAATGTAGGGAATTAATATTCTGTTCGTCTTTGTTTCCTTTTTTGCTCTCGCAGGTAATACATGTAATTTCTACTTTGTGGACTTCTAAATGCGAATTCTGTTTGCCGATGGGGGACCCTTTGTTAGTTGGAATCCTTGCTTTGGTTCTTTGAAGTGTCATTTTTATTATTTCCAAAGTTTATCGCATTTCAATCTTAATTTGAAAATCCTGTAAATAATTGTAACCTCTGAAGTTGATATTGTAAATTCTCCTTTTGTTATAATTACATAATTATGTATATTCATGGAATAATAATGCACTCCGAACTCTGGCTGACTGTCTTAATACCATGCCATAATAATACTGTTTTTTTATTTTTAACTCTAAATTTCTTTCATTTTGTAAATAAAGTATCTATATATTTTATATAGTATATAGTATAGTTCTGCATTACAGACCAAATATATGTATGCAAAAAAAAGTCCTAAGTCTAATAGGACAGGAATAAATGGTGCCGAAGTGCCAAAAAGAAAAACAATTTGGAAAATGATGATCAAATTTCACCTGTTCACTTCTCAAATTCACCTGCCATGTAAATTTCTTTTTCCTCCTGTTAGGTTTTGAACGTTCTCAATAAGTCGCTTCATGTCCATAATACTGTGTATGCAAAACAAGGTAAAATATCCTTAAGACAGTTTAGATCCTGCAAGTCATGAAACTTCCTTGAGCATACTGAACTTCTTGAAACAATGAGGATGAGTGCCAATATGAGGTTGCATTTTAATATTTCCATTTAACTTCTAACACATCAGATATTGAGATACATACTCATCACACCTAGGTTTATTTTGTTTGATGTTTTGCCCGTTTTTTCCTCTTTCACCAAATGTATCCTTGTTCTTATTACTTTGAGGATTAACCCCTATTATATTCTATATTCGACGCCCCTCCCCTGTAAAACAATGTAATATTTACACTTTTACCACTCTTCTGAGCAATGGCATGTTTTATTTATTTATTTACATTTTTTAAATGGCCTTATGGACTTTGCATGTTAGCCAAGAAATGTAAATGATCATATGCGAATGCGAATTCTTTTTTTGGGGGGAGGGGGAAGTTTTTCTACTGCGGCTCCCCATTGAAAGATTTAAAAGTTGGATTAGTAGACTTTTTCTAACAAAATATAAAATGAATTAAGTTTTGACCTCTTGATGGCAATTGGCTGATGTGGGATAGAATTTTTTTTTTTTACTTTCATTACTTAAATTTAAATTAAATTTTAGATGGCTACCTCCTACTTGGTGCGTCAAATCTTGTAGTTCAGACGTGGGATGGAAGCGTTTGGTATTTTAACGATGCAGATTTAGCGCCGGATAACACGAAAGCGTTAAGCGGGCATGGGGTGTCGTCTGCTGTCCCTTGTGGACAGTTTTTGGACAGCAGAGAAAAGGTATAGAAATATAAACAAACCATCAGTCAAAATATCTTTTAAAACATAATTTTTCTAAACGTTTCAGGTGATTGTTGGTGAAGATTATGGTGTCCTGTCTCTATATTCTGTGACTACATTTGAAAACAGCTCCGTCCATTTTATGCTACAAATGTCTTGTTCACAACACGAAGGCTGGATTAGTAGTTTAAGCGTTACACCTTCTAAAGCAAAAACGGTCACTGGAGGAAGTGATTTGCTGTAATGATTTTAATATAATTATGAAAATATTTATTCCAGTTGATTTTAACAAGATTGTAAATTTTAGGCTTAACCTGCTTGATAATGGGACGATGGTATCTGAAATTATGTATCCGGTTGCTCATTCAAAACTGATCACTGGTGTTCAGTTTAGTATAGATGAAGATGTTTTTGCATCCTGCTCTTTAGACAGATCAGCTCTACTTTGGGATTACAGACAAAGCAAACCAGCTTTAGGTAAATAAAAGTTATAACGTGTTCGGGTGAATCTCCTTCACATGAAGCAAACTCGTTTCCTTACGAGTGTAAAATAAAAATGATAATAAATATTTGTGCCACAAACTCAATTAAATTAAACGGAAAAGAGAAAAATGGGGACCTGATCCAAATAAATTATAACAGAACCTTCAAAAAAATAAATGTATTTAGATTTGAAAAAATAAAAGTAAAAATCTATGATCTATGACATACGCATTCTCCTTGCCATTTATATAAAAAAGAGCAGGTGCCTTGACCACACCATGAGTTTGTGGCACAAATATTTATTAACATTTTTATTTTACACTCCTAAGGAAACGAGTTTGCTTCGTGTGAAGGGGATTCACCTGAACACATTATAAAGTAAATAACTTAAACACAATCTATCTATTTACTGCTATCTTCATCATACAGAATCATTTTATTTAAAAGCCCTCCTGCCACTTTTGTGTAAATTTTTCACACAAAATCTATTTTAATAATTATTTCATAGTTTAAATGAATTATATTTCACACAGAGGCTGATCAATGGGTATTTTTTTTTGCACCCATGTTATTTGATTGGATTTAATCAGATTCTCTCCTGGATTTTTTTTTTTTCATCAAGACCTAAGGGAAACCGTGGTGGCTTAGTTGGTAATGTTTGGCCCATGTTTGTGGGGTCTAATCCTGACAGCCCATGGCTTTTTTAATGAGAACAATATGAAAAAAGTGGTTTATTTTTTAATTATTTACTTTACTTTTTTCATTATGTCTTAGGTGGAACTGCGGTGGCCAAGTGGTTTGGGAAACTGACAACATTTCCATTTGCCATGCAAACAGTTCTGGGTATGATTCTCAGCATTGCTCATGGCTCTTTTTTTTTCTTTCTTCTGAATTGAAAACAATATTTTCTTTCTTTACTTTTATTCCCGAAGGTGGGGAAGTCGTCTTATATTCATGCGAGAAGTGGAAAAAAATTTTGCCCTCCAGAATCCAAATTTCCACTCGCATTTGCGTTTCAGACCTTTCTGAACAAATTTAATTCCATTTCTGTCTGTGGTCAATTCCATGTAACTAGCACGAGGCTGAAACCATGAGACCAATTTTTACAAAATTTGCATACATTGCAGTTTGGTTTTTAGATAGTTTCCTAAGAATTTCACCCCAATCGGATCAAAGTATCGCGCCTGTACATGGTCAAACGTGAAATCCCATACACGTTTATATCTCTGAAACCAGTTGTCAGTTGTAGTTCCAGTTTGCTTTTTAAATGATCCCCTATAAATTTTGTTCCAAATGGATTAACATACGTGAGGAAGGAACTGTCACCCATTTGGCACAAATTTTTTTTTTCCGCTGTAATCTATGCAATTGATGTGATTCTACACAGGGTTGCTGGAAGGGCTTAACTTTCACTAGATAAAATTTAAACTATTTAAGTTCCAAGTTTTCAGTGTTTAAGCAGTTAAGTCATTTCTGATCTTCGCCGATTTGGTCTTCCAGACATCTTTTGCTTTCTTCCACCCTCAGTATTTTTTTTGTACAACTTAACAGGACATAGCATATAACAGGTCAAAATGTCAAAAAAAATTATCATACTTGAAAAACCTAGAAATATGCAGGCACAATTTCAAGAGCAATCTTAGAAGAAAAAACTAGAACAGAATGCATGACAAAAAAACCTAAATTTAATCTTTCAAAGATGGCTAGTCAAGGAAAAATATTACAAAACCACTACTGAAGATAGTGAAATGCTGACCAAACTAGGATTGGCAGAACGTAAACGCCAATTCTTACACCAATATAAACATTACAACCAAATATAATGAAAAAATAAAATTTAAATGGCCCATTATATTAAATTATTATAATATGCATTTTTTCAGGTTTATATGAGAGCAATGAAGTCGGTTTGACGTCACTGTCATGGAAAAATAAAAATGAAATCGCTGTTGGCTCACAAGGAGGAAAAATTTTCTTAGTAGATATAAGAACACTAAATCGCCTATATGAAGCTCAAATACAGAGGAAACCCGTCCATAAAATTGTTTTTAACAACGACGGGTAAATATAATAATGATTCGATATAATTGATCCTTATTGATTTAATATTATTTCAGGTTATTGGCGACTTGCTGTGATTCTAATGTAGTTACCGTTTGGGACAGTAATTCTAACGAAATTAGGTTTGTTTTGAATTACACGTATTTTGAACTTGTTAGTTTAACGGTGACGTTTACAGGTATCAAAATGATCTCCATACCGGGCTAGTACGAGGTCTTGCCTGGCATCCAATATCGGGGAAGTTATACTCGTGCGGCTTTGATAAGAATGTATTTTCACATTCCATTACGAGCGAAAGCTGAATTATTGTAAACCAAAAGTACTTTTTTTAATTTTTTTTTTACAAGAACTTTTAGTTAAAAATATTTTAAAGAATGAATTGTAAATATGTTCTATAAAAATAATTGATATTTAGGTGGATTCACGAGCATTGTATATTTACAATTTGTACATATATATTTTTGTTTTTTAATTTTTATTTGAATAGATTTTTGTTGTAATTTTACATTTGCGTGTTTATTCTGTACATATTTCAATAGTAGTGTATTTTTAATCCCTGAATTCATGGTTTAATGATTTAAAAAATTTCAATATGGAGACTTTAGCCTTGAAGACAAAGAAGGTCCTGGAAGGATTTCTTCTTTAGATGTCCTGCGAGCTTTGGTTGAAAAAATCCCAGAGCAAGTGTTTGAGTATTTGCAGAGAAGCTTTCAGTTATCCAAATTGACAGTCGCTTACCACCTTAAGGCAATTGGAAAGATGAAAAAGCTCGAAAGTTGGGTTAAATGACATTTAAAAAAAAAAAATCATGAAGTTTACATAACACTTTTTCACTGAGACAGAAACGATTCTGGATAGAATTGATACTCGCGATGAAATACGGTTTCTCTATGATAACAGCAGACGTTCTGGACAGTGGCTCGGCAAAGAGAAGCACCACATTTTCCAAAGCCCCCAACTCATCAAAAAAAAGTGATGGTGACTTTGGCGAGCTTCATTTGGGCTGATTTACTACAGCTTCTTGTCATCTTTGTTCGGAAAAGGCCGATTCTGTTACATGACAACTCATACATGTGACAACTCAAAAACTGGAATCTTGTTTATGAGGTACTACCTCACCCTCCCTATTCTCCAGACCTCTCACATGCCAACTACCATTTTCTTCAGAAACCTGGATCAAATTGATCAAAAGTTGGAAAATGTGTTTACAGAATTTGTTAAAATGAATCAAAATTCTATTTATAGAGTATAGAGAAGTCATCATGTTAAGAAAAGTGTATTGAGAGAGATGGAGGGTATCTTAATTTTAAAAAATGTATAAAATCATTTATTTTATTGCTTTTATTTTACAACTGTAAGCCTGCATTATTTTCTGGATAACCCGATAGACTGTAAACTAAAGCAAAATTTATGGGCAAAAAAACTAAGAACATTACCACAAAAATTCAATGCCATCAGTAGTCACGCATGACTGGAAACAATGTAAGAACAGAAGAAGAAAAAAAAAAGTAAAGAAATCCCTGTCATATATGAGTGGCGGGCTTTAAGTCAAACCCATAGGGTTTCATAGACAAAGAACGTTTTAGATTTTTTCCCAGGATTCAAACAAAGAACTGCGTGACAAATATGAAAATTGGACACCCAATGCTTCAAGATGGACATAATCATTTGGCCAATATGAGGCAATCTTTTATAACGTAGAATTATGCAAAGTCCTTTGTTTTGATGTGATGAATGTATCATTTTGTGACAGTCTGACCTGAAGACTTACCGGAATTGCCCTTGAATCCGAACCTGCAGTGCATTATAACAAAAAGTAAAATATCACTAATATTCAATTAAGTATACACGATTTTTCAAAATGAAAAATTGGTTATACAGGCGGGATTCTAATCTTTGGATCAGTACTCATCATAAAAATAAAAATTGGTATATTAAACTTTCAATAAAAAAAAAGTTGGAAAAAAGGCCTTAAATCTGATGGGTCGGCCACCCAGTAAGGAGCGAAGAGATGTTTCCCCTAAACCTGGAATGTCGAGGACAAATAATTGTGGAAAGGTCGTTCATCAAGCTGTGGGATACCATAAATTTGGGGCAACAGCGAAATGGGCGTTTTTATTTGCTGGAAGTCTATCAACTCGGGGGGGCTGCCCTCTGGTCATGACCAACCCTTGCAAGAAGGAAGTTGGACTTTTTTGCTTTTCCTCTGGCTGGTAAACCGGTATTGAAGGGGGATGATTTGAAAACCAGTCAGTCAAGATCAGCCATCCCAAGGACTCGGTGAACAAGATGAGTCAACATCAGATACAGTCAAGTGGAGGACTCGGCCAGCTAAGACCTAGCCATTGCGACAAGTCGACTGTCGTAGATTTGCATTGTTTAGGGTAAGTCCTCTCATAAAATAAGTTCATCCCCATAATGGTTTAATTACCTTGACTGTTAAGGCTTTTTGTTTGATCATTTTTTTTTTTGGGGGGGGGGGTTTCCTTTGGAAATATTGCCATATAATATTTATTAATTTATTTCAATTTTTTTTTTATCCTTCTCCCGGACGTTAAAAGGAAATGTTGATTGATTTAAGAAATGTATAAATTAAATCCAAGACCTTCATGCTGTTACTTGCCAACAACGTTTCAAGATTTATTGGGCCCATTATACTGGGGTCCCTATACAGATCATCCAATAATTGTTTCCTCTGGTTATCGTACTCTGGGCATTCTAATATTAGATGACTGGGATTTGATGGACTGTCGCATGTTGGACAGTTAGGGGAAGTGGTTATTCCAATTCTATGCCTATAACTCCCCCACATGGTTAGTTTTGATTCTGAAAATAGTAGAGTAGAATTCCTTTTGCCTGCCTCCTTCCAAAAACCACGGCTTTGCTTTGGAAATAAAGTTCAATAGTAATCGCCAGCTGTTGCTGAGCTGTATTTTTTATCCCATAGATTGGAACTCAATTTGTTGAAAAAAAAATTTCCGTCTGTTTTAGGAACTTTCAACTGATGGGGTACACCATATACAGTGGCCTCCTTCACCAACGCGTCCACTGTTTCGTTATGAAGAATACCCGCATGACCTTTAATCCAGCATATTATCACAGTTTTTCCATCTTGTTTGATCATTGCAATGGGTAACAGGGTAACAATAAATGTTTACGACTATCTCTCTAGTTTATTGTATTTTTGAACCATACCTTCCACGCAAAAAGTAATAATTATTTAATTAGTTATCTGTTTATTAATTATTATTTCCAATTTTTATGCAAAGCCAGTTAAGAAGAAAAATTGGAAAAAAAAATAGCAAAGCGCTTACGCTAAATATTCTCTTCTCATTTAGTGATAAACACACAGCCCATCAGTGCCAGCTTTCACAATAATAATTGTAATATTTTGGTTTTAAACAGTTGGAAAATTAAGGAAGAAATTAACACAATTTTTTTTTAATAAGTCTAATATTTTTAACAACTTTTATTCTTTCAGTACAACCACACTCCAGATATCCAACAAAAAAGAAAATTATGTCAAAGTAGTGAGTTTTAAAAGCACTACATGGAACACTCTTTTTATCATCAGCACAAATTCTGTATTAAAAAAAAAAATTAAACAAAAAACAACAAATTGTAACTATAATATTTCAGTCTCAGTGAATATTTTACTCATCATTTCATTTTAAACTATTAATTAAAAGAATAACATGGAAGTTTGTTAATCCCATCTCTTACATAATACAGTTTTGTATTTCTCTATTACATATTAATATTTTTAAATATTAAATTTTCTTTAACCGTTGGTGTGTTGTTATTCCCCGTTTTGATGTAATTTTATAAAAGGCAGTATCTTTTTGGTTTGTTTTTTACAGCATCTGAACACTTCCGGTTCACCAAAAGTATCTGTTTAATCTCCAAAGGTTGCAAGTTTCAGTATACTCGTATCCCTGTTTATATTCTTAGTATTTTCCAGAAATACTACGTCCTGCGTAATTTTGTCTTTTTCCACATAGTTTATTATTATTTGTTCTCTTTGTATATCGGTATATATCATTGTTAATTGTTCGATGATGAGTCAAAATAGTGCAACAGCCGGTAGAGGTTGGTGAGGAGCTAGTTGGGTTGCCTTCAGGAACGTGGTGTTAATAATGATGTTACATTCAGCGCCCCATACCAAATTCTTTGTCATCATCTTCAGTAACATCACCGTAGACCCACAAATTTAATCTTTCCTTTTTGGCTCGACTCTCAGCCTCTTGATACTCTTTCATCTATACAGAAATAAAGAAATTTTATTTAAAAGAACCGACCGAATTAAACTGAAACTTACAATTTTTTCTAGCCTTCTCTCCCGACGTTTAGACACCAAAATAAAGCCTTCTTCAACAAGAGCTTTGCCAATGTCCTCTTCCCTCTCAGCATCGTATAAAGTTGCATAAGAAACGTTCTTTTCGTTGTATTCAACATTCAACTGCAATTTTCTGTCGCATACATCTTCAAAGAAGCGCCTCGTTGCAATCTTCTGATCCTCAATCTATCAAATAAAAAAACAAAAAATTAAATATGGGAGGGGGTCTTTTTTTGCCAAATGCTGCCATTTTGATATTTCGACGCCTCTTCAATCCTCTTTGAATTGTAAAAAAATGCAAATCAGATGGCACAATTACACAGAAGACAAACACTTTGAGTGAGTAGAAATACTTTGTTTGAATATAAAACATATTTTGCATTGTATAAATTCACTTATCCACATCCTAAATGTATTTGTTAAATGTAAACATTGTTTGTAAATCCCAGGCCCTGAAGATGATCTCAATAAAAGATCGAAACGTTGGCACGATAAAGAAAATGTTTTTCTGAAACCTACATCACACCCGACCGCATCTCACGATATCTGAATAACTGTAAAATTCAAGTTGGAGAAATATGGAACTTTTCCTTATGCTATATTCTAGTTTGGCAGTTAACTTCTAGTGAATTTTCTTTGCTGTATTTTTCCAGTGTGTTAATTTTTCTTTGATTTTCTATTTTAGAATCTGAGCTTTGGCTAATATTGACAAAAAAAAATCAACATTACAAGCTGATTTATCAGGAAAAAATTAAGTATCAGCCATTTCCAGTTCAAAATCTATAATATTTATATCAAAATGACCACAATTGCACAAAGAATTTTTTGTAGAAATTATAAATGATGGGGTGAGTGTAGAGTTCAATCCTTTTTTTAAAAAGTTGGTTCCTACTCACATTAAGTTGTTTTGCAACAATCCGGATTTCGAGCCCTTTATTAGCTCATCGTCAGGTTGAAGGGTTTCCACAAACACGTCTCTCAACAAGAATTGCAGAAGTGAACCCGCTGAAACCCCCGCCAACGCGACGTTCCGATGAGGAGCTGGGTTTTTAATGGCGCTCAATTTGAACGTGTGAAAAGCGGGAATTTTAACACAAATAAGAAATTAATTGTAAATTATTGATTAAAGATAAAAAATTAAAAAAAGGTAAAAAATAAATAAAAATAAAATAATTAGAATAATACCTTAATATTATTAAATTATTATAAAAAATAATAACAATTAGAATAATTAGTTTAATTATTTGGACGTTTAATATTATTTATATACATATTTAAAATGATGTGAAAATGACATATTTAAAATGATACATATTTAAAATTTGATCTACCTCCCATTTTAAATATGTATATAAATAATATTAAACGTCCAAATAATTAAACTAATTATTCTAATTGTTATTATTTTTAATAATAATTTCATAATATTAAGGTATTATTCTAATTATTTTATTTTTATCTTTTTTTAATTTTTTAACTTTAATCAATAATTTACAATTAATTTCTTATTTGTGTTAAAATTCCCGCTTTTCGCACGTTCAAATTGAGTGCCATTAAAAACCCAGCTCCTCATTGGAACGTCGTGTTGGCGGGGGTTTCAGCGGGTTCAGTTCTGCAATTCATGTTGAGAGACATGTTTGTGGAAACCCTTCAACCTGACGATGAGCTAAAGGGCTCGAAATCTGGATTGTTGCGAAACAACTTAAAGTGAGTAGGAACCATCTTTTTTAAAAAAGAAGAATTTTTTGGGACAATAATTTTTTTTCCACCCCCTTTTAACAAAATAAATTCCATTTGAAAAATAAGAGTTGCTTACATCTTTTGGCATGCTCACAAAAGCCAACGTAAAGAGATGTGCAAAAGGTTTTTCAGTAAACGATGTCGGTATTGAAGCACATTGGACGCTCTGGATTTCAGCCTTGTTACCATAGTCGATATACAAAACTGTCACCTTGTTCCCAGAGACTTTCTCAACTTTGGCTCTGTACCATCCATCATCGACCGGATACTTCGCAGCGCACAAATCGCCTGAAACAAATTACGATAGTTCAATTGTTTAAACGATTTTGTGCAAGGTGGATACCTTTTCTTGGCGTGTACGCCCCGGGAAGAGGTGGATTAGCAGCCATCTCTTGCTGCAACTTGGTCTGGAGCATTGTAAGTTTTGATTCCTGAGAGCAATACTGACAATAAAAGGACAAATCAGACACCTCGACGACAACGACGTCTTTATAATCAACAACTCTTTCGGCAGTCTTATCTTCTTCTACAACCACATGGGAGTCTTCTTTCTCAGCGTATTTCTTTTAAAAATATACATACAGGTTTTTTTTTAACTTGTCAGACTGAATGTTTACAAATTTGATTAATAATTACCCATAACCCTTTACTGATTGCATAGCTTTTCGCATTTTGCAGTTCTTTAGAGTATTTTGAGTTTTCTCCTGAAAAGTGAATTTTGGCCAAACCGGCTTCAACAAGAGCAACAGACAAATTGACATTGTCAACCCACAACCACCCAATGAAATTGCCATTTCTGTCAGTGCTTTCAATTTGGATTTCAACCTGTTAAAAAAAATCTATTTTAGTATTAAAAAAAAAATATTTAAAAAAAATAGTTGTAATACAATTTGTACTTACATCCCTTTGCATACACTTTTCTCGAGTAAATGCAGTAGCAGCTTCTTCGTTGTTGACAGCGTCGCCATTCGAATATCTGACTTCAATCCCTAAAAAATTTGTCGTTTCAAAATTAATTAAAAAGGTGACAGAAAATTCTGGGTCAATAGATAATCTTTAATCTCTAAAAATCACGTTTAAACAGTTCATGGAAATTTAAAGATTTACCAGATAACAAAAATGTGATTAAGTGAGTGTCCTTTGGGAGATATAGGCGCAGCCTTGATCCACTTGCTACAAATTCGACAACAGCTTCAATCCTCTGATGTCTTGAAAAATGAGGAAGAAGATTTTTAGATTTAACAGGGTCCTGTAAAAAAATTTAAAAGAGATTAGTAAATGAAAGCTTTGAGGAGGGGAAGCTATAAATAAAACACCGACACTGCAAATGTCGTTCACTCTATGAACAGGGAATTCTTTTTTCGAGTGGACGCCTTTGTTTCCTTTCTTTGCCTTCTCTTCCGCAGCTTTCAGGCTGTTTATAGCAGAAGGCCTGTTGTCATTTTCAGCCCTGTAGTTGAAAACGTGAGCCAGTCCTTTACTCACTAGAGCTTCAGCGACATTTCTAAAATAATACAAACAATTATTTACCGTTTATTTTAATTTCTAAATGCATTATACGTACACATTGTTGATTGTGACATTGCAACAATGTTTTTCAGGGAAGTTATCACGTGCAGGTTGAGTGTAGTTGTGAGTCACATTGACTTTTTTCCCGATGAGTTTCTTCCTGAGGAATTCCCTAGCGTCGAACATCCACGGGATGTCATAAAGTGGTCTTTTAGGCCTTTGCCTTTGGCCGTCAGTTTTAGGAGGAGCTTCTTTGTTAGCACCAGGCTGTCTATAAAAATAAAATATTCGAAAAAGAGTTCATAAATATTAAAAAAAAAAAAACTTACTCTTTAGGTGGCCTGATACCAGCCAAGAAAATTTTCCTAACAACACCATTAGGCATTTTGACCATTAAAGCATCACCATTGACAATTTCAACGACAGTTCCTGTAAAATGTTTGTCATCGACTTTTGGCGGAGAATGATCTTTCCAAATGTTCAGCTTCTTCTCCTTGGCAACCTTTTCAGCATTGACGAGTTTGTCAGCATCGGCTTTGTTCATAGTTTCGAGCGACCAGTCGACACAATGAGCATAGCCTTCTTCAACCAATCTTTCTGCGATGTTGCCCAACTGAAAAAGGTCAAAAAATTTTATTAGTAAAAAAAAAATTAATTTGGTTTATAAAACAAACGATTCAACACACACCGGATGAATCACAGATCCAACAACCATGTAAGAATTAGTGGATTCGAGTACAATCTCCACTTCTTGCTGTAAAAGTCGCATTTCCGTGAACTTCCTGGCCTCTTCAGCGAGACCGGAACCCCTTACGGGGCCCTCTTCACCTTCAGTCCGTTTGATTTGTGGACACTGTCAAGCGAAAGAATTAGAATTGTTTATATATAAAATAATTTAAAACATATCTGAAACATACTCTAATTCCAGAAATCATGAGAGTCACATAAGTATGCTCAGGGAGAAGAAGACATGCTTCCACAGTCGAACCGTCAATCACCCTTTCGATTATGGCTTTTATAGGCTTTTTCTCGCACTGGTTTACAAATTCAAGCAATTCAGACGTTTCCAGGAATCTGACAGACCTTTTGCCATTGTTCTAAAAATAATTTTACACTTCATACATAAGAAAATAATTACTTAAACATTTTTATACAATAAACTAACTTGGATTAGAAAGTAACATTTTTTTAAAATAAACAATTATCTATGTTGATGTTGACAATTAACAGACTAATTTTGCATCAGATATAGATTTTATTTGAAAATTAAACCAAGTTCACTTTACTTGCTTTGCAAAAAAAAGTCAATGCTCAACAAGTTTAAAATATACCCACTAGCAAAACCATTTGATACTTAAATTTTTTATTATTCAAAAATATTATTTTTAAGCATAACTCTAATTTAACCATCAAATTGTAAATGTAAACATGGTAATAAATACAATTAAAGAAACAATAACAAGTGAATTAACTGTATTTTATATTAAATGAGTTAAAAATTAAACCAAACCTACAAAATGTAAAATGTAAGGCCAAATTTCTGAAAATAATAATTAATTCCTGTGCAAACATTTTTGTTTAAAAAATCTAAATAAGAATCGCACAATTACACAATAATGGTTTTGGGATAGTAAAATTTTGATTGTCTTACTTTACTAAGATCTCCCCATTTTCCCTTTCCAGCCTTCTTCGCTTCTTCGACCAGCTTAGCTTTTTCACCAGTTTCTGATTTGCAATCTGCAAGTCCTTCTTTAAGCAATAATTCATTTATGTTGACATTCCCTGAAAAAAAGTGTAATGCTCGTGTCAAAATAAACCATAAATTCACAAAATTATTCCTTTCTTATTGTACTTTAGCTAAGGCTTATAGACAGAACAATAAAATAAGATTGTGAGACAGAAAATACATTTGGACAGCCAATATTGAACAAGTCAAATTCTGACCTGGCACTGAAAGTGTATTTTTTCTTAATTCTAATGACTTTTTTGTCAGAATCTTTAAAGCAATTTTTAAAAAAATAGTTTGTTCCTTTTGTTGTATGTGTGTTCATGAGTTTTTGTTTTGTTTTGTGCTTGTATATTTCTAGGTCCTTTTTGTACACCTTGCAGTAATTTCAAGCTTGTCTGTGTTAGTTGAGGACTATGAACCCTCACCAATTCAAACATTTCATAAAGTTACACCACAATGTATTGGGTTGTCCGGAAAATAATGCAGGATTTTAAGTTTTCATTAAAAAAAATCTATATAAAATATTCTGTTTACGTTTACAGGATTACTCATTNCAACACGTTGGGAGAAATGTATTGAGAGTATGGGAAATTATTTTGATTAAAGAACATTGCTTTAAAGTAACTAGTTTCTTTTTTTTTGTTTAATATCAAAATCCTGCATTATTTTCCGGACAACCCAATACAAAATGACTGGAAAACTTAGAATTAAATAAATAAATAATAATTAAAATTTAAAAAAAAAAAAAGAGAAAATATATGCTTGTGTGGCAAATACAAGTCTGAAGCTGAATTTCCATTGAATGAAAATTACTCAAACTAGACTTGCATTGTGGATACCCAGCTGGGACTGCCAAACTTTTGGCACGGGGATGTTTTGAGGTGAGTCGACTGTCGGTATTTTAGAGCACAACAAAGTTTTTCACGTTGTTTTTTCCCCTCTGTGTAAATGCACATGTCTCGAGTATTTGAATGAGGACTGCATTTGACTTATTCAAATGTATCACAACTACTGATTTTTGTGGGATGCTAAGCTAAAACTCATCATAACAAAAACCAAAATAAGAGAGAGGATGCTTGGAAGGAAATGGGACAAAGACAAAAAGTATCGCCATGATAGCAAATGCTGATGGAGCAGTTGGTGTAGTTACTAACAGCATGCTTGTCTCTTGCAAACTGATGGCTCAGCTTTCATTTCTATATTGCAAAATGTTTCGTCTGTGGAATGGTTAACCCGAAATAGCATTTTGTGAGTGATTTTTTCGCGCAATGGAAACCCAGCTTTACACCCTAAAGTAAGAGCAGAAGAGTTACTGGATACAGAGCCTTTTTAATTGTTTTCAAATTTATTTTGTGAAAACCATGTAATTTGCTTTTGTATGTGTTTTTACTCATTTTTTATGATTACATAAAAGAAAAATTATTGTAGAAAGTAGAAATGACTTTTATTCAACTACGCACCCAAATAGAACAACTCTGTGGGTTGCCTGCTTCATTTACGAAGACTGCATCATATAATTCATATTACTTAGATAAAGTAGTAAAAAAAAATTAATTTATTTTATTTTTTAGTACGTATTTAGTAGTTATTTAACGTGATAAATTGGGTTTTGTATATTTATTTTTATACAATAAAATTAATCAGATTGTCCAAAAATAGTTGTTGTCTAGCGGAGAAAATCTCTCAATTCAGAATTACAGTTGTTTGAATTATTGAGAAAAAAATTGATAAAAATAGAACACATGTGCCATGGGGTCAGAGTGATTTCATGGTAGGGGGTCGAGTAACAGATGGTGGACTAGTGGGAGACAGTTGAGAGTTTCAACTCAACACTCCCTATTTTCGCAAAAAGTTTAGGGTATGCTGTTAGCTCCAAAGGGTGGCAAGAGCGATATTTAAAAAAAAAGTTATCTTGAAGTTGAAGAAAACCCATCTGGAAAAAGAAAGGTTAAAAAAGAAGAAAATGGAAAAGAAGTAGGAAAAAGAAACAGCCAGAGTCAAAGGGCGTTTGTCCGTTTTAGGGTCTTGTTCAAGATGTGTTTAAAGTAATTTTTTTAAAAATCAAAATAAACGTATACAAACACAAACATACATGTTGACAATTAAAAATAAATAAATTGATTGTTTGTTTTTTATATTTAAATGTGATACATTCTTAATTCATTCACTATGGTAATTAATCTTTAGCCTTATTTTTACATAACTCAAGCATTTAAAATCATCTATTAATTTTACATAAATCGCATGAAGCGGGGTAACACAAATACATTTGAGACTTGAGCAAAGATGTGTCCATTTTGCCAATAATATTTTACATTGAGCTGATGTTTTTTACAATAAAATACTTCAACTATGTTTGCCTTGGCTGTTACTCATCTCAAGATGTGTTCATTATTAGTGTATTGATAATTTTGGAGTGTCTGCAAGTAATCCAAAAATAGAACTTTGTAAAAAGAATTTTTAAACCTAGTAAATGAATGTTTTTGAAGTTTTAAGTTTATAGTCAATACCAGGTAACCAGAAAAGTTCATGGGATTTATCATTTGCTGTTGTTTTATTACCAAGACATTAAAACAATAACAAATCAAAAACCACACAGACTTTTCTGATTTTATTTTTACTGGTAGTAAAAAGGAAAATTTCCTTAGATGTGTCTGTTATTGGACTCCCTACCCTATAATAAAAATGAATGTTTAAAACCCGTCCTCCATAGGTGATATAGGACACTTATATTGAAGGAAAAGTTGAAATGACATTTACACAATGTATTATATAATCATTTCTGAAAAATAAAACTAAATTTGTGACAAATCTTTTGAAAAGAAAGTTGTTAAAATTTCACTATTTGCACATATTGAAGGTGAATTTTAATACAAAAAATGTTTCCGGAGTGTGTAAGTATAAATATTGCATGTATATTTGTACAGGTAAAAAGTGAAAGCAAAGCCGGAAGTCCTTAGGAGAGAAATTTCATTTTTTTTATTCAATGTTTCATCAGAAATGTAGCTAAATATTATTTATGCAACAAATTTGATCATTTTTACTTGTAGTGTTCTTATGATGATTTCTTTTTTAAATATCATTTCTTTTGCCGTTATGTGGCCGCGTCGCTAGTATCCCCCTTTACAAGTTCATTACACACTTATTTGTAAAGACTCTCCCGAGATATGGCTAAAAGTTTGATTAGAAATTTTTTCTTTTCTTGTTATTTATTTTTTCATTTGATTCCTTGTTCAAAGTAGACCTGAACTTCCAGCAGAAGGGTAAGCCAAGCTGTAATGTTTAATTTACACTAAAAAAAGACATACTGTACGTTTTCAATAAATGTTTTTTTCTTCTTTCGAGAACGACGGCCTTAATAAAATTATTAAGCCAGATGCTCAGGAGATAGTAACTTCCCAACAAACAGGAGTCTTCAACAGCTAGGCCATTTCAGCCCCCAACGCAGGCAAAATATAATCTAGCCTAAAACTAACTTGTCGACTTTTGTTAATTTGAAACTTGGTTATTTGAATTTCTTGATAATACAAACTCCTCAGTAGGTCACTTTGGTAAATCGAAAAATATATTTTTGGAGCATTCTATAAAACAAAATGGAGCCACTTCCCCTCTTTATATTTCAAATTTTTTCTTTTTCCTCAAAATTTTCACATACTGTACTTCCTTGCAGCCTAAAGTTTCTTCAAATTTTCTCTAGTTTATTGGTCAGTGTTTTATCAATCTCAGCTCTGGTTACTTTGGAAAATCCTTTAAACAAAGAATGCCAGGCCATGTTGAAACAAAGCCATTTTATGAATTTTTTAAATAATACATAACTATGTTCACTTATTCAGTTGATCTATTATAATTTTTTCATTATTTTTACCGTTTTATATATGTACAATGTAAGAAATTTACTCTTAATAATGTGATTTATTTCGTAGTCCCTTGGGTTTCGAGTTATTAAGTCGATTGTAACTACTATAATACAATCACACAAATAAATACACTCACACCTATGTGCATTGCACTCATTCTAGTAGATGTTGTAAGTAAGAATTTTTTATGTAACCAATTTGAACTCTTTTACTTGTAGTGTTCTTTTGTTATGATGATTTCTTTTTTTAATAGTATTTCTTTGATGTTTCCACTGGAGTAATTGGACTTTCACCCTGAAGAGTTGTCACTCCAAGATGTGCTGACCCTAGGGTCTATATCTCAGGGGTGTTCACCTATCCATTATGTAGCTAGGTCGCTAGTATCCCCCTTGACACATTTATTACAACACTTATTGTAAAGACTCTAAGATATAGAAAATATTTTGATTAATTTTTTTTCCTAAAAAAATCACAAACAAAATTCCAAAAGGTTTTATTAGATGTTTTGATTAATTGAATAAGACAATCTTGTGTTTGTAGTGTATGGAATGTAATGGAAGCATACCATGGAAGACGGTCCCATATTGTCTACCAGTATTTTTACAGGTGTAAAGTGAAAACAAAGCTTGAAGTCCTTAGGAGAGAAATTTCATTTTTTCATCCACGTTTGTTCAGAAATGTAACTTAAATAATATGTATACAAGCAATTTGATCATTTTAATTTGTAATGTGTTAATATTATGATTTTTTTTTTTTAATATCATTTCTTTGATGTAGTTATTGGAATGAATGGACTTTCCCCTCAAAGGTTTCACTCCTCAATGTGCTGACCTAGGGTCTTCATCTCAGGGGTGATCACCTACCCATTAGGCAGCTGAATCACTAGTATCCACCTTAACATATTCGTTATGACTCTTATTTGTAAACTCTCCCGAGATATAGAAAAAAATTTGTTTAAACAAAAATTCTTTAAAAAATCAAATAAGACAATCTTGTGTTTGTAGTGAAATATAATGGAGGCTATGGAAGACAGTCCCATATTTTCTACTAATATTTGTACAGTTGTTAAGTGGAAACAAAGCTCGAAGTCCTTAGGAGAGAAATTTCGTTTTTTTATCCACGTTTATTCAGTAATATAACTTAAATAGTATGTATACAAGCAATTTGAGCATTTTAATTTGTAGTGTATGATTATGATTTTTTAAAATCATTTCCTTGATTGGAATAATTGAACTTCAAAGGGTTCACTCCACAATGTGCTGACCCTAGTCTTTAACTCAGGGGTGATCACCTACCCATTATGCAGCTGGATCGCCCCATAACATGTTCATTATGACTGGAGACCGGATTTTTATGCAGTTGCATATTTTGTTTGAAACCATATACGACCGAGGAAATCAATTATCTATCTGAATCATGTATCTAGGAAGTGTAGGTTAAATTTTATAAAGCATATTTTAGCATATTTAATGAATATCACATAAAATTGCATATTTGAATAATATTGTATATTTGAAGGATTTTTACATAAAATCGCATTTATCACCCACAATATTTAAAATATTATATTGGTTTTCGGGGGAAGTATAAAAAATCAGTAAACAAAATAACAAGTTGACTAAAATAGGCTGCAACAACGGGATGAGAAGATTCTAGAAATACTGACAAAAGAATATAAAACCCCTTCTTTAGTCCTATTTCAATAATCAATTTTTTTTTTTTATTGGCCTTATAATCTTGCATATTAGCCATGGTACGAATTCTTGTGTGTTCAAATTGGGGGTTATCGGGAAAAAAGGGCCAGAGGCGACGGTGGGAATCGAACACACGACCACGGCGTGAGAGTCTCTCATGCTAACCACTCGGCTACCGCGGTCCCCGCTTCAATAATCAATATTCTCACAAATTTTAAGTGACCATAGGCACTATTTCACAGAAGACAATTTAGAAAAGTACTTGTTTATTAACGTTAAGTATACTCAAATAGTATAAAATATATAATTTAATTATGCAAGCGAGAAAATATTTTCAGTAAAAGTAAATAAACTCTAAGGGGCGTCGATGGCCGCAATGGATTAAGCGTTGACATGGCGCTCATCACTGTAAGGTAAAGGTCCCGGGTTCGAATCCAACAGCACTGCATTTGTAACCGACATACTTACAATCCTTCATATTTCAGGGCTTTCAACTGTATATTTTATGAAATATTTTGGCAATTTATACTGCATAAAAATCCAGTCTCTGGTTATGACTCTTATTTGTAAATATTCTCCCAAGATATTGGAAAAATTTTGATTAAAAAAACATTTCTTCAAAAAATCATTTAAAAAAATTCCGAAAGGTTTTAATAGATGTTTTGATTAATTGAATAAAAGACAATCTTGTGTTTGTAATGTGGAATATAATGGAGGCATACCATGGAAGACGGTCCCATATTCTCTGTCGGTCGTAGAGACCAAATTGGCATTGGTCTCGACCTCGTAAGTGACGAGTTGCTTGAGAAGTCTTTTCCTCAGGAATTCCCTTGCTTCCCAGGCAAAAGGCTCTTCCTCGCTCTGTATCCTACAAATATCGGCATTAATAGTTTTAAGGGAAATCCAAATGTCTCGATCCAAGTCCTAATTACTTCTGGCTCTTCTTCAAAATCTTGGGTACCTTCAGACCTGAAAGTATCAGTTTCCCTTCACCTTTTTCTCGCCTGAGAAGCCGAAGCGTATCTCCAGATATCACCTGGGGAACGAAAAAAAGAATTTAGGCCATCGTCCGATATTTTTTTTACTATTTTTCTTATGTTTTGTCGATTAAAATCTTAACAGATTGAGAAAGAGAAGAGACTGGAAACGATGGACTTACTTCTTGGACTTTGGCTTCGTAACGGGTCCTCGGAGCACTCATCTCTGAAACGGATATTCCGAGTCAACGTGAATATTTTGGTTATAACTTCGGGTCGAATCCTTTTAAAAACACTTGCTCCCTGGGCGACTATAAAAATACTATGCTGATCATCGAGGACTCAGTATTTGACGTGTATCCCTCAAAAACCCCTGACGGAAAGAGAGCACGACCTCATCCAGATGAGTGAGAAGTGAAACGTGCAAAGACGAGACAAGAGAGTGGTGATGATGTGGCTGGAAAACAACCTGCAACTCGGAAACCTTCTGAAACGGGAAACCGACGCGGAGACAGCGCCTCGGCCAACGCACTCCTCGCCGGCTCACCTCAAGCATTTCTTACAAATCCAACGGAATTATATAACCGAGGTACATATCTTGAACCCTAGAACTGAGGGACTTTTTTTTTCCAAAAAATAAAAAAATGAAAAATAAATCAAATAAAATAAATAATAAAAAAATATCACTACAGTCTTTATACAAACAACATGACCCTTTAGTTGATAAAAACATAAAAGGCGATAATATAAATAAATTTAATTACAAATAACTGCAATAAAATTAATCAATATAATATTTTATAATACCAACAGATTTTAGATCTATCAGTGTTTTTCTAACTTTTTTTACTTTTTGGGAAAGTTCTACTTGGCCCTGCATGGTTCATAAATGTATGTATTTTTTTTTAAATATTTTATTCTACTAATTCAAATTTGTTTAGTGGTTATAATTGACCATATTAATTATTCTTTTTCTCTCAACCTTAGATGAAAAGAATAATTAATTCGAATTTCATTCTACATGCTTCATACAAAATATCTCATGTAATAAAATAATGATAAATATAAAATAAAAATAAAAAAATAGTCAAAAAATTTTACTACAGTCTTTATACCAGCGATATGACTCTTCGGTTGATAAAAACATAAAAGGCGATAACATAAATAAATTTAATTATAAATAACTGCAATAAAATTAATCAATCTAATATTTTACAATACCAACAGGGGCATCGGTGGCTGCAACGGTTTAGGCGTTGTCACAGCGCTCATCACTGTAAAGTGAAGGTCCCGGGTTCGAATCCACAGCCTTGCATTCGAACCTGACATACTTACAAATGGGCTTCTTTTTTTTTTTTTTTCTTCAAAAACTTGGCACCCTGAGGGTTGATACTTGATATGACCTCTGCTGTTACAAACCCTCATAAAAAAAAATAATAATAATTATATATATATAATACCAACAAATTTAAGACCTATCAGTGTTCTTCTGATTTTTTTTCCTTTTTGTAAAAGTTCTACATGACCCTGCATGGCTCATAAATATGTCTTTTTTTTTTTTCTTTTTTTTCTAATAATCCATAGTTGTTTAGTGGTCATAATTGACCATATTAATTATTCCAATTAATTATTCTTTTCATTCAACCAAAAACATTAGTTGAAAAGAATGATTAATTGGAATTTAATTTTATTCTACATGCTAAAAATAAATAAATAAAATATAAAAATATAATACCAACAAATTTTAGACCTATCAGAGTTCTAACTTTTTTTTACTTTTTGAAAAAGTTCTACTTGACACTGCATGGTTCATAAATATAAGTGTTTTTTTTTGTAAATATTTTGTTCTAGTAATTCATAGTTGTTTAGTGGTCATAATTGACCATATTAATTATTCCAATTAATTATTCTTTTCATCTCAACCAAAAACATTAGATGAAAAGAATAATTAATTGGAATTTTATTCTACATGCTTCACACAAAATATTTCTTGTAATACAATAACCATAAATATAAAATAAATAATATAAAATTCATATAATAATTTTTTTAAACCAAAAAAAAAAAATTAACTAAAAAAATAGTTACTCAATTAATTATATACTGTGTATGATTCACAGGTGTGATTCTAGATTAATACTAATTTTTTAATTATTTTTATCAGCTTATTCTTAATTATATAATTACTCAATTGGAAAAAACGGGGAGTCAAAATGGGAAGTTTGTGGCACGGGCGATCAAAGTCACGGTAGCGCAAGTGGTAGAGCAGCAGCGTATTTAGCCAAAAGTCGTGGTTCGAATCCCGCCTGTGACACAATTTTTCATTTCAAAAAAATTGTGTATAATTAATTGAGTAATTATATAATTAAGAATAAGCTGATAAAAATAATTAAAAAGTTAGTATAAAAAATAGGCAACAAATATCACTACAGTTTTTATACCAGTGACATGACCCTTTGATTGATAAAAACATAAAAGGTGATAATATAAATAAATTTAATTAAAAATAACTAATAAAATTGATCAATTTAATTTTTTATAATACCAACAGATTTTGTACCTATCAGTGTTCTATTTTTTTTTTTTTTTTTAATTTTTGGAAAAGTTCTTCTTGGCCATGCATGGTTCATAAATGTATATTTATATTTGAATTTTGTTAAATTTTATGTAATTATGTAGTACATTTAAAGGCTTTAGGTTTTTGTATCACTCTGAGAGTAAATACTTGCAATCGTTATAATTCTTATTTTTGTCGTTTACTAGGTATTTTTTATTTGTTTGGTGCGGGCGTCCAAGGAAATGCCACCACAGAGTATCAGTGACCAACTGTATAATGCCACCTGAGGAATCCATATAAAATTACGCCAATCTGAAGATTTCAGGTAAACTCTCACTTCATCCCCAATCTTCCACCATCCAATTCACATGCAAACTGGTCATTTTTTAAGCTGTAGTAAAAATAGGTCCACAAGCCCGCAGGCTTTTTGTTGAGCTTTCATCTTACAGCTCTGGGGGAAATAGAAACATTTCGGACTTGTCATCATATTTCTTATCTCATGTCCTGTTATGCTGTGGTTTTGTAGAACCCTTTGACGGATGAATCTATCGTCTCTCTGGTCTGTAAACCTAGGTCGATCCTGTCCTGGCTTTCTAGTGTGAAGCCCTGCTTCTGTGAAGCTGAAGAACCTTTCCTATTGTAGATTAATTAATATTCAGTTTCTTGGTGACTTCGTGCTGGCTGTATCCTTCGTCTAATAATGTTATGATTCTAGCACTGTCATACTCGCTCAAATGCCTAACTGGAGCTGAAAAAGATTTAAGAATATTAATAATTTCAAATGAAATCAATAAAGAAAAAGATTAACTGAAAGAGATCTTTAGGCGTAGCAGAATGGAAGGGCATAATGCTACTTTTTGTGCAATTAGGATTAATCAGTACAAAAGTAAACAAAATTACTGTTTATTTTTACTAAATTAGCTCCTAATTACCTGAAATGGTGTAGAAAGATAATATTGTTATGGAAGAGGACAAGAGGAGGGAAAAGAGGCGCCCCTCCGAAACATTAGAAGAGAACCGGCGGCAACACTGGGACTGTTGGCAACGCTGAGGGGTTGGTGTTGACGAGAGGGAAGAACAAAGAAACGGGGAACGGTAGTACGCACGGAGAACTGCGCAGTTGTGGTTGTTTGGGACAACGGCGTTTTGTATTCTAGCGACTTTAATTAAATTACTTTATATCAAATTCTATTTATTTTTAATAATCCTTACAATATATTTAATTTTAAACTAAATACATTGAGTAGTTCGTTAAATTTGCCCATCAGTATAATATCAAAATTCCCTTGCATAATGTTGAATACTAATTTAATAAGTATTTGCCAATATTTCCATAAAATAACTTAAGATGGAAAAAAACTGATATCAAAGTTGTGTTAATTAAAACCATATTGTATTAGATAATACTTTTGTTTGGACAACTTTTTTCAATTAACTGTGGCAGGCTGCATTTGTGACAGGACTTTACATTTAAAATAATTGTATAACCAGATCATGGCCGAACGATTACAAAATCTATGATTGCAACAAAAATAACCCTGTTTAATGGTGTGAATGAGAAAAACATTACATAAACAGATTACGCCACTTTTTTTTAATATTATTTTTAGCTGTTTGTGAGGATAAGATTTACATAAAACTTGTTTTATGAACAAAGTTCTTACTTTTTTTAAAATTATAAATTCAAATTTTCAAACTAAACTTGTTTGTGTCTCAGGCTGTGTCGTTCTTGGAAATTTCTTTGATAAAATAACTCAATTATAATCTAATAGTGAACAGTGAAAACAATTCATGTTAAAAGGAATGATTTTACGGGCTATGTTAAATCAAATTTAAAAACTAGAGATGTAGGAAATTGTAAAAAAAAAGATGCTTCACAACATTTATTGTCATACAACATACATTATAGGACTTTGGCGATGTAAATAATAAAACCAATATTAACAAGTAGTTTTAAACTCACTGATAAAAAATAATGATAATAATAAGCTTTTAACAAAAATCAGATCGATGTTTCTGTTATCCTTTACCCTTAGCATACAAAATATATCACAAATAAAGAAATGGAAGTACTAAAATTTTCTTTATTTTGAATAATAATTATTTATTCAAAAGTAAGAGTAGTTTGATTATCCTTAGTGACCAATGAAACGAGGCTGCCATTTTTTGGTAGGTTCTTTCCTGTTGACCAATTGTAAAATGTCCTGGAAACAAAACATTAGATGAGTTTTTAAAAAATTCAATTTTTTGTTTGTTTTATAAACATACTCGGCAATAAATTCCAAAGGAGTCCATGTTGAAGTGTCCGCCTTGGGCATCCACTTGCGATTCATAGGTGTATCAAGTGTCACAGGCAAGGTTGCAACAACGAGAGCGTTTTCAGGGAGGCCGCTCTTCTCCCCGGCGAGGGATTTTGTCAACTGGTGAACGGCTGCTTTTGCCATGCCGTAGCCGATCATTCCTTATTTGATAATTTTGAATAATGAGAATTCATCGGAAAAGGATTTGAGTTGAAAAGAAAATTATATACCAGGTGTTCCTTGTTTAGCAGGGAATGCGCCAGGCAGAGAGAGAAATCCTCCAGGTTTCAAATGCTTAGCAGCCACTGATGCGGCTATCGTAGAACTCCAGACACTCTGTTTCCACATCATGTCAGCATTCTTGACAAAATCTGAATAAATAATGCAAAAAAGTTACATAAAACATTTATAAAGGGTGATCAGAATACAATTTTTTTTCTTATTTTTATATTCAGGATTGTTGTTAAAATTGATGAACTCATAAAAAGCATAGAATCATTTTGTGATTTATATTTTTCTTTTGCCTATAAATTTCTGTCTGCTCCACCTTCACACCTTTAGTAACTAGAATTATACTCCAAGTATGCTATAAAGAAGTAAGATTCAAGCTGTTAAAAGCCTTTGAACCTGTGGAACAGGCTGAAATGAATAGACAAAAGTAATAAATAAATTCCAAGATGAGTGTATGTTTTTTATGGGTTAGATAATTTTAACACTAACTCTGGATTTATAAAGGATGTAAAAGTAACAAAATATAAAAATTTTAAGACTTCTTATGAGATAGGGTTGGTGATGATGTAATTTGGTCATTTCCAGAAGCCTAAGTGCAACAGACCAAAACAGCAATGAACTCAGGATAGCCCTGATTTAAGTATGGGCAGAATAGTCCTACTGGATTTTTGATGAACCTCCAAAAAAATCAAGATTTTCTATTATAAAATTTAATTGAAATTTGAATTTTTTAATATTTACAGTCGGAAGTTACAGGGAAATCATAAAATTTTATTTTTAGTCGTTACAAGTTTAAAGTTAATTGGCAGAAGTGCGTATTATTGTAGATACTACTTTGTACCTAAAAATATAAATTTGATTACCTATATTATCTAAAACTGTTTATTTAATTTCTAAATTTTCATATTCTCCCTGTCCCACTTACCTTTTCTAAATAATATTCAAATTTCATTCCTTAGATTTATGGCAGCCAGTTTTTTTTTTTTTTTTTTAATAATAATAAATTGAAAAGTTTTAATGCCAAACCTCAATTTTTGAGGGGACCACGTTAGCCGAGTGGTTAAGGTCAAGCCAAGTCATACTCTTGGCTAGTAAATCCTGCGGTCATGGGTTTGATTCCCACCATCACCTCTGGATTTTTTTCTGTCAGCTAAGGGGACTGGTAGCCTCAATTGAAAGAAATTGACATGGCACTCATCAATGGAAGGTCTGGGGCGGGATTGGATCTCAGTGACCCCAAATTTGGTCCCAACCCTTTTAAAAAAAAAGTGTTGGTTGATGCAGCGGTTTAAGGTTCGAATCTGGCATCCCTGCCTTCAAACATACTTACAAATGGGATTTTTTTAAAGCCCTCGTTAGGATAAAAAATAAAAATTTTGACACATCCTATTGAGTCGGGTTAGTTATGATGTAGAGTCATTTCCAGAACCCAAAATGCAACAGACCAAAACAGCTATGATATAGAAGCAATCAAACAGCAACCAACTGTACAATTTTAAAATATTGCCTTACATTTTAATCATGATAAAATGTTCAAAACGATAAATAAATTTAAAATAGTGAAAGTAATAATTAAAAATACCAGGGGAAGCAGCGTTTCCTCCTGCCCAACCACCTGCTACGCAGATGACAGCATCCAGTTTATTTCCATCCAAAACTGAGGAAACTTCTTTCAGGACTTGCGATTCCTTTAAAGATGTAAATCGGTTATAGAAAAAATATATATGTTTAATTAATTTGTTTAAAAAAATCCAAGTGTGCACCTGTTGGAGCCAGCCTTCTTCTGGTTCCACCAACACGTTAGCGTCGGCCTTTTCGTTCTCCTTCAGATCTATTGAACCTACCCACTAGAGAGAAAAAATTGAAGTGATTTTTTTTTAAATAAATGTAAAATGTATTTACCCATTTTTTATTTTTGAAGTAAGAAACGCAAGTATCTCCGAGGGCCCCACGGCCGCCGTAGATGAAAACTCGTCCCGTGCTCATGTTCAGAAAGGATCTACTATCTCACTGACTACTTTGGAGTTTGGTCCCTGGGTTAAGGCTGTTTGTGAAAGGGAAATTACATAATAGGTAGAATTTCAAGTTTTAATCTTGGCCGAGTTCCAGATAAGACGGAAGGCTGTTGGGCTGTGGAAAGACTCTTATCAAAAGAATCAGCATCAGGGACAGTGTTGTCAGATCAACCCAACAGAAGAATTCTTCCCGTTTAATCGACACCACTGCCTACACTAGTAAAAGTCTTCCAGCATACATTAGCTCATAATTCATGATAAACTGTTTACAGAATTGACTTAAGCGGTGGTTGCAACGTTTTAGGCGTTGACACGGCGCTCATCACTGTAAGGTACACGTCCCAGGTTCAAATCCTGCAGCCTGCACTGCATACAACTACAAATGAACTTTTTCAAAAATATCGGCACCCCGAGGGTTCATAAAACCTCATTAAAAAAGTGATAAATTGGTCAGAATAATATAAAACCTGTGTCTACCACAGTTAGTATAGAATCAGGAGGTAGCATATCAAATGTAAATAAGTGTTAGTTAATAAAGTAGTTCGTTATAGTCTTAGACATAGTGATGTCTTCTACAGTTATACAATCCAACCAATTGTGTAGGCAGACTACATTAAAGACCTAGGAACCATCTACTCAAACAATGTGACATTTAACTTGCAATAAGGCATAAGGCTAATCAAATTTTTGGATTCTAACATAGAACTACAAAAAATTTTAAGGATGCATAAACAAAGATTGTACCGTTTAAGGCTATGGTCCGTCCCATTTTAGAATACTGTCAGTTGTTTGGTCGCGACGTCAGAAAATATAAAGAGAACATTACTACTGTTTACTAAAACATACTTGGATATTCTGTATGAACTTATTTCGGAATCCGTAGAATTGCAATCACTAAACATAAAACGACAAAACATTGAATTTTCTTACAAATTCTTAAATAATATGATCGACTGTCCACAATTAATCAATTTGCTAAATTTCAACGTTCCTCAGTGTAACGTACAACAAAAATATTATTTTAAAAATTTAATTATAATAAAATTATTTAAAAAATTTAGTCCGTTTCCTTGACTCAAGGAAACAAGTAATAAACTTTCTTTACATTGTGACTCTTTTTACCATTCCTTAAGTCGATATAAACATTTTCTTTAAAATAGTAATCATGGCAATTACAGTTAATTTGTTTTTATATTTCTGTCATTTTAATTATTTTTATTATCATTCCCTGATACTTCCTTTATATTTTTTTTTTATATATTTCGTTTTCATTAATTTTTTATCATTCCTGGTTACTTTCTTTATATTTATTTATATATCTCTGTTGTTTTCATTAATTTTTTATCATTCCTGGTTACTTTCTTTATATTTTTTTATAAATTTCTGTTGTTTAATTACATTTTTATCATTCTTTCTCACTTCCTTTATATTTGTTTATATATATTTCTGTTGTTTAATTAAATTTTTACCATTCCTTCTCATTTCATTTATATTTGTTTATATATCTCTGCAGTTTGATTGTTTAATTAAATTTTTAACATTCCTTCTCATTTCCTTTATATTCGCTTATATATCTCTGTTGTTTGATTGTTTTAATTAAATTTTTACCATTCCTTCTCATTTCCTTTATATTTTTTATATATCTCTGTTATTTAATTAAATTTTTATCATTCCTTTGCATTTCCTTTATATTTGATATCTCTGTTGTTTGATTGTTTAATTAAATTTTTATCATTCCTTCTCATTTCTTTTATACTTTTTATGACCCAATAGTTACAATATATTTTATTTGTGATTGTTATGTTGAATATGTTCATAGTTTTAATTATTGTTGTTTATATTATTATTATTTGTTTCAATTATTCTTTATTACTTGTTTATCATTTAAACTCTTTAGAACTTGCAACTGGGTATATTTTCCATGTAAATAAAGGAATAAAATTAATGTCACTATGGGAGTTTTGCAAGGTTAAATGCTAAGCCCACTCCTCTGCTCACTTTTGTGCCAGATATAATTAAATTCTTTCATAATCGTGGTGCAGATGGCATTAGTATTGACAGAATGAAAAGCCTAATGATGCTGTATGCAGATTATGTAGCCTTTTAATGGAAGTACGCCCAATTCAAACTGGATCTGCTGCAAAAATACTGTGATTTGAAGGAGTAAGAAGAAAATAGAAAAATAAAGAAGAAAAAGTTATATATATCCTAGGAATGATCATAAATCCAAACCCATTCTCTTACTAACTTCTAAATACATTTTTTCCATTTACAACCTTTACACCATTATATAACTAACATAATATGTTTGATGGGGTACTCAGTATTAGTAGACACTGATCACACTGCACATTCACCCTAATAAATAAATTCTCTCTCCACACATGCTAGGACAGAAAACTGTGAATAATAAAATAATCCTGTTTCCTCTAAGAATAGGAACAGGGGGCTCAGATACTACCTGTCGCTCAAGCAAAATTCTCATATGGGGTGGCATTCCTACACGCTTTCTATAAGGAGCCAAGGAATTGCACCCTTTAATTATAGGGGCACATCGAACAACGTTTCTCTGCCGCGAAAATTTTAATTACTTTTATTTTCTTCATTGTATTGTTCTCAACTTTTGAATGAAATAGTTTAAAAAATAAAGCTTGTGGAATTTTTTTTTTTCATGGAATACAGAAAAGTAGTCGAAACTTCGAAAGAACCGGGAAGAAGTCGACTCCGATTTCAACCGCTCACCCGAGCGATCTTCCATTTCTCAAATACAACTAGACTCGCACTAAAAATAACAATAAATCGTCATAAAACCCGATATCAAAAATAAAATCTTATTGTTCAAAAGTGTGAACTTTGAAAGTGAAATCATAGTCAAGTATTTGATAAGAAGCCCTTAAATCCTAACGGCTGTAGCCGCTAGGCCTAGATTTGATTGGTGTTCCACCGAGAAGGATTTTTCTTCTGATATTGGACTCGTTCCAGTTCCTTTGCTAGATTTTTTCAGCAAATTTTGCAGATTTCTAACATTTCGCTATGTCTAACTGGAGGGCAGCGGGTCTCACGTAAGTATTTTCAAAACTGAACGAAGAGTACCAGGAACCTTTCCAGTGCTTGTCGTAACCTGATTTTTATCAGGGTAATTTTCTTTCTCGTCCCAACCTTTTTCATTATATCAGATGATGTTGATAATGATGATGGAGGTGGATACTATGAAGCGGGTTTTGTACTCCACAGGCACTGTAACCTTCTGGCGTATTGAAGTTGCATAGTTCAGTCAATCGACTCAAACCTTAGAAGTAGTAGGTCATTGTCGCTGCTATGCATTCCAAGATAATATAGGCGGCTATTTCTAATTCTATAATCTTCAGGTGGGATCATCGTTGAATATGCTCATGTTATGTAGATTTTTCTCAGATGCCAGTGACTAGCCTAAGTCCTGAACCTCCTCTGTGTTTGCCTTCTCTGACTGTAGCAGTGAGTTGCCAGTCTTGGTGAGGGTTGAACGAGTGAATGAATGAATGAGAGTTTATTTACATGATTTCAGTACAATGCATATAATAATAGAGCTTAGGGAAAGTGACATAGCACTTTAACTTCCAACTGCAATACCATCTAAATATATGCAGAAAACATGAGATGGAGTCTGGTATGACGTAGGTTTTAGCAAAACATTTTCTTTATCGTGCCAACATTTCGATCTTTATTGAGATCATCTTCAGGGCTCAAAGTGTTTGTTTTCTAATTGTGCCATTCTTGTGTGTTGTGTTGAGAGTGCCAGACTGGACCAACAAACACTTTGAGCCCTGAAGATGTTCTCAATAAAGATTGAAACGGCACAATAAAGAAAATGTTTTCCTAAAACCTACGTCACACCAGACCGCATCTCACGATCTCTACAAATCATCGACTAACGGTCACTAATCACCACACATATACAGAAAAGTTATTTAGCATACAAGATTTGTATTGTGGAAAAAATATGTGCAAAAAAACCATAAAACAGAAGGATTTAACATAATATACAGTGGATATCATTTACAATGTTGCAATGCAGGTTTTTGTACGTTGTTAACTGATGTCTGCTGTATCCAATACATTGTTAACAACGTACATGTATGGTATATCGGTAGCAATACGAGTGTATGCGTGGCAGAAGGTGGGGGGGATAATAACCCCAACAGAATATATGTATCGAGTGAAACAAAAAATTTTCTTTAATTCACATTCTTTCACTTAGGTAGGGTATATTACAATTTTTAACTTATTTTTTATATTTGTAAAGAATTCAGTGATTTTCTTCTGAGATTTATTTTTACATTCTGTACAAAAGTCCTTCTCGAATGTTGACATGATCGAAAATGCTTCTCTAACAGCCTGAGAGGTCTCGTTTTTATTTTGTTTCACGATGTTTCGAAGTATGAACTCCCTTGGGCTTTTCACTTTTGTTAGGTTGAGTGATGATCTTGTCCCTCCGTTTCCACATCCCAGAAATGGTTGGGCGAGCCGAGTGAAATTCACACGCAAGAGATGAGAACAAGATCGCCAGATTCAAAGCGACAAACAATGCCAAATTTCTCATCGATTGTGAATTGATGAGGCATCTTTCCGCTTCGAGAGACAGACTAACACTAAGTTATCAGTTCAGCACACAATGGATTGGGATGAATAGATTTGTATGTGCATTGTACATAAACTGTACTGATGTGAAGGTGACTAACAGCGATCCAGAGCCGTGCGTTGTATACTGTAACCAATATTCTGGCCCCCCCTGCCTATAAAAATGTATGCTTTAAACAGTGTTAATGTAATTTTTCCTATACCATTTCCCGGTGCCAGAGATTTTATATGCCACTGTATTAATAAATAAATAGGTATCTACATTTAAGTAGGTAAATAATTAAATAAATAAATAGTCATTTTTTTTCTAACTAAACTAGATTAAAGTAAAGGTATTTGATGCTTAATTCACTTGTTTCCATTTGGCTGATGTGGGATAAGCCCCAATGGACCTGCAAATTGGATTTGTGGAATCCCCCATATGCCTAAAAAATTCTTTGACTGCGTTATGTATTTCCTCTTTATCCATTTCGTGTTTGTATTTTCATGCAACTCAGTCAGCCTTAAATTTCTGGCAGAGGGATGGCCAGCTGCAAATTTTTTTTAAAAATTATTTGTATCTTATTAATGTTTATTTGGCTAATGAAATTACATGCTGGACACACGTATAGCAACAGCCTTAACTAAGGTTTTAAATATTAATAATTTATTAAATACCGTTATTCTAGATTCTCTCCTGGGCAAAGGAAAAGTATTTGTATTTCCACTTTGCCCACAAGATTGTTTATGTGTGTGCCAAAATTTAACTTTGAGTCGAGTGCTACACCTAGATAGGTTACCGTCTTTCATCAGTTAACAGACTTTTCCTCAAGTGAAATTTTATGGGAGTGCAAAGGCCTATGTTTGGTGAACAGAATTAGCGTAATATCATCGGCGTATAGTACCAGTTGGCAGCATTTTGGTTTGGAAAGAGCATTTAGAAAAATTCAAAAAAGTGTTGGACCCAGAATTGATCCTTGATAGAAGCCGGCTTTAATAGTGAAATGTGAAGACAGGGACTAACGGAGGGCTACATGAAACAATCTTAATTGTAGATAAGAATGTTCATTCTTGATTATATGCTTTGAAAAATTATATTCAATATTTCTGTAAATAATTCCATCCATGTTTAAGTATAAATGGTGTGTATGTTGTAAACGGTGTTACTGTAATTTTTCCTATACCACTTCCCGGTGCCGGAGATTTTGTATATTTTAACTGGTTGTACATTCTATTGACTATAAATACGGCGTCGAAGGTTTTCTCCATACCAAGGAGGACAAGTCCCCTGTGTTTTTTTAAATTAAAACGTAAAGTGGTCTACAACCCTGGCAAGTTATGATGTCATATGCCTAATTGGGTCACTCCCAACATCTCTGAGCCTAATTTTATCATGTAATATATGTAAATTTCCTAATATGCTATTTTTATTCATTGCATTGTAGTTTATGTCCATTTTTATATTGCAGAATTAAGTGACACACTAAAACATCCATTTTTACATAGATACAAGCTAAGAAATCAAACCATTATATTGTGAGAAGGAATTAAAATAAATAAATAAAAATTCTTGAAGAACAGTTTTTCTACCTTATATTATTCTCTCTACTATGCTTAGTTTCGCTTTAAATGCCACTAATAAATATCTGCGAGTCATAAGATTGATCAGACTATTGGCTGAGCCTATCACAAATTTTCCTAATAGTCACTTTGTTTTTCATTTCCAGCTACATCCAATACTCAAACATTGCGGCCAGGGTCGTGAGGCAAGCATTAAAACCCGAACTTAGGGCCGAAGCCAAGAAAAGGGAGGACAGCCATGTAAGATTCACACCATGGAGAGAAGGAAAGCCAGTCAGTCAGTATCATTTCAAAACAGTATACAAAACAAAGCATTCGGATTTTTTTTTTTTTTAATTAAATAAATTCTTTTTGTAATTTTATTTTCAGCTATACTACTAGAACCATAAAAGTTTGTGGTTTTTCATTTATTATTGTTTTAATGCTGTTAATCAATATTTCTATTTATATAGAAGGATTAAGTGTTTATGTCACAAAATACCAAGAGGATAATGCATCATTTCATAAAGAAAAAGTGTCTTGAACAGTTCACTGTAAATTGGAAATTATATTTTCTTTCTCATGGCTTTAAAACCCTTAATTCGTGCATGGCTTGTATGAATTTTAGCCAAGGCTGTTTCTAAAATTTGCACGCAATTCAATGATGAAACAATAAATGAGCAACAATAAAAAGTGGTTCAAAAATATTAAAAACTACCCCATTAAATACAAAGTATCAACGAGCAGGGTCATTTTGTGATAGGCAATAATACTACCTCCTTGTGTTACTATTACAGGATGCAGTTTTAAAAAAAGTCTTCTTTTTTGCCGTGAAATCAATGAAAGGGAAATGTTTAGGAAAAGCTCGTTACTGTTGGTCAATTTATGAGGATCCCATTTGCTTAGCTTCCACGTCCTCCAAACTATTTTTAGGCAATGCACTCAGTTATTGTTTCATCACAGAATGCAGAGCATATTTTACGAGCTGCTTCGACCGCCCTAGTACCCAGCTCGGGTAATTTATGGATTTTGAAGCCACGAGAAAGAACATATTTTTATAATTTACAGTGAACTATTCAAGATGCTTCTTAATGTGTAGAGATTAGTGGTAATCTTTTACTTTTTTTATTTAATTATGTTAGATTCTAAAAGAGATCGATTACATTGGGCTGTCTGGAAAATAATGCAGGTTTATGGTTATAAAATAAAAACCATTAAATAAATGATTTTAAACATTCTCCTAATGTGATGTGCCACTTCACTGTACCTTCAGAATATAATTTTGAGCCTTTATTATTAATAAATTCCGTAAACGGATTTTCTAACGACTTTTGATCAATAAATTTTTTATGTTGTAAAACGTTATCCACGTGTCTGAAAAAAAGGTAGTCGGTAGACTAGAGGTCTAGAAATCAGGGATGGTGAGGAAGAACTAATAACCAAGATCCAACAGTTTTTGAGTTGTCAGATGTGAGACATGGGGCCGAGCATTGTCGTGTAACAGAATCGGCCTTTTACGATTGACCAAAAATGGTTTTAATTACATCAATTTCTGTAGCATTGCTTCAATTTGAGAACAATACATTTCAGCAGATTGTTTTGCCAGGATTCAAGAAGCTGCAGCCCAAATGAAGCTCACCAAAGAGATCACCTTTTTTTTTGGTTCTTTGGAAAATGTGGTGCTGCTTCTCCTTTGTCGAGCCACTGTCTCTTATTATTGTATAAAATCCACTTTTCCTCACAAATAACAATTCTATCTAGAAAAGGTTTGTTTCTGTTTTGACAAAGAAGTGTTGTGCAAACTTCATAACGATGATTTTTTTGGCGGTCGTTTAATGCATGAGGAACTGAACTTTCGGGCTTTTTCCCTTTCCAATTGCCCTAAGGTGGTCAGCAATGGATGAATTGCTAACAAAGATTCTCTGCAAGTTCTTGAACAGTTTTTCTGATCAAAGTTCGCAGGACATCATCTAAAGAAGAAATCCTTCCACTGTCCTCAAGGCTAAAATCTCCCTCTGGAAATTTTTTAAACTATGAACGGTGCTCTCACTTATACTGACATCACCTCGGACTACATTAATGTTTCTGGCCGTTTAGGTACAGTTCCAACTGAGTTTAAACTCGTAAAACGAAATAACGCAAAAATCATTTGTTGACATCTTAGCTAACTGAATTATTCCCAAGTAATGAAATGCTACTGTGGTAAGAAAAAAAAATGTTTGTAAGAGAGTTTAAAAAGTGTTGGCATTTGTACAAAAGAATAATCCATCAAATGTAAACATTTTATTATATAAGAGGGTAATTAAAAGAAAACATGAAAACCTGTATTATTTTCCACATAACCAAATAGTCCTGTAGAGTTGTGTCTCATTTCTACAAAACAAGCTATAAAATTAATTTTTTAAAAATATGTTTTATAAATATTAATATTTGAAATCATAATTGGGATTATTTTTAAATGGGCTTCTGTTATTTTTAGCTGAAAAATAAGTGCTCTTCTGAAAATCTTGGGCAGTGAGTACAGGTTTTTCGCGTGTGACTGAATGACTTGCAATTTTTCCTCATAATGTTTCTTTTTATTACTAAACAAAGCAAATTGATTAATTTTCTATTTTGGTACTATTTTATCATTAATATAATATGTGTGAACAGAAATAACAAATTGTAACATAGTTTGATTATGATTTTTGTTTTAATCAGCATTTTGTATGGATGTTTATATTCTTATCTTATTAATTCTTTGATTTCTGAACTATTTGTTTTGTTTTTTAGAAACAGACATGGCTAAGAAAGCATCGTCTTAGAAGACTGGTTGAACATCGTTTGTTGGGATCTGTACAGCCCGTTAAAATACACGAAATAGTTGTTTAAATGTAATGTATAAATAATAAATTGTTTCAACTATTTGCTAACTTCCAGTTTTGTCTTGATTGTCCACGATTATCATAATGTCTAAATAAATGGGAAAAACAATAATCACAAGGTAGAATAAATAGAAGTTTTATTTTGAGTTACCACAGTTTTGTTAAATATAAACATACAAAACTATTAAAAATTATAATGATTTTGGAAGACCTTCTTTGTTTAATAAATGAACATTGTGTCCCGTCAGTACTTGAGGCCCTTCACCTATTTTCGTGTGGATTATGTATTTGAGAAGTCCAGATTCATGCGGCCCTGAAGGTACGGCTAAATCCTTAAAAGAAAAAGAAAGTTAAATATAAATTGAAATTTACAAAAGTTCACTTACATTTTGTGCTTTGGGACGTTTTACTTCAAGCCCTCTTATGTAGTCCTTGGCGTTGTCCAATGGCGGAAACGCCTGTTCAATGAGTGAAACGACCTCTCCAACATCCTCTTCTTGTAAAAACAAACAAGCATTTGGGCCAGCATCGAATGTATAAGCAACCTGAAAGTTTCAATTTAAAACTTAAGTTGTAAAACTTATACTATTTACTTGTACCTTGTTGGTCCCTTTTGACTTATTATAACAGTGAACGAATTCAACGATTGCATGAGAGATGTCATTCATGTATACGGCAGGAGGATAAGTATCTAAACACACCGAGTGGAATTGGTTGCTATCCTTCATTGTAAGTTCAGCAAAAGTATTAAAATTCCTGCTTTCTATAGCCTGTAAGGTGATTTTTTAGTTTCTATTTCATTTCCACAATTAAAAAAAAAAAAAACCTTAATAAATAGTTCAGTCCTTTTAGGAACAATATGCTCAACTCTGTGTTTAAGTAGTTCACTTGTCTTAACGCTTTGCTGCATACCACTTGTGCTGCTGACTTTCTTACGATTATCACTGACCTGTGAAACAGTCCATTTATATGAGTTTAACAAATTGACCTGTTTATAACTCACAACTAGAATGAGAACTTTCAGGTTCGGCCAGTGGCTAGCAGGGACGACTTGTGATGCGTGCGAATCCGAACCGTCGTCTTTGTCGCCCTTGTGCCATCTTACAAAACCGCCCAGAACACTCCTGCACGCGCTGCCTGAACCGAGACGGGCGACGCTGCTCAGGTCGCCTTCTACCCCGAATACCTTACCAAGGCAATAAACTAGGCAAATACACCAATTAGAATATTTTATTTATAAAAGTTGTTTGTACAATTACCTAGACATGCATAACCAGCTGCTGATGATGCTAATCCTGCAGCAGTTGGAAAGTTGTTTTCGGAACAAATGTGAACTTTCCAATTAGATTTGCTATCCTTTTCATCGCCTTTTTCACCCAGTGTAGCTCTCCGTTTTACTAAAAGAATCAGTTTTATTTAGTAATTCAAACATGTCACAGGGATCACACTGTTTATCAGGTTTAATACTGATTAATTAAACCAATAATTACAAATTATTTGTATTTTAGTTTACTCCAGTTTTGGAACTATTTAAACAAAGTTTTTCTACTTAAGTAAACAAAAATTTAAGCAGCAAGCTTTATTTTGTGTATTTTTTCTAAACTTTTGTTACAGCCGAGTACATTTATGGTCTTGACTGATTTTCTCTCTCCTTTTTTTTTATCATAGGGATATCGCCCTTTAGCACTTAACTTTTGTCTATTGTAAGCTCTGCCGATGGTTTTTCTAGGTTTTAACTTTTTAATTAAATACAGAATTCTTCTCAAATGCATGGTATTACATCTTTATTACCCAGGCTTTAATTACCTTCCTCATTAGGAAGGAAATTGCAAGGCTATTGGTGCTTTAGGAGTCTTAGAGGAGGTTCAGGATGTTGTAATAGGGGTCCAGTGTTTTAAGATACGATTCTTTATAGCTAGAATGGTAGTAGTGATGAGGATTTTTTTAGTAGAGAACAGTTGTACATTTGAGGACTGGTGATACAACAGAGGCTGAAGGTAATTCGCATGGAGTTTGATGGTCCATTTCTTAAACTCTTCTCTCTGTTACGAGAGATGTTCCTGGAGGTTTCTTAAGGCCGGTGGGTCTGAGTTCAGCGAGAGCTGTGTCATGATAGGAATGTCTGCAGTATACTGAAAATAGAAAAGAACTATGTATGCTGCCTGGTGGAACGCCTGCTTTGACATTGTAAGCATGGAAGTAGTTCAATTCCTACTTGATAGACTATCAGGCAAATTTTAAGATGAGGTAATAAATGACTGTAAGAATTCCATCGAGTTTCCAGAGCAAGTCCAGGTGCGATACTCAATGGAAAGCTTGGCTCACATCTATAAGGCGCTGAAGCAGCAATCCTTCCGGTAGGTTGAGATGACCCTTTGCCATTGGAGCTTTCAAGGATGGGGTTATAGGTGTTTCAGGACTTTATTAATCGTGCCAAGTAATGTTATTGTTTATGTTGCACCCTTGAGATGTTTATTTGATGTGCACAAGTATAAGTAGCTAGTAGTTAAGTAGGACAAATCAAGCATCCTTTCTCAATATGCTGAACATATACAGCACTCTTGATATTTGCGTTATTTTAATTATGCAATTTTACTAAGGAATACATTTAAATTAACAAATGTCACAGACTAGGGCTCACAATTTTTCTTTGAATTACTCTTATACAAAATTCCAACTAAAAAGCTAATATGGTGAACATAAGTATGAGACACTCAAGTAACACATACATTGCATTCTCTTTTAAAGTAATTCATTAAATTGTTAATAAAAACTTCAGTGTCTTATTTAAGATAACATTCATAATGAAGAATGAATATTCAGACAGAAAGGGGAACTTACTTTCATTGATACACGTCAAAAGTCTTTGATTGCTAAACGATTCCTCCCTGAAAAAATAAATTAAAACTTTTTAATAAAAAAAAAATTCACACAATCACAACTGTAACACTAATGCCAGTGCTGAATTCAGAGTACATATGCCATGAGAAACCAGCCACTGCTGGGTGGGTTCTCAGGATGGGAATGAGTGGAGAGGACTTGAGCCGTAGGGTTAGGATAGATCAAGAGGTTGGTGTGAAACTTTTGGAATTGGGAGCAGGTCAGTTCATTGGCAAAAGGAATGTTCAGGTCATTATGGATGGTGAGGTTAGTGGCTTTGGCAATTTGTCTGTTGACTTTTGATTGGAAGGATTGGTTGCATCGAATATTGGATGGCTGGGCAGAACCCCACAGTTTTTCTCTGTATGTCCAAAGTGGTCGCTGTAAAGTCATGTATAAGGTTAGTTTAGTTTTGATGGCCATCTAATTTTGGTCCTAGAAGTCTTCATAGTTGTCCAAGTCATGTTGTCTCAAGTCTTGTGTGGGGATTCCATGTCAGTCTGCTCTCTAAGTACAGAGTTGATTGGAAGTCAGTACTCTGTTGTTGATGTACAATGCAGGACAAAACTGTTTATCCAATGTGAATATACACGTTTTTCTTCTTTCAGCCTTGTCCTCCATTCTTTGCAACAATCTTTGATAAGCTCAAGGTGTTCTTGGATGTTGGAGGTGGCTTGGATAGAATTCAAGGTAGAGGACAAAACTGCGATATCATAGCTTTTAAATGTAAATCGATATGCTTACTTTCCGTTCAACCAGATCCGGTCTTTGGTAAAGTCAGGGCTTGCCATGATTGTCGTTTTGGCATGCATCTAAAATAGACAAAGTTTTAAAATACTGCCGGGGGGTTACTAAAGTTTTAAAGAACTTTTTTACCTGGTCCGTCGATAAAGTGGCACTAATGGAATCATTGAGTGGCAAAATAAGATGTTCATCTCGTTTTCCCCCTGGAAAAAAAAAAATGGTTTATATTATTTTGTTTATTAATAATGTTATACAATGCAACAAGAAATGCTAACATCAGCAAGACAAATATAGAGACGTTTGTTTAGTGACACGTTGGAAGCAATTCAAATATTTGCCATGCTAGCAGTTTTGGTTCGAATCTCAGCATAGCTTTTTGAAATTCTAGTTGAGATTAGTTTAGAAAAAGGTATGTCAAAAGGTTCTGACACTCAACGTAGCTGGATGCTAGCCCTCCTGTTGGACAGGTACATTTTGAGAGTCTGTCCAAACCACCAGAGAACAAAATGATCGGAAAAGACCAAACAACAAATAATTACTTAAGATTAATAACTGTCAATATAGAAATGTATATATTACTTTTTAAAATATATATGGTTGTGACATATCTCTATAAGGCTTGTTGGATGATGAACCTGGAGTTTGGTCGTTTCTGATCATCTCAGTTTGCCTATCTTCGCTGGTTGGCCTGTCAGTTCAGTGTATCTTACTCACCTCTCATGAAAGCCATGTCAAAATGCTTCGAACAGGCCATCCCAGCGAGAAAAAACAAAGATGGTTGATAAGGATTCAAGGTTCATCACCATGCACACTATGGGAAGGACTTGTAGTTTGGTCGTTCCTTACCATTCTGGTCGTGGACGAGTCGTTAAGCTGCCCTAATTGTATTTGCCACGCTAGCAGCTCTGGGTTTGAATTTTAGCATAGCTTTTGACAAAACTAAGTTGAGATTCGTTTAGAAAAATGTATGTCTTTACATAGAACCTCTTTAGGTTCTGACATTTGTGACACAAAACGTAGCTGGACGTCAGCCCTCCTGTTTGGCAGGCACATTTTGCGAATCTGTCAGTAGGTATCAAAATGATCTTAAACAATCAGACTTAAATTCAATAATATGTCAATATTTGATTTCACGTTATTTGAGATTCTTAGACATTAAAATTCAATAATATGTCAATAGATTATTTTATTTTTTAACTATAGAGAAAGGTTGTGAGATATCTCCATGAGTTGTGGAGGGTGATGAACTTGCAGTATGGTCGTTTACATCATGGTCTGCCTAATAGTGGTGTTCAAGTGGTTAGGTCATCCTGATTTGCCATGCTAGCGGTTCTAGGTTCGAACCTTAACCATGCTTCTGTTATCCGCGCTTTCACTCATCTGTCGTTGCCCCCTAATGAGTAGAGAAAAGATTAGACATGGTAAAGCACAGAATAATAATTGAGTGTAATTGAATTCTTATTGAGGGGGGAACTTGCAATTTATGTACATAAGTTCATACATAACATTGACAACAGGCATACACAATAGAGAAAGTAGTGGTGTGCAGATAGAAGAGAATGCTTCAAAGCTTAAAATTCGAGGCTTTTCCTATTATCCAAGGTTCTCTTTATCTGCAGTGATACTTAGTATGCATCCCCCACTCTGTCTAAAAAGTTGTGAGATATCTTCATGAGGACTGTACGGTGATGAACCTCTAGTTTGGTCGTTTCCAATCATAGTGGTCTATCCCTGCTGTTTCGGTCTCCCACATTTTTGAAAAGAAAATCATTGAAAAAATTATTAAAAATGTCACTGCTGACAAAATACCAGGGAGATCAGGTTGAATAGAAATGTTCAAAATGCAATACAATCGTTACTGAGACATAAAGTAGATGATGGCAGATGGTCAGTGAGTCGGTGTAATGACCAGAGCTGATCGGTTCAAGAAAAAATTAGCACAACTATGTTCTTTATATATTTTGTGTCATAATGGAATGTAAATTTATATAAAGATTTTTTTTAAATAGAGGTGAGAATGTGGTATCTAGACTCACAGTATTTGAGTGTTGCTATGTTAACAGGTGCTATGCAGGTGACGGTGGTCATCTTAACGTTCCAGTACTAGTACTCATAGGAAAATGCTCGGGTATGTGAAACGCTAGCTTTCTCCCCTGGAATCCAGGTGAAAATGCCTAAAGAAAATAAAAATACACCGGCCGATTGGGTCGAAGATAGACTTGACCCCGTTCATCTCATTATATTATGAAAGGCCAGAGATAGAATAGAGAACGGTTCGAGGTTTAAATTATACGGAGAGGACTTTTTCCAAGGTAAAAAATACAAAAAATTGTAAATGAATTACAGGCGATGATTCCGGTTTACTTTCTGGTGGTATCTACAATCAACATTGCCTTATCAGTTTGATGATGTGGTTCAATTGTCAAAAGAGTAAGGAATTTTATTTTTTTAAACCTTTTAACGCCCGATTCAAGGAAAATTAAACTGTCCATTTTTTAAAGAAAATCTCTTCCTTTTTAGAATTTTTTTTACAAATATATTCCACTGCTCTTTTCCTGTAAACAGGAAGGTTCGCCCAGGCCCGATCTTCAGGTTTCAACTTTCAAGCGCCAAATACCAGAAAGGCTGAAAGGAAGTGCTTCATTTTTTATTTTATTTTTCCTGCTGTTGGTTTTTTTTTGGACTTGATGTAGAAAATCAGGTCGAGAATGGAGTTCGACAACATCTGCACCGTTGTCCAGGGCCTGTTCAAAAGTCTGGAAACAAAGTTGAATAAGAAATTGGCCGAGATCGACCCCTCTCTAGGTGAGAGTTCACGATTATATTTAAAAGTTGAAAGTCATTTAAAAATCACGGTCAAATTAAAAAAAAATTCTTTTTATATTACTCTTGTGTCTTCTTTTTTTCCGCCTGAATTTCGATTGACCAGCTGAAACAAGTAAACACGTGTGCTGCCTATGCCCAACGCGCAGGTTGTTTCATATATCTTTATTTTCTTTGTGTCATTTTCCCTATTTTTCACTAAACGTTTCAAGTATTCAAAATGAAACAACCTCGAAAAGACACCGGAGAATATGTTTAACTATATAAGAGGAAAAAGAAATTTCTTTAAAGAAAGAAAACATAACAAAATGTTTGTCATCTTATTTTTTTGTACCGGTAGTTTGTACCTATTCTCCATTGTTTTTATTAATAAAGACAAGCAACCACTAAGGGTCATAATCTGCCTTGAATAAAAGTATCCTTAGGGTATGGTAATGAGGATACTAGGAAGCGGGGTTCGTGCTCCCCAGGCACTCCATCCTTCTGATTTATTGTACCTTCCTAGTTCCCTAGCTCAGTGCAATAGACTCAATCCTTGGAAGTATCAGATCATTGACTCACTGCTACAATTTCATTCCCTAGATTTTTTCTGAATGTCCATTGAGCTGTTGCTTCGCATTCGAAGATGATATGAGTGGCTCTTTCCTCCTCATTGCATAATCTGCATTTGGGATCATCGTGTAGATGTTTTCTCACATGTCAGTGACCAGTTAGTAGTCCTATCACTCCCCTCTTCAATTGCAGCAGTGAATTTGCCAGTCTTGGTGTTTTTACTGTGTCTAGTGCCGCTGGGTTTATCCATTTCTCGGAGGATTTATATTTGTTTTTGTTGTCCCAAGTGTAGGTTCAGAGCTTATGTTACGCATCTTGCAGACCTCTGGCCAGTGTGTCTGCTTTTTCATCAAGATCTTTTTAGGGTGGTGATGAACAGAAACCAGGGCTTCATCAGGAATTCCACCTCACTATTTTTTAAATTTTTTTTTAAAACAATGGAAACGTTAAATTAAACAAAATACCACAGTGACAATCCTTAGGGTATACCAACCCTGCACTTTCCGGCCTCCATGTACAACCACACCTGGCTTGACGTCCACAGCTCCACTCCCATTCATGCGTCTTCAAAATTTTAGACAGCAAACTAGCCATTCTCAAGAAATTGAAATGATTTTCTACTCTGTGTATCATCTGACAAAATCCGCCCCAAACTACTTGAAACAGCACATGCGCTCCTTTCCCGCTCAAATCGAGTACATACAGAAAGAATACGTTTGACGGTTAGCGGTTCCTGACAACCTTGGCAGATCGGTGGAGGTTCGCCATGAGAAAACTGTGCAAGTGTGCAACTATCTATTCTGAGGCAAACTGGGACCATTTCTTATAAGAGGTTTGAGACCATTGTTTTACATCTTCCTCAATTTCTCTCAGCTTGTTAAGTCATTTCATGCCACTCGTTAAGTCACTTTTCCCAAATTGTTCTCTTGATGTGAGTGAGAAAATCTACCCCAGGGACTCAAATTAACCAAATCCCTTCTGTGGCTGCCTCTTCAGCAAGAACGTTGCCACGAATGCCACAATGACCTTGTATCAACATGAATAGGACTGTGAAATTTCTCGACCGAAATTCCCTCAGGGCTAGGAGTAGGATTAATAGGATTAAGGGAGAATTGATTCTATATAGCCAACAAGCCAGAGAATCTGTGTACCAGTCTTTATGTGACAAGGAATACAATATTCATACTTTTATTGAGAACAACAAGCTCAGCGGTGAAGTTAATATTTATGCAGGAAGTGCTCTTCCTTATAACTTCTGGAGTTGCTTACAAAGGCAGCTCCCACACTGAATGAATTCTTGGAGCTGTCAGTATAAATTGCTTTTGTGATCGAGGTACACAGTTTAAGAAATTCCTGTTTATACGGCTCAGGTGGGGTACTTTCTTTTAGAAACTTAGTCAAGTTCCGAGAGATTCTAAGTTCATCTAGTTGTCAGGCTGGAACAGGGGAGACATTTATCTTTTGAAAAGGAGGTACCGAGATGTTATGATATTAAAGCAAGGAGGATGCACAAATAACCAAGTGCTTTCTGAGGTTCTATTCTCTCTTATTCCACATCTGAAGATAAGTGGAGGTTGATACACGAGGAATTCCAGAGTAGCAGGGAGGATCAATCTCTTTAGCCCAGAAATGCTAGTTTCTGAGCAGTACTGTATATCTGATTACCGTTAGCTAAAGCACACTGGTTTGGTTTTGATAGACATCCAGGCATTTGACACGGTTTGGCATGCTGGAGTGATAAGCAGACTGATAGACTACAGCTGTCCCTATGCCTCATTAAAAACATTTGCTTGTATTTACATAATAGGAAATCGAATTTATCTCAAATCAATCCTGTCTCAAAGTTGTGACGCACCCACTGGTGTTCCACAGGGATCCATAATAGGACCTGTACTTTTTCTTATATTTTTCAATAAAATGCCAAGACCTAAACATTGCAGATTGGCACTCCTATGTAAACATGTGAAAGTTATTGTAAATATTTTTGAATAAAGATTCTATTCTATTACCCTTAGCTGCAATGTCTTTGTCCACAAAATCATTGATATATAAACTATCATAGTCTAACAACTGATCTGTCTAATCGTAGGGACATCTTTGGACTTTGTTCTGGTGTTTTCATATTCCAATGGCAATTTTCATTCAAGACCTTTCAAAAAAGACTTTCTTGAAAGAAAATTTCCAATTAAAAAGCCCTGTGGTTATACATGTTATTAGACCTATGATAGCTTATGGATCATGGTTTGGTGGACAAAGACATTACATCTAAGGGTGGTCAGATCCTCCTTATTGCTGAAACTAGCATGCCTGGGAATTTCTAGGCTGATGAGAACTATCCCTCCTGCTGCCCTGGAATTCCTTCTGAATCTACTATGTATCGAGGGAGAGGCCAGAGGCTAATGGCTACAATTCATGGGCAGGGGTAGGTTCCAATAGTTTACTTGCTTATCAAGGAGAGACAGGCCTGATTCTGGGGAAACCTGTTGATGCTGTGTCTCCTACATTCATCCAAAATTCAGAATTGATAAAAAAGTTCAAATTCAAATACCTGGTAGAGCAGACTGAGAGAAAAGGATCCCAGTTAATGCCGACTATATATGGTTTATAGATAGCTACAAAACAAGCCATCTTATTGCATAGAGTCAATTTTTTCAGGAGCTAGTATTTATGGAAATAAACTGAGGACTATAATTCATATAAGCTTTGGGAAATATGCCACTGTATTTCAAGTGGAGATTGTGTTTAAGGAACACTGTGCTTAGGAGATTAAAAAGCTTGGTATTGTTAACAGAAAAATAGATATTATTTGGACTGAGGGCAATTACCGCATGAGTGGTAAAGCTCAGAGATGTTTGGGATTGTATCAAGGTCCTGTCAAAATTACCCTCATTTGGATACCATGGTTTGTAGGGTTGAGGGGCAAAAAATGCTGACAAATTGGCCAAGGAACGATGAGGACACCTATTGGCCCTGAACCCTTTTGTGACGTACCAGTCTGCTAAAAACATGGTTCAGATGGGATTAAAAATAAGTACTCTGTTCAATGGGAATGAAGCCCAAGATAGAGGCAGGAGAAAAAGTTCATCACAGGACTACCATTGAAACGAATGGTTGAACTACTAAATCTAGGCATGTTAGGACTAGGATAATAGTTAGCTAACTGGACATTGCAGATTCCAGAGACTGTATAGACTCAGAGCAGCAGAAATTGCCAGCAAAAAGGGACAGCAGAACATGACGTTATGTAGGCTAAGATTCGTCCTGGGAGATGAAAACCCGGGCCTGAAGGATACACATGGGAGTCTTTGAAAAAGCAGTAATTATTAAATTCAGATTTGATAAAAAATTTCAAATTGAAATACCAAATAAAGCAGAGAGGGAGAAAGATACTCCGGTCAATATTGACTATTGGTAAATATATGGCTGTAATACCAGGTATGGTTCAGGAGCTGGTATTTGGAAATAAACCAAGGGCTAGAATTTGTATTAACTTTGGTGGAAGTTAACACAAAGTTAACACGGAAGAACAACAGTTTTTGGTGGAGACAGTATAAATAATATAGAAGACAATAATATATAAGAATAGCCATTTACTTGGACAGTCAGATAGCAATAAAAACAACTACTTTGTTACTAAGACCAGAACTGTTTGACATTGGGGAAAACAACAAAATTACACTTGTTTGGATACCACGGCGTATGGGAGAGAGTGGCAACAGGCCAATTGGCTAAGGAAAGTTCAATTGGGACACCTTTCGGCCCTAAATCCTTTTGCGGTATACCAATTTGCCCAAACGTAAATCCATCAGATAAATACAAAAAGTCCTTGACAAAAAGCTTTAGGATCTGATAAAAAGTTGTCAAACAACATTTGCATTTTGGGGCAGAAATGCCTACACAAAACAATATTATCCTGTTGATTTGAGTATTTACCAGAAAGAAATCATGGGTAGTTTTTGAAAACTGCAACTCTTGAGTTGTCTACCAAGGTTTAATAAATATAATTTAAAGTCAGTTTGAAGGTTAGATTCTAAATTTAGAGGAAATAAACCTTTTATATTTTGGGCATCGGGGGCCGCAACAGTTTAGGCACTGACACGGCACTCATCACTGTAAGGAAAAGGTCCCGCGTTCGAATCCAGCGGCCCTGCATTGGTACCCGACATCCTTACAAAATGGGCTTTTTTTAAAAAACACCGGCACCCCAAGGGTTCATATAACCTCGTAGTTGAAATACTCTCGTTAAAAAATTTATAATCAATTAATAAAACATCAAATAAATAAAAAGTGTATCCCTTAAAAAACTAGTGTTCTAAATATAGGATATTCAGTTTTATTTTCTTAAATGATAAGTTTCAATATTTGAAAGTTTTCATTGTACTTCACTTTTGTTTCTAATTATAATTTCTCTTTGTTGTGTTTTTTACTTTCAGACCATGAAGATTACATATTTGAGATCATCGAAGGACTGACTGAAACGATAAAAGAGCATGAATTAGACGGTTTGCAGCTGAAAAAAGTCCACATGCTGCTGCTTTTAAATTCGGACTTTTCTAATATTAATTTGCTGGACGAGGACAAGAACTTTTGCCATGTTCTCAATGTGTTGCCTAAAATTAGCAAGTACCTCTATTTCCAATTGGTCACCCAGATGAAATGGCACAATTACTTACGAGAAGTCGTACTGCATTTCCCGGAAGTGATTGTGTACGAGATAGTTCATTCGATTAATGACTATATGAACTACATCAGTTTAGATTGCGCGCTCGCATTTTTTTATTCTTTGATCGACGGTATGTTGAACAAAATTTTACACATACAAAACACGTGTAAATACAGGACTCAAAAGTTTGTCAAATTGTTTGTTCCACTTGTTCAATACAACTTCAATGAATTGATCGATGGAGCGAACTGGGATAGGGACAAGAAATATCAGTATTTGGGTTATACGGTTAGAATGTACCTTGACCTCGTCGAATCCTGTGTTAAAAAACTCCAAAACCCAGAATTCTCGCCTGATCCTTTTTACGAGGCTAATGTAAATTACACGTACTCTAAGTGGGGTATGACGAGCAGCACGACAAACTGGGGTTATTATTGTTTAAGATTTGTTGCCACTAAAGCTGATGAATTTGTCAAATTGGTAAGTGTTGATATATACATCTCTTGGACTGAAGTCGAAGTTAAAGACGCAGTAGGTAAGACGCTTCAAATGTCTATAAGAGAGACGGCTTACACTTGCCAAGAAGCTATCAGGACGATCCAACATTTGTACGATGTTATTCCAGGCCTTAGTTCTTTGGATTCTTGTTTAGCAACGATAGCAGTCCGACCGGTTACGGAGGACGAAGAAATCAAAGAAGCTGATGCCAACACTATAGTTATAAATCTTCTCAACCCAAAGAGAACACAGATCAAATGGCTGCGAGGTCTCATCGAAAAAGGCATATTCGAAAGCGCTACGTATATGAAAGTTATAGCAGACAATTCCTCACTTATAGATTACGATACTAGTCTGTTATTAATCAATAAAGCTTTTGAATACTTAGAAACAAACTCAGTTGATCCAAACGATTTAGCAACCATCCGCCAGACCATATTCATATCAGTCAAATCCCTCAAAAGAAGCGACCAGACTCTACTACTGGCACGGTTTTGTGAACTATATGGAAACAAATCTCCATTGATCGGGCCGGATTTTCACAACCGTGCGACTCAGTTTTTCAACCGTTTGGTAAACGACGACAGCAAGAAACAGGAGGTGAGGCATTACTCTTTGCAAGTTTCGATGTTTATAATGACGATATTTATTATAGTTTTATAACGAAGTAATCTGCCTTGCGATCGAGTCCAGGGAGATGTTCATTCGCCGAGCACTCGATGAATGCTGGTCTAGTAAGGCAAAGACCACACTCATTATGGAATATATCGAGTTCGTCTCGCCAATCTGTCTCATCATATCTGAAGAAACTGGTTTGCCTCTTATTTTAACAAAAGTCATATCTCTGCTTGATGAAATGAAAAATAGCCCTGAAGCTATCCATGATAATTTCGTACATCTGGTAAATATTTTTTCTGTTTTTGTAAAACTATACTTTTTGAGTTTATACATATTTTTTTGTTTTTCAGGTGAAAAAATTGTCCGAAGTTAAACTTATAAATCCTTCTTTATTTTTATATAATCATATATTACCGTTGATTGAAAAATGTCATCTTGAAAAAGACTGGAATTACTTAAACTATTATTTAGACTTAATAGAGGTAATTTTTAAAGTTTTTTAACATTTTGAATTGTTTTTATTATATTAAGGAATCTATTATAATTAAAATTATTATGTATATTTACTTTTTATAATCTTATTATTTTATTCCATAGATTGGACTCACTCCAAAACTCTGTTTCTCCGACAGCCTGGCAAAAAGCTCTTGTCCACCCTGTCAATAAAACCCCCAACCCATCCTCCTCTACAGACTACTGTCCCATTTCCATCCTCTCAAACCTGTCCAAGCCCCTAGAAAGATTAGTCCAAGTACAAGTCTCCAGGCACCTTGAACAGTCCCATCTTCTCAACCCCCTTCAATCTGGCTTCCGCGAAGGTTATTCCTCTCAACCAGCACTAATAAAAATTACCAGTGACCTCCACTTAGCAATGGACCAACAGAAAGTTACGATACTTGTCCTTCTTAATTTTTCTAAAGCCTTCGATTCTGTCCCTCACTCTTCTCTCCTCTCTAAACTCGATCTTTTTCCTTCTCCGCCAGCACCATCCGTTGGTTCCACTCCTACCTTAACAATCGCCACCAAGCTGTCTCCCTTCCCAATGGCCTTACCCCCTCCTTCCTCCCTCTAAAATCTGAGGTTCCCCAAGGCTCTAGCATCTCTCCTATCCTTTTTTCCATTTATATCAATGATCTGCCCACTCCATCCATTCCTGTAACTATCACCTATATGCCGATGACTCCCAAATATACATATCCTTCCACCCTTCCGATCTTGACTCGGCCATTCTCAAGATCCAAAAAGACCTAAACTCCATCAACGAATGGGCCCATAAAAATTCCCTAGTCCCCAATCCGTCCAAATCCACCGCCATAATTATCGGGTCCAGGCAACTCCTCAATTCCCTCCCCAGCATCCCACCTCTCATGCTAAATAACCATCCCATCCCCTTCTGCTCTTCGGTTAAAAACCTAGGAGTAGTCTTTGACCAAAACCTTTCCTGGCATTCTCACATTTCCCAAATTTCCCGCCATTCCATTGCCTCCCTCAGCCTGTTTCGTCGGTCCTGGCTTCTCTTACCTTTCTCCACCCGCAAACTCCTTGTATCTTCCCTTATACTTCCCTTCTTCGATTATAGCTGTTTGGCATACGGTGGTCTCTCGGAGGGGGAGAACGCGCGATTGAAGCGTATTATGAATTGTTGCGTAAGATTTGTGTACGGCACCCCACGGGGATCCCGGGTGTCGGGGTTGTATTCCCAACTTTCCTGGCTATTCCCCTCCTTCCGTGCACAGTATTTCCTAGGTTGCTTTCTTTTCCAGTCCATCCACACTCGTCGTCCTCCTTACATCATCCAATCCCTCCAATTCAACTCCTCACATCTCACTCGAAAGACCCACTCATCCCCAATCGACCTTATCCTTCCACAACATACAACCCATACCTTCGAAAGATCCTTTCTGATCCGAGCCCCTAAACTCTGGAACTCCCTTCCCCTTTCTATTCGTCACGCTGCCTCCTTTTCCTCCTTTAAATCCCACCTGTATAATCACCTCCTCTCCTTCCAAGCAGAGACCTCACGTTAACATTTGTTATTTTTGTTTAATATTCTCATAATTTTTTCTTCTGTCCTGCCTTATTGGTATACATTGTGCCAAGATTTTTATCTTTTTTATTTTATTTTTAACTTCATAGAAGGAACTTCTTTTATTTATTTCATGTAAATTATTCTTAGGGGACACCAGTCCCAGAATAAAGTTATTTTTCTTCTTCTTCTTCTTAGATTGAGACAACCAAAATTTTCGCTCTGACAGTAGCACTTGACCTCTTATTAATATTTAATAATAAAATGTTGAATTGAGGCTGTGACTATATGGTTGGTGGGAGGGGGGGGGGAGATTTTGGTTGTCTCTGTCTATGGAATAAAATAAATAATAAAAATAACCATTTTATATTACAGTTTTTTTGGGTGAGTTTTCGACCAAAGAAACTTGAAAAACAAAGGGAACGTTTTATATATTTACTTTATAATAAAATCTAATATTCTATATATTATTACTTTTAAATCTTTTATCTGTAGTAGCTTTCAAATACTGTAAAATAGGCACATTCCTATAAATTTTACAATAATAGATTTTCATTTTTAGATGATTCTTCCAATAGTCAGACCAAGCATGGTCAAGTTTATAAGCATCATCGCCAAAACTCTGAACAAGCTGAGGCCGAAGGTTCCAAACTTTAAGACTGAAAATGTAGAAATAACGGAAAAATGCATCAACATTTTGACCAGTTCGGTTCAAAACGTATTAAGAGCCAAGACATCAGAAGGTATAAATGCACCAGAGCGAATCTCAAATTGCGATTAATTAAAATAATATCTGTCCCGAAAAGATGAAGAGATAGTACAGTTGAGGGCCCTAGGAGAAAGTCTGAGCGCACTGACATGGCAGTATATGATCCCGATTTGGAAAAATTGGGGAAAAGATTTACCCATCGATACACACGGTCTGCTCATTTGGACTAAACCGGGTTTTGGCCATGGAGAGGCGTTGAATGATCTAAACAATGAAGTTCGACTTCATCTCGTAATGTCAATGGTGAAGGTAGGCAAAATTGTAACTTTATTAAGCAATAGGAAAATACAACACATCTACCCTACTTTTTTAATAACAGGAATGATTCATTTTGTCTTTTGCTTATTGTATTTAACTAAAACTTTAATTATGTAATTTGTTTTGGCATATGACACATTGAGCCCTTTAATATGTTGTCTTTGGGTTCAACTATGTGTATACATCCCCACCTTGTTTACTGGTGTGACCATCGACGCTGAGTTGACATGATAGTTTATTTTAAACAACCTCTACTCTTCTATATTAACACATTCAGTATGGAGAACGCTCGGGTGCGTCCTATGTTAACATCCAATGGGCCGGTGGGACGCTCGAGTGCATCCTAGTCCGTTTTATTTTTTGACGATTGGTAAGGGTCAGTTTTGTGAGTAAATGTACCTGTTCTCTCTCCAGTCTCAATTTGACTCCAGGCGATCCTATAATGCATTTCATCCAGAATACCGGATTTTTTTACTTATAGTGATTATTATAGAGAATATTATTTATTAATATTTTGATGTTAGATATATATGCTCTCTAATCTATATGTTATTATTTTTATTCTTATTCTTATTATAGAGAAGGAAAAGAGGTAAAAAGTATAACCAGGATTGGGTTCGCGAATAATGAAATATTGCTAACTGGCCAGGGGACGCTGCTGAGCGTCCTGATTTTTAGGTTCCAGCCTTGGCTGTCTTTCATGTACTGAATGTGTTTACTGAAACATTTAGTTCCTTCTTCATCACATGGAAGAAAAGTTTATAAGGTAGCTAGCGTTGCCTTAGGATTCCAGTTTTTTTTCCGTACAGTTGCATCTGTTCCGTTTTGTTCCCTTGCACTCTCTTGCTGCATCGATGCCATTTTACTCCCTTGTGCTGGATCTGTATCATTTTGTGCTCTTGTACTCTCCTGATGCATCCGTACCTTTCACATCCCTTCTGTCTGGGAAAAATTTTACTTCACTTGACAACTGCAGAAAACCCGCTGATGTGTTTATCAACCTGAGAAGTGTTGGGAGGTAGGAATTACAAAATAACATGGACAATTACAACAGGTTATGGATCAAATGGTACAATTAAAAAACCCATTTATTTTTGTAAAAAAAAAAACAAAAAAAACAGTTGAATGTTTTACGACCCAATTACATGCACCACTGTGCTCCCTTATTTAGTACCTTTTGATATTGAGATTTTCTTCAACCCAGAGCTCATCATCGCAGCTCCTCTCATATTATGTTCCAATTAATTTTAGAAGACATTGTGAGAAGACGTCATCTCAGGGCTCTCCAAACTTTAGCAAACCCTTCCACAGAATAAAATCCAGGGTGGACCCCGTAGCCCTTGGACCACAATTTGGGGAGCCCTGCATCACCTTATCATTTCAGGTCAGTGATGATGCCTTTAGTAGTGAGAGCGTTGACACAGCAGCTGTTTGAAATTTCAGTGGCCCTGAATCTGAACCCAATTTTTTCCCTAAAAATACTCAAACGCCACTGCCGGTAATATGATTTCTGCTGGTGCCAATCTTCATATATATATATATGCAGGGTGGGCGACCAAGACCCGAGGGGGGGTTAAATGCCTGGGTAGACTCATACCCCATCCCTAAAAGGTCCGGGACTTGGTCGGCTCACGTGTCCTGCATAAAGCTCTTGGACTTGTTCACAAACCCCAAGATTTTGGACCATTTTATCTCGGGGAGTGATTTGGTGATGTTCTCTCCTTCAAAGATTTTGAATCTAGACCTAGCATACCTTGCTGTTTCTTCTTTTATTTCGCAGAAGCGGCAAAAGGGATCTGGTAGGATACCATTACGAAGAGGTGTCTTCTCAGTGGGCAGTGCCCCATCAGAATACCTACCAGCCTCCTAATTCCCTTCCTTGAGATAGAGAATAGCCATTTCGATTCTGCTGGTTTGATCGCCTTAACAAACTCTTTCGATTGCCTGTGTCCGGAGGATAAATTACATTCCTTAAGGAATTGTTTCATGCCCCAGCTATTGATACTCTCCTTCGCTGTGCTCATAGTTGTGGCCCGACAAATGTAGTATTAGAACCTTCTTTGGCTAGGCCATCCGCCTTTTCATTGCCATCCTTTATGTGCTGGTATCCAAATAAGGGTCTCCTTATTATCAAACCTGAAAGAGAGATCCTATTGATAAGATCTATAGTTTCCTCCACCAGTCGTGAGGTTGACAAACCTTTTTGTAATGCCTAAGACTAGCCTGACTGTCAGAAAAGATTTTAATATCTTTTCCTTAATTTTATTTTCCATAAGTGTTCTACAACACACATTGATGGCACAGATTTCCGCCTGAAAAACGGACATGATATTGCCAAGAGGGGAGGAGATGCTGATTCCTAATTTTGGTATGTAGATTCCTGCACCACTCCCTCTTCCTTTGATAAGTGATCCATCTGTGTAGCAGTCTATGGCCAATCTTCATAACAAATGATCTTTTAGTTTTTTAAATTATTAATTTAATTAGTGTAGTATTCTATTCCAACTAAAAGTGATCATCGTGATACATTCATTCGCGTTTCCAGATAGGTTGTTAACTGGTTTTCTTCTTACTTAAAGAGTATTCAGCGTATTTGGGTGATTTAAAAAATGTCTTCTTTTTTTATACTAATTATGTTTTGAAGGTCCTACTTTCTACAACCTCAATTTCTGATAGCCTAGCAACATACTTTATAAAAAGATAGTTCCTTCATAGTTATTAACACTAACTGTGAGTAGTGACTATGTTTTTATAAATTTAAAAATGGCAAAAAGGAGGGAAAATTTAAAAGGTGCGGTTGAGATGGGAAGTTGGTGTCCGAGTGGATCGAGGTCATGATAGCTCAAGTGGTAGAGCAGCGGCGTATCGAGCCGAAGATCGTGGGTTCGAATCCCGCTCGTGCCATTGACTTTTTTATCTCAACTAAAAACCTTAATTAATTGTAATATATTAATCGATCAAGCGGACCATGAAATTAATGAATTCTTTTTATAAAGGTTAAACAACATACTCCGCCATTTATCATTTCTAGCAACAATACTTTGTTATTTTTTCATGTATCGGTCTTTGGTTTCTTCCCCTTCTTCTTCCACTTCCTCAGTAGTAATTTTTATTATAAAAATCGTAACTCAGTGAGGACCTGTAGTTTGGTCACTTCTGATCCTTGTTTTCTCACCATTTTCAGGGCTGACGATAGACCTTAGAAGATAAGGCAATAAAATTGTAATTTTGAAACTTATTTGTTCATATCGCTTTTTTTGACAACTTTTTTCCAACAACTTCAGCATTTCTATACTGAATTCTTCAATGTACCTGATTGTTTTAGATATTGCCGCAGTTGACTACAAGGGAGTGGGAGAGAATCGGGAGCGGCACTAAAAGCCTGAGCGTTATAATCCCCACTTTCAAAGTTCTCGCCGACTGTGCATTGGTCTGGTTCCAAGTCCCGTTCATGCTTCAAAACGTATTACTTCTCAGCCACAACATAACCAACTTCCTCAATTTCACTCAGGTAAAACAGCCATGGAAGAAATTAACTGCGTAGATCTTATTGTCGTTTATTTTTAGAAAATAGTCATACCCAGATTGAACGTTGCAAACGAGAAAGACACTGCCGAAGTCGTAGACAAAATGAGCCAGATTATGGAACAACTTCCTGAAGAACTTTCAAAGACGAAAATGCCCGATTTACAACGCTTGAAAATGGAAGCACTGGGAGAAAATAAACACCCAGTTCATGCCAATTAAAAAAATACTTGTATTTTTCTTAGTTCCTATGTAATTTCTAGCATGTTTTATTTCATTTCTTTTATTTAAGTTTTTCTATTAATTTTTTTTTCTATTAAGCTATTTCTAATGGCAAGTACGTTACAAAATGTACTTTCATGTGATAAGTTTCATGAATAAACTTATTGGTTGTATTTATTCCTTAATCATAAATGCCTCATTTATATATTTTTCTTTACATAATTTGACGTGTTTTGAAAGACAAATGTGGTCTTATTTGAATAATTTTCAAAGCACCCTTGTAACTGGACTGTCAAATCCGAACTTTGGTACTTTTACACATGTCAACAGGAAATCAATCACCTTCGATCTAATTCATACAATAAATATTTAGATTAAACACACAATGAGTATCGCAAGATTTTAGTTAATATCAAACCTTATTTGTTACATTATTTTTATAAAATATTAACAAACAAAAAAATTTACTAGGTTAAAAATTGATTTAGTAAAAATATAAGTGTACATTTTACATACATTGAGCATATTTGAAAATATCTGTTGATACATATGTTTAAAAAAATGTAATTATATTACATTATATACAAAAATATAAACTATATGATTAAAATCATTGATAAAATGTCAGGGTTTAAGAATAAAAGTGAATCATATAATGCTGCAGTCGCAACACTGCATCGAATAGTAGAGACAGTCGACGATGCAGGGATAGTCTTCTTTCTCATCCTTTTCTTCTTTGTTGTTGTTCAATTTTTCCAATTCGTGATCCTTCGGCTCCATGTCGATGGTGCTCTTTTCTTTCGTGATCGCCGACGGCTGGCAAGCGGTGTCACAGCAGTCCTCCGGTGGTAGCTTGACGTACATAGTGGACAATTGTTTAACTTCGGCCTTGACTTTCTGAATCTCCTGAAATTTCTCGCCATCTTCCTGGTCGCACGGATTTTCCTAAAGGAAAACTTTGTTTAATATTGTAAATTTGGGTTCTAATGTTTCAACACCATGATTATGAGCCCAAAAAGCAATTAATTTTTTTTTTTGCGGATGAATACAGACAAAACTTACACTTTTGTGACTAGAGACCGGTGACGTCTGGACGCATGAGTTCTTTGTAAACCGCTCTCCGAAGGTTTTGAGCTTCATTTGTACAGGCAAAGTCGAAAACGTGTCGCCATGATCGGCTACAAACCTCCTACTGAGCAGTTCCAAGTCCGGCGACTGCGTATTCTCAGGAGAGAGTACGGTCGGCGAAGTCACTGCCAGAGCTTTATTTCGTCTGGCATGGTAGCGCCGTTCCCTTTGTAGCGTGTCGCCATTCGGGTATTTAGAGACGTTGACCTCTATCTGGGCCTTTTCTGTAGACTCATGTTGCTTCCTGTCATTATCTTCCATAACAAGTCTGAAATTTAAAAAAAATTATAACAAACATTAAAATTTGTTAATTAAGTGGTATCAAGCAAATTCGCAGTAAATACTTAAACAATGTACATAAACAATAATAAAATTATGTGATTTGATTAAAACTTTTTGTTTTTAATTAAGTTAATAAAAAACAAGCAATAACATAATAACATCCATCTTACTTCAACAACTATTTGGGGATTTTTATTTTGAGAAGATTGTGAGATAGTTTTGGCATAAATCGCCCATCATCAAATTCTTTTTAATTTATTGCTTATTTGGCCCAAGTCGACTGGGAGAGGATAAACGGCCGAACCAGGATCCAATTTTTTGCCCTGATCTTAAGATGGGTGTAAGGGACAAAAAGAAAAAGGAATTAATTTTCGTGAGCTTCCGACGATTGCGATTCGATCGAATAAATTTTTCCCCAGCTAGGCCTCGAATCGAATCAAGGGCGGGCAAACAAGGTCAAAAGCGGGGATTTCTTTTCTCTCAACTCGTAAAGTGCAAAACGTATGCTCGCTGAATAGTAATGTCATGTAGGTTTATTATTTACAGGGATCCGATCAGAAGAAAAAGAAAAAAAGAGGCCAAATTGCTCATACCAATTCTCAGACGGAGCGAATTAGCCGCCGAGTGATTCTTCTCAAGGAGGTGATGGAGTAATATTAAACCGAAAACTGCCCGAATGATTCCGAGATGCCGTGATGAGAAGGAGGAGCAAGAAGTAATTTGGCTTCAGAGGGCAAATATTTGTTTGGGAATTATGAGAATAATTTTAAAGAGTTTTGTTGCACTTTTTTTTTGTTTAATAGTTATATTTATTAAAAAACGGTCGGTGATGAGACCAATTAGAAATACATTTAAGGCAAATGATAGTAATTTCTCATGCAAGAGGGTTTAATGTCGAACTACCCGTTGGGTGTCCTAGATGAGAGGTCAAACCACTTTACAACATATTTTTAATATCATTCTCAATTAAAAAGCCACAGGCTCTGCCGGGATTTGAACACGAAACCGCTAGCATGGCAAATACAAGTCGGACACCTTAACCACTCAGCAGTCCCCTTGGTCAATTAATTATTAATTACTATATAATGCCAATTAGAAAGAAAACAGTTCCTTTGTTAAGATTTCTATTTAATTTTTAACCAAATTTTCAATTTTAAAACCTAGTCAATAATTATTGTCAAACACAATAATAAATTGGAAATTCAACTTTATATACTTAAATTTTCTTAACTTATTACTCTAGAAGTATATTATTCTGTTTTTAAGAGTTAGCAAATTTTGTTTTGAGATCTTTTTGTCATGGTCTGCAAGTGCCAACCCATAGTTAGGCCATATTTGATAATCCTGGCCTGCATATTTTAACCGGTTGGAGTTTTGTCATGACAAAACAGGACCAGGAAGATTTAAAAGTTGGCCAAACTACAAGAAATTTTGTATTCGCGTATATTCTAACCTCTCTTTAAAAATAAAAATGGACCACAATCTTTATAAAATGGTTTCTCTGTGCATAAAGGTGGGCAAATAAGAAAAATTTACTTCTTTTAGCTTAACAGATCAACAGATTAAGTCCTTATCAATTTCATCATTGCCATGAAAATCTTAAGATTTAGGCTGATCCAGTGAAAAGTGGAAACACTGCAAGAAACTGCTGGCTAGTAATAGTTCAACATTTGACTATTTATTCAGGCCTTCCTATTTCAAATTTATCAAAGATATATTCACAGAATGGACGCATAATTTCATCTTGCCATGGAGTGCGCATGGGGTTAGGAATGGTTAGGTTAGATTAAGCATCCATTATTCAATATATTTGGATGAAAGGGAAAATATGTGCTGAAGTGCAAATTGTAAATATAAAACAGGACCAATTTTAACATTTATATCAAAATGTGTTTTATATCGCAAGGGGAATTATTATCGCAATTTACACATTTCTGTTCACATGATAGTGCCAGCAATTTGAAATGAGGATGTTGTGTAGTAGCATGACGGTACTTTTAATAATTCATTTGAATTTTTTTTTTAATAACAGACATTTTTAAGACTAATTTGTCTTTTTCAATTTTTTGGTTTTTAACATAGGTAACCATGTGACTTGTCGGCAAATGCAAAATAGTCATATATCTTTTAAAAGAAATATAATAATGAAAAATTTAATATAAAAAAAAGTTGCTGATGATGGGTGTATATTCCTGAACTAAATAAATGTTTAAATAAGTAATAAATTTGCTTAAAAAAATAAAATAAATAAATGAATGGTAAAAAAAAAAAAATAATGAAGTTCTCACTGGCTTTTCAAAAACTTTTCTTCCTGTTTCTTGTTTCTGATTATTGATTTATATAAGCTCAAATCTGCACATATATATACACACATATGCACATGTACAAAGTTGAGCACATCAATTCTCGCAGTTTGCTGGAAATTCCAACTTTTGTGATTAAAATCAAAATTAAATCAGCAGGTCTCAAGAATCACCTAATAGTCGAGGGTCAGACATAGGTTTCATTTCACCGAGGGTGGGCTCCAGGGGCTATCAACAGCTAGGACATTTCAGCCACCAATGTATTCAGTCTCCAAACCCGTTCACATTCTCACTATCTTAAATACTTTTTTCCTATTTACGCACTATTCACTTAGGGAGTGGAGTACTTGATATTCCTGTCATCCTTTACACCTGTTATAACTAGCCTAATTTAGGATTACTGGGGTACTGAATATTTCACAATCGGCCCTCTCACACTACACATTCATGCTAATAAATACATTCACTCTCAACTAGGAATATAACTATCTGTACTTTATACAATAAATCAACCCTGGTTCATCCAAAAATATGAACAAAGGACCCAAATACAAGCACAATTCTCACATCAGGTGGCATTCCTATGCACTCTCTATATGGAGCCGAGGAATTAGGTGGTGGACAAATTGAGCAACCTTTCTCTACATGCCGGACACATAAGTGGGCTTTTGCCAAAAAGTAAGTGTATGTGTGTCTACCTCACATGGCCTGGACTTAATCGTGTAAGGATGACCCTTCTACGAGTCAGATCCTGCGATGGTCACTTATAGTATATATATATAGTGCTCTTGATACAGAGCTTCTCTGATGATCCAGCCCACCTACACCACTTTTTTAAAATCATGTTTTTTAATGCATTTTTAGCTTCATATTTCTTTTACTCATTAAATTTGTTTGATTTATTACAGGAGGGTAGTGTCAAACTACTCTTTTTCGCAGATGAGAGGCCAAACCACTTTAGAATTTTTTATTCTGTAATCAATTAAAAAAGAAAAAACATAGGACTTGCTGGGATTTGAACTCAGAACCGCTAGAATGGCTAATACGTGTCTGACACCCTAATGATCTATGCCACTATGGCCCCTTGTTTAATTTATCATTTCAGATGTAATTATCAGCTGTCAATATTATATGTTTATATTAAAAATAAGGGGTTTGAATTTTAAAGAAAACTTTCAATTCCTTTGATGAATATTTCCATTCCACACCAGGACTTTGTTTTTTCAAAATCAACTATTAATGTAATGATCCTTTAATAAATTCATATGGACACTTTCTCAATATTATTGAATGGATTTACAGCTTTTTGGTATTTTTGTTCCCATTTAAAACTTTTTTTACAGATTCAATCAATAGTTTCAAGTTTTGATCAACTTACTTGAGACAAGTCAAACAACGCATGTGATGCTTGTTCTTATAAAATGGGAGCAAAATCAAAGAGTAAAATAAGGGCTTGAGGGTCGTTTCGAACAAGAACCTCAGTTTCTTTTTTCTGTAATAGGAGCCCGACTTGTAATGGTAATATTTGTGGTATCTCTTCGGGTCTTCCCACCTCAAAACCTTCCACTCTTTGTATTCCAGTTTTCTGGCTGAGCGTCTGCCTGAGTCTCTGGACGTTGACGGAAAAGGCCCGCTGGATCCTCTCATTTTAATTTTTTTAGCATGAGGTCCACGGTCTTGTTTGTCCTGTTTTTAAATAATAATTTTACAGGGAAGGAATTTTGTTCACTATAATTTTGGTAAGGTTGCTTGATTAGCATATGTTTTGACCGATTTAAGTTTGTGTTTTATTAAATAATATTTATTGGCTGTAATACAGAATAGTGCAATATTTTTATTACTGTTTATATGTTGGTCCTTTTCAATTTACAAAATCGAATGTATTAATTTTTGTTAAAAGGGTCAATGATAGTACATACTCCATACAAATTAGGTGTGACTTAACTTAGCCATATTTACTTAGAATTTACCGATAAACTTGTATATAGCAGATGGAACTTTAAAAATTTTACGATTTCTTTGATCATATTTTTCTAAAAAATTAATACACAAGGTTTGAAGATAAAATTGTTTTAGAAAACAATAATTCTAGGCTACTTCAGTCAATTATCACTTCTGAAGGATAATTACTGTTGACTGTAGCAATTAGAGTCAGCTCAATTGGTTCTATTGTCCTACCGACAAAGCAAGTATAAAATGTACAGTATACAGTATTCTCATACATAAATTTTTGTTGTTTGAAATGATTAATAAAAGTGTATGATTTTTAAGGCACATCTTTAAAACTATTAAATTTAACGGGTTGTTTTGCAATTTTGATTTGTGAGCAGTTTGGTCACGACAGATCATCTCATTGTTTTCCAGATTTAGTTGTAGGCTTGCGAAAATGTTTTTAAACTTGTCAGCAATTTTCTTTTGACAGGCTATTCTGTCTCATTCTATTTACTCTTTGATAAAAGATTTACTTTGAAAAAGAAATTTTTAGTTTAATTGAAAAATATTTAAAGAAAAAGTAACCAAGGTATATTTTTTTGGCCTGGCATTGATTTTTCCTTTTTACAACAGTATTTATTTTTTAAACTACAAGTAAAATTGTTGATATGTATAAAATTTAAAATAAAATAAAACAAAATTTGGTACTAAGATGCGAAGAATCATCCACAGGTGAAATTTGAGAAGGGTCTACTTACTGCCCGACTGGTCGCGAGGCCACTGCCGCTTTAGACAACTTGGGGAATTTTTTGGGGATTGTTCGGGATGTTAGGTTTAAAACTAACGGATCTGGGTGTAATGAAAGGGAGTTATGGAATTTTATGTATTGAGATTTTATGACAACTTTCACCAAAGGAATGTTGAGGTACTACTATTAAGAGGGTTTTGGATTGGGAAAACTGAATGCAATGATAGTAGAAATGTTTGGTTGAACTTCACAGTTCAATGCTATATGTCTGAATGTGTTTAACTATCAAATCTTATATTAGTCATAGGTTGTGAAGCGTCAGTTTTGATCATTTGTTTACAAGTCGTGAGAGTGTTCAGGCAGTTCTTGCTTTTTTAGTGGATCCAAGTCAGTCTTTTGTATGATCCAGGGTAGTTGTCATGATTAACTATAGGAATAGATATGAAGTATAGTGGCGGCAATATAACATGAAGGGGAAAAGTTATATGTTGGCTTTTGTCTATTTATTTTTATCCACCATTTCTTCAGCTAAGATTCTATGTTGAATATGTTAGCCTGTAGGGAATGATGTGAAAGGAAAGTTATCTTTATTGGAGATCTATCTCAACATCATCAGCAAAAATGTGAATAGATGTGTCGGGATGGGCTGGGAGGTCAGCAGTATGGGTTGAATAAAGGTTGGGACCATCCAACCCTGCGGGAGTCCAGCCTTAACAGGATAGTGGTCTGAGAATGATGAAAGAACTGGTCAGCCAGGTATGATCAGAATGTAAGGAAATATGTAAATGAAAGGATAGTCTTGAGCTAACACAAACCAGGATTTCAGACCCTATCAAAAACTTGAGCCACATCAACAAAAGCACCCGAACATGTTCTCAAGAGAGGAAGACGTCGACAACACGGCATTGCTTGAGGTTGTTTCTAAAATCAAACATTTACAAGCAGAAATGTAAATACTTCCCATAAACATAACGGATTTCTTTTTTGATTTAAAAGAACGAAACTCAAAAGTAATCAAAAAACGCAGAACAAAGGACGAAGAAGAGAATTCTTTTAGCCGTTCTACAAAAAAAAACAAAAAAAAGGAAAAACGAAGCCAACCCTTCCTGCATGTTAAGCGCTCAAAAGTGCCGAAAGACACGTACTTCTCAAAGGCACTTATTCAAGATCTAGACCACCCACCTGGACCCGTCGCCATATATCCCGTCCAACGATCAGAAACAATTTAAAATCGTTATAAATTCAGGGACAGTTTTATTTTCCTGAATTATTATGTACACGCGGCTGACTTTCTCATCTTTGTACGGCCCAAGAAGCCATCTCCTTATTTATTAAATTTATTCCAAAATATTCATATTGTATGTTCCTCGATTTTCGATCATCCTGGTCCGCCGGTAGTGTAAAAACGGAGACTCATGACAAGGAATGATCCATTAAATAAGATATATGTTACTAAAAAATTCGAAAATATCAAGGATTTTTCTTTGACGATGACTTACCAACAGCAATAGATTATTAGACCTACACCTTACAGATCCTTACTATGTCAACAAGTGAACTTGATCTTAGTCTAGTACAATGTCCGCTGATTAGAGAAGTATCTTGGAGAAAATAGCGAGATTAGGCGAACCAGAAATCGAGAGGCTTCCACTTGAGGTCTGCGTATTAAAGAATTATCCTTACCAACAATAATCGTCACGATAGCTCAAGTGGTTAGAGCAGCGGCGTATTGAGCCGAAGATCGTGGGTTCGAATCCCGCTCGTGACACTAACTTTTTCATTTCAACCAAAACTATACATAAAAAGATTAATTAATTGAAAGAAGTAATTTGGTCAATCAGACCACTAAATATAATGGATTTATCAATAATCAATAATAAGGTCAACCTCGCTCGGTTTGTCTGTAGACGCGTTTCAGTTTATCGCCATCTTCAGTGCGTCTGAGAGCAAAGTGACACACTGAAGATAGAGAAACGCCCAAACGCATCTGATAGATCAACCCAGCAAGGATAGGCGGACAATGATGATCGGTAAAGATGAAATTACAAGACGACAGGAAGAAATTGCAGTTTGTTTTGTTTCGTTTCTTATCAGTCTGGTCCGCCTATCCTCGCTAGCGTTCGAATTTCAGCATTTTAAATTTTAGTTGTGATTTATTTGATAAAAGGTATGGAAAGAAGTTGTGACCCTCGTTTGCGACATTCAACGTAGTTGAATGTAGTCTTCCTTTTTGACAGGCATGCTTCGGCGGTCTGTGCAAACCACAAGGGACCAAAATAATCGGAAACGACCAAACTTCAAAAAATTACTTAAATTTAATAACTGTCATTATAGACTTTTATTTCTTATTTTTAACTATAAATGAAATTATGAGATATTTCCACGAGGTCTGCATGGTGATGAACCCTTAGTTTGGTCCGATCATCATGGTCCGCCTATCCCCGCTTTTTTTGTCTGCCAGACCCATTTTTGAAAAGAAAACCTATATAGAAAAACATCTATAAAAAGTCACTGCTGATAAAATAACACATAGGTCAAAATAGCGAGGATGGCCAGACTAGGATGATGGAAATGACCAAATTTTACGTATGAAAGGTTCCAAGTAATTATTTTTTAAATTTAAGAAATAAGAATTACTTAGCGCGAAAACTACCAAATATATTCGGCATAAAGATTCATCACCCCGCCGACTCGTAGTTTGGATGTTTCTTATTCTGGTCCGTCTAACCTCGCTTTTGGACAGCGGTGGCCGAATGGTTAGGCCGTCCTAATTTGCCACCTAGCGGTTCTGGGTTCGAATCCTGGAAGAGCGCATAGCTTTTTAATTGATAATGCCTTGAAAAATGTATTGTAAAGTGGTTTGATTCTCGTCCACGACTTCCAACAGTTAAGCCCTTGTTTGTCAGGAACTACTTCACTTTATTCTACATGAATCAATTCATATGGTTGATGGTTGTATTTGGAAGCAACAGCTTAAGTTAAAGTACATAAAACTTACCAGAAAGAAAAGGTTATTACTGACAACTTTAAAAAAATTGATCCCTGAGAGGGATGAAAATATAAAATGCCCCCTTAATCAACATCAATTTATTTTGTATATTTTCGGTTTTCATCAATAAGAAACTCAAAGATGGTGAGAAGCCGTGGCTTAACAAACCTAAACAGCGAGAACGGGCGGACCAAAATGATCGGAAACGACAGGAAACAGAAACTGTCGTCGGTAGTCTGTTCATCCTCTCAAGGGGCAAGCGACCAAAACAAGCTTAGTTTCTGTGATTTGACAATTAAAATTTTATAATAAATTTATAAAAAACATTCACTTTTTCATTATTTTATTCATATTTGGATAATAATGAAATATGATTAAATATTTGTCTTTATTGAAATAGTCATGCGATTCAATGACGAAAAACAGAGAAACTGGGCCGTCTCAAAGGTTGAATTTAGTAATGCAATAAAATTTCTTTATCATACGACTGTACATTTGGTTTATTATAATTAGCAAAGGAAAAATTATCGTGGCGTCTGCTCAAAGCTGTGCTTTATTATCAGCGAACAAAACACCCAATTATAAATATTATAATTTTATTTATTAATAGCTGTTTTCTGAAAAGTTCACCGTTAGACGGGATTTTTAGCCTACTTAATCAATACTTTTCCTTGTAAGTTCTATTATAAAGTTCGCCAAATAATAAATCTATAGCCCTGATTTTGTTTTAACCATCGGGAAATAGGGTCCCAGTGAAAGTCTAGTCCACCAGCATGACAAATTAGTAATGTCTTACGGGGTAACAGACGTTGAATCGATTTTAAGGTTTGGAAAAAAAATTATAAGAGAGTACTTTACAATTATACACGCATGAATTTCCAGTCGTGTTCACAAGAAGAAGGCCGAGATCGGCTTGTGAGAAGTCCGGACAAATGGTTTGATACAAAGCGATAAAAGCCGAAAAATTTTCAAACGACAAGGTTTATTATTTACTCTAAACTGAACTTTAAATTTAATAATAAAATATTTACGGATTTGATAGTTATAATTTTGCAAGATGAAAGATGAAGCAGCGTTTTTGAAAAAAAGATCGCATTTTAACCTGAAAAGACGAGATT